GGGTTAACTGTCTGCATAGTTCATATGGGACCGTTATTCGAAAGATAGCCACCTTTTCTTTTATTTTCAGGGCTTCACTTACTATCACCGTCTAAGTTCAAACTTTAAACCATCTAATTTCAAACTTTAAACCATTCTCCTATATAAACTATAATTGTAATTATAAAAATGAATTATAATAAATAAATGTTTACTGAAAGTAAAAGGGTAAGTCCAGATTTAAAGCAGGTATACTATGGCTCCCCTGCCACCTTAGGCCGTTAGCTGGACTACCGCCGATCGCTTAGTGGGAGTTCTCTCCCTTGGCTGCATTGCGAACACCGAGCGGAAAAGTCACGAATCAAATGACATACTTACCTATCATCATGCGGTTGCGTAGTCATCATACGGTTACGGTTACCTATCATCATACGGTTGCGTGTGCGGTTGCGTAGTCATCTTATGGTCATCATAGGGTTTGGGTTAGGGTTAGGGATAGGGTTAGTGGCGTTAGGGGTTGGGTTAGGGTTAGGAATAGGGTTAGTCACATCCGTGGCAACTAATACCACTTTTATATAAGGATATATTTACTTTAAAAAAAAAAAAACATAGATTTCCTCGAAGCGTCAAATAAACAGCCAGATCTGGGGAGAACACCCAAGCATTGGCAGCCCTGTTGTCGACCTCACTACCTTTTTTGATTCATGACTTTTCTGCTCGGTGTTCGCAATGCAGCCAAGGGATAGAACTCAGTGGGATCGGCGGCAGTCCAGCTAACAGCCTAAGGTGGCAGGAGAGCCCTATTGTTTTGTTTATGGTAACGGCAGTAAACGTTCTAGTACCAATGGCTGTCCCCGTCATTTTTTTCTTTCACTTCACATAGACTAGTTTAATTAAAAACGTGCAGTATGTTTTAAAAATTTTTTATTTATAAGTACAAGATTTTCTATACAAAAGTACAAATGGTTGGACAGTTCAAGTATTTAATCAACTATAACATCTATGCTTTTGAAACCCACTGTGAATATAAAATAATCCAGATAATATTAAAACTGAAGACCACATGGCTGTCATAATAATAATCCTATTTAAAAGTCGTTTCCTCAAAATATCTTTAAGATTTCTACAGCAAATTACTTAAATGATTTGTAGTTTGAAACACTAGTACTAGTATATTAAATTCGGCTCTCCATTCAACTTAGGCCGTTAGCTGGACAGCCGCCAATCGCTTAGTGGGAGTTCTCTCCCTTGGCTGAATTGCAAACATGGAGCGGAAAAGTCACGAATCAAATGACATACTTACCTATCATCATACGGTTGCGTGTACGGTTGCGTAGTCATCATACGGTTGCGTAGGGTTTGGATTAGGGATAGGGTTAGTGGCGTTAGAGGTTGGGTTAGGATTAGGGTTTGTTAGGGTTAGGAGTAGGGTTAGGGTTTGTTAGGGTTAGGATTAGGGGTAGGGTTAGATGTGAAAATTTTGACGTAGGAGTTCCAAATAATGGCCGAAAATCTGATGCTTGTGGGAGTGGTGCCACTGGAATTCTCCCAAAAATGACGGCAATAGCGCGCGGCTGGTGCCCAATCGGTGGCGAATTGTCCGTTTGAGTAGCATCCACAGTCCTTCGATTATTTGGGTGTGTATGTGACTGTGCGCGATTATTCTGAACTGCTGCGTCAAAATTGTCACATCAACCCTAACCACGCAAATTTATCGGTCAGTGAGTCATACAGATCTGCAGGAGTCACATCCGTGGCAACTAATACCACGTTTATATAAGGATATATTTACTGTTAAAAAAAACAACCCAGATTTCCCCGCAGTGTCAAATAAACACCCAGATCTGGGGGACACACAGTTTTGCCACTTTGGATCTTTTGTCTCCAAATTTAGATCTTTTTTATTGCATTTAGATACTGTTTTTGACGTTTAGATCGTAAATATTTTTCTATATTCTTTTCAAATGGAGTTAGATATTTTGTAGATTTTTCTTTCTTTCATTGTCAATTTAATAATTACTGTGTAAAATTTTTACTACAATATTTTTGTTTTGGTCTGGCACGTACATTGTGTCAACTGCCATTACTTGAACTTTGAACTCTCACTGGGGTCAACGCACAAATATCTGGCAGCCCAGGTACTGATTAACAAAAACGCCCGTAAATCATGCTAACTTTGTTTCAACCGTATCCTCACTGTGCTGACTTTGCGTTTCTTTTTCATGTGATTTAAAAAAAATAATTGCTCACCTTCTTATGTGGCTTTCACTTTGAAAAAAACCTTTCAACATGCCAAAAGTAAAGTATGAGCGAAAAATTTGGAAAGAGTGGTTGCATGATGACAAAATAAAAAACTGGGGATATGACCAAAGCTTCTTGTAAGTACTGCAAGTGTGAAATTAAAGCAAAAATACAAAACTCAAAGAGTCATGCAGAGACTAAAAAAAGCATAAAACTGCAGTTTCATTTAAAGATATTACGCTGCTGACATCTGTTTTCAGAACTATACTGATAAATGAATCATCAAAAGTTGAAGTATCAGTCGCAATGTTTTTAATTTGTCACTGCGCAATTTCAAACTGTGACCATTTGATCGATTTGTAAAAAATCTTGGACTAGTTCAATTTAAAAAAGTGTGGTGTAGAAAGTATAGTTTAGGAACTGAAGGACCTTTTAATCAGCAAACAGTTAGGCTTGAGGAGTTCGGTTGTAATTGGTACTGATAATGCTTCAGTGATGGTTGGTTAAACAATGGCGTTTATGCCAAGTTGAAGGAAGCTAACCCATCGTTAATACTTATAAAATGTATGCGCCATTCATTGCAGCTAGCATTATCACATGCTTCATCTAAATATTTACCAAGGAATTTGGAATACCTTATTGCTGAAACACTTTAGTGGTTTTCCAAATCATTTGTCAGACAACAGCAATACAATACATTATATACAGCATTGAATGACGGTTCCACATCACCGAAAATTCTGTCAGATTGCAAAACGAGATGGTTATCAATTTAACCAGCTGTTGAAAGAATTATGAAGCAATGGCTGAAGTTGAAGACACACTTCGAAATAACAAGACAAAGTGAAAAGTGCTACACAGCTGAAATATTATATGGAATTTACAGTGATGAAACAAATTTGTCATTCATTTTCTTTTTATAACCTATTCTAATGGAAGTGCAAAAAGTTAATAAACTGTTTGAATCTAAACTTGTTGATAAAGTTAAATTACTTGATGATCTCACCTTGCTATTTCACTCGGTAAAAGACTGGTGCTGCCAACTTCTAAAGCTGGTTTGCTCACTTGCACTATAGATAGCTATTTGACTCCTAAGCCACACCTTGGATATTAAATCAAATCAAAAATTGATGATTTAAAAACAAAAGGACTGTTAACAGAGAATGAAAAGAACAACTTAAGAAAACGCTGTCAAGATTTCCTTATCTCATTATTGAAGCAGAGACTTCCTGAAAATCTAGATGTTTTGAAAAATGTTTCACTTTTTTCTGTGAGCAACATACTTCAGCCAATAAAGGACATATCTAAATATTGTAAAGTTATGAAATTTTTAGGGGCTACTGATAATAGTGTCACGGAAGCAGAATATCAGTTAACCAAAATAAAGTTAGCTGAATGGACAAACAAAACAGAAACTAAAGCGTTTTGGAGTGAAGTGAGACAATTTAAAGATGCCTCATCAAACAGTCCATTCTGTAAGCTCTTTAAAGTACCATGTCTGCCATGATACTACCCCACCCAAATGCTGACGTAGAAAGAGTTTTCAGTGCTAGGAATTATTTCAAATCTAACCTAAAAAACAGGATGAAATTTGACCTCTTAAATGCTATCTTGCCATTAAAATTCGGCCTGATGAGACTAGAGAAATAAGCCTACTGCTCCACTTATAAAGAAATTTGAACAGCTAAAGCATACCAGGGTCATTTTGGATCTGAAGTTTCAACTTCATTATCCAAGCAAAGTTTATCCTGTGGATCTTGTGAGGCAGACATCAGTGAAGGTGAGGACATGATTATGTAGGGTAAGTCATAACAAAAGCTATGTAATTTTTTACTTTTTTAATTTGAATGTTTTTTCTAGATCTTTTCCACACAGATTTAGATCTTTTTAGATATTTTTTGACACCGTTTTGGATATTTTTTGTCAAAGAAAAGTGGCAACACTGGGGACACACCCAAGCATTGGCAGCCCTGTTGTCGACCTCACAGTCTTTTTTTATTCGTGACTTTTCCGCTCCATGTTTGCAATGCAGCAAAGGGAGAGAACTCTCACTAAGCGATCGGCAGCTGTCCAGCTAACGGCCTAAGTTGAAAGGAGAGCCAATTAAAATTATCTAAATTACAGAAAACAGTAAGTATTATTTATTTATCGGGCTCCTAGTCACTAGTGAAAAGTTCCCAGACAAGATGGCAGACAATTTCTTTCAGACACAGCCACATAATACTAATTAATAGCGATTGTCTGAAAAATGTAACTGTAAATAGTAAATCTAAAAAGCAAAAAGCCACTGATAAGAAAGAAATTTTATATCCAAATGCAAAATTGGACGGAGAATTCAATTATAACTAGCATCATTACCATGTCTAGTAACAGCTAAAGCCTAACCCCAACCTTGAATACTTTCCGAATTTTCAATCAAACTGATGTAACAGAAAAACAGAGCAATTCAAGCTGTCGTTAACTTGTGCTTGTAATCGGGTTCGTTCCCGCCTTTTCCAGCTATTTATAGCTAGTCCAAATTCACACCAATCGCGAAATTTCATGAGAGATTTGGACCCATCCGGAAACCATTTCCGAGATTTCCCGAACAAGTTTCGAACGGTTTCCGGGTAACGGAAATTGCAGAACACCGTAGTCCGTAGTCGTCAACACGGAAATCAAGCAGTCAAGTCTGCAGACGTCGTCACCCCGATAGGACCCAACCGTGGCAGTCCTAGACAAATCTGCTGAGACATTGTTGGATCAAACAAAGAACTGTGATAGCTTTTTGTTCACGGAGAATGTCGTATGGCTACGTTCAACAGGGAGGTTATGGCCAACAAGCGCTGCCCGCCGGCGTTGATCCTAACTGGTTGTCCAGTGTCTTTCAAAGGTATCTATCTTTTGTTTTCAAGTTAGTTTACTTTGGGCGTTAAATGCCGTTAACTCAAACTACTCAAACCATCCCTGTCTTTCAAATATTTTCTTGAGGTAGAGGTATCTTAGGTTCTTGTCTAGTCTTTCTTCTTCAAATTCCACTGAGTTGAGGTACCCCGCCGTCTTGTTTAGAACTTTTGGTTTAGTTTTTGATTTCCGATACCGCGATGATTTCAATACTATAGAGAAGTAAGTAAGAAATATCTGGGCAATCACTGCTGTAACAAAAATTGCAAGACAGAGATGATGGCGCGATGTATGTAAGTGGTACTCCACCAGGACATCACACAAAGCGATAAGCACCTGGTGACACAAAGTGCCACTATGCGGATGAGGATAACCCATTGAGAGGTCCCAGAAACCGCGTTCAGCCGTTAGGCCATATTTATGGCATGGCTATATTTGGGGCCCCCGGCAAAAACCAGGGTTGGGCTTCAAGTAACGAAAAAGTGCATCCCACATGGGGACGGCTGTATACTAGGTCGTAGTAAATTCCCTGTTTGATCTGGATTTCAGGTTACTCTGTAATCGCCAGGGACCCAACTTAAACTTAACGACTAAGCAAGGTTTACCAGGATTTGTGTAAGTAGGATTCTCATCTTTGAGGTGTTAATCCCGCAGACTGCAATCCTAAAGCGGACCAACTGCAAGATATTGGGCACATTCTGAGAAGTGATAAACAGAATCTCCAAACAGGCAGTGAAATAAAGAGATAAAGGAAACAAGAAAGTCCAACAAAAACCATAATGCGTACATTGATGAGAGAGACCAAGGGGCTGGACTGTATTCCATCCCTGAAGTGATTGCACTGGAAACACTTGAGAGTAGGAATAAAGTATACCAGTGTTTCCAAAACTTCTTAGTCACTGCGCCTTTTTTAAATTAATTTTTTTTCACGGCACCCTAACCTAAGTAAAAGTATGACTATTTGTATGTAGGAGAAAAAAAAACCTTGTGTATCTTAGAATATTTTGCAGCGCCCCTGTGAAAAGATCACGGCTCCCCGGGGCGCCGCAGCGCACAGTTTGGGAATCACTAGAGTATACTGTAAAGTTATAAAGGTATTCTTAATTCTGTTTCGCCTTTCTTTCTTGCTACCTAATGGATAAGGTATATTTCTGTTCTAATAGTTTTTTGTTTGAGTTTATCCTTTTCTAACCTGAAGTTCCCCTTGTGGGTTCCGGGGCCCCATAGTGGGGAAAACAAGAATAGACCCTCTGCCTACCCAAAAGCATGTCGTAAGAGTCCACTAATTGGGGAGCTTATTTTAAAGTCGGAGTGCATCTGCCTGAGAAGCAAGGAACCAACAGTCTGGTTCAAGTGAATCAGATCTGTAAAACTGATGCACATGCAACACTCAGGTTCTGGAGCAGGACTGCAGTTCAGAAGTGGACGAACGACCAGAACTTTCCACCAGAGTGAACAGCTGGTGAACGCCAAGAAGAAGAAGAAAGAAGATAACCTGAAGTGTTGGGTTGTCTTTTAATGGATTTTAAATTGTATAATAATACACTGATACAGTCAACATCATCATCATGTGCCTGTCTATAAGCATGAAAGGTCATGGTTCATCATCTCACTCAATGACCAGGTTTTGTAAAATATATGTTCTTGTTCTGATTATGCCAAGTCCCAAAGCCATCCAGGTATTTCTTTCATTGCCTTCCCTTGCTATCTCCTAGCCAGTTTTTACTAAAATTGTTTATTAATTCATTCTCACAACATGCCAAATAAATCTTCACTGTGTATATATGATGTCCATTATATTTTATGGCTTTTCATGTGTTTCCTTTGGCACTAGTAAAGTTAAGTAGTCTTCTTCTTCTTCGTGGTCACCAGCTGTAAACTCTGGCGGAAAGTTCTGGTTGTTCATCCACTTCTGGAATGGGTCCAGTTCCAAAACCTGAGTGTTGCGTGTGCATCCATTTTACAGATCTGACTCATTTGTGTGCAAACTGCTGGTTCCTTGCCTTTCAGGCAGATGCACTCCGACTTCGAAGGAAGCTCCCAATTAGTCGTCTCTTACGATATGCTTTTGGGTAAGCAGTTGGTCTATTCTTGTTTTCCCTATAATAGGGCCCCAGAACCCACACAGGGAAGTTAAGTAGTGAAGGACCCTTTCCACACCTTCAGGCATATTGGGCACATAGGGCTAGACCTGTATTTTATAGACCAACCGGCACTCAGTGGGTGATTTGATTAACATCACACTGGCCACCTTTACTTCCCAGGACTTTATCTGTTAAGGCTGGGTTGACCTGGGAGCAAAAGTCATTTTTGAAAAAACCACCTCCGTCAGGATCTGAACTTACGACCTTCCGAGTATCTAGCCACTACACTACGGTGGCTCCTATTTCTTTTAGCACTGCCACTTCGTTTATTTGTTAGAGTTGAGTATGAACCTGCATCACTGCACTTGGTATATTCCCATAAGAGCACCATCCCCATATTCAGCAGCCAGCCAAGGGTACCAATGCAGATGGTACCATTAGCAATTTGACTATAATTCCCACTTGCCTTTAATCTGAATATTTTTCAATTTCCTCATGGTGTTCGTCAAAAAACACATTTTCTCTATTGTTAGAAGTTTCTCAGCTGATCTGCATATTGTACAGCCAACAAACCTTCCACTGAAATACAGAACAGTGACGGAGGAACTGGAAGAAAATAAGACGTATTATATTTTTATGATTCATAATTCAAGGAATTGCATGTGGGTTTCTGGGGCCCAGTTGTGGGGAAGACAAGAATAGACCCACTGCCTGCCCAGAAGCATTTTGTAAGAGTTGACTAAATAGGAGCTTCCTTCGAAGTCAGAGTACATCTGCCTGAGAGGCAAGGAACCAACAGTCTGCATGCAGATGAATGAGACTTGTGAAATGGATGTGCACTGAACCCTCCGTTTCTGGAACAAGACTATAGAGTCCAGAAGTGGACGAACATCCAGAACTGTCTGCCAGAGTTAAAAGCCGATGAACACGAAAAAGAAAAAAAAATTCAAGGAGTGTGGTTGAATCATGTTTAGAACAGTTTACTTTGATATGGAATCTACATGTTCTTGTTCCACATCATTGATTCTATTTCCTTCTGTCCATGCTACCTCTGTATTTCCACATTGATTTGTCTACAAATATAACATCCTACAGTAATGTCTTTGTTGAAATTCTAGCGTTGACAGAGACCGGAGTGGACACATCAGTGCTGTAGAGCTGCAGCAAGCTTTAGGAAATGGTAAGAACAGTCTGGAGGGACAGAATGTTTTTGGTTTTGTGTGTGTGTTAGTTTGTAGTTTCTATGAGTGTTGTTTGAGGAAAGTGAAAGGCAGTTAAAACAGATGTGATGAATATAATTGCTGGTGTTTTAGTCCGATTAGCAGTTGCTTTATTCGATGATTGTAAGACCTATGGGAGACCAGTGTTCTGACTCTGGAGAATCATGCTCGTTAAGCGAAACACTCGTTTTATGTTGACCTTTAAATCATCTGAGGCATGAGAAGCACTTGAAACCTTTTAGGGTAAGGATTTCTTTAAAAGCTTATTGCCTGATTCACTTGGGAAAAGCCACCTCTATAGAGATTACAGCAGATGTATACTTTCCCTCTTCAAATTCAGGAGCAGGCGCTTGGGTTTCATATCAAGAAATAGGCATGGAGGTCTTAGGGGCATTACTCAATTTGTGAATGAGCCACACTACAGAATGGTGCCCCAAGGTTTTTGTCAGTATTGTTGGTGGTCTTGTGAGAGAGCTGTGGTAGCAATGGCTAACATGTCAGTGTTTTTCGTGGTCTTGTGAGAGAGCTGTGGTAGCAGTGACTAACATGTCAGTATTGTTCATGGTCTTTTGGGATAGCTCTATGGTAGCAATAGCTAACATATCACTGGCTAACATGTGAGTATTGTTCATTGTTTTGTGAGAGAGCTGTGGTAGCAGTGGCTAACATGTCAGTATTGTTCATTGTCTTGTGAGAGAGCTGTGGTAGCAGTAGCTAACATGTGAGTATTGTTCATTGTCTTGTGAGAGAGCTGTGGTAGCAATGGCTAACATGTCAGTATTGTTCATTGTCTTGTGAGAGAGCTGTGGTAGCAGTAGCTAACATGTGAGTATTGTTCATTGTCTTGTGAGAGAGCTGTGGTAGCAATGGCTAACATGTCAGTATTGTTCATTGTCTTGTGAGAGAGCTGTGGTAGCAGTAGCTAACATGTGAGTATTGTTCATTGTCTTGTGAGAGAGCTGTGGTAGCAATGGCTAACATGTCAGTATTGTTCATTGTCTTGTGAGAGAGCTGTGGTAGCAGTAGCTAACATGTCAGTATTGTTCATTGTCTTGTGAGAGAGCTGTGGTAGCGGTAGCTAACATGTCAGTATTGTTCATTGTCTTGTGAGAGAGCTGTGGTAGCAGTAGCTAACATGTCAGTATTGTTCATTGTCTTGTGAGAGAGCTGTGGTAGCGGTAGCTAACAAATTTGCCTGCTGGCCATTAGTCCCCTGTTCAAATTTCAATTGAACTCAAATGTTTAATTATCCTGACTTCCTAGGTTGACCTAGCCTGACTTCCCAGGTTGACCTAGCCTGACTTCCCAGGTTGACCTAGCCTGACTTCTGAGGTTGACCTAGCCTGACTTCCTAGATTGACCTAGCCTGACTTCCTAGGTTGACCTAGCCTGACTTCCTAGGTTGACCTAGCCTGACTTCCTAGGTTGACCTAGCCTGACTTCCTAGGATGACCTAGCCTGACTTCCTAGGTTGACCTAGCTTAAAATGGCTACCGGGAAATGTTCTAGGAAGTAAAGATGGCTAATGTGATAAAGACCCCATTATCCAGCAACTGTCAAGGTCTGTAAGAAAATGGTGCTAGTGCCAGAAGCCTTGTACACCTGACGACAGTGATTGTTCTGTGGTTTACTTTGTTGTTCTAACAACGTCTTTAGCCAATCTAGATAAGAGAGAAACAGTACTCATGCAAAATCATTATGACTGTCATGTGCCCTACTGTCTCTCACATGATCACCATTTACAGACAGGTCTTTGTGTTTTCTTCGTTAGCCTGCGTGGCCAAGCCATTCATGAATATTTCCCTTTTTCTCTTACTCTTTTCTCATCAGTGTTTGCCATTTGTCACCAGGTTTTGAAGTTTATTTCTCCTCACAGTTCACCCAGAGATCTTGACTGTCTGTGTCTGATTTCTCTCATCAGTTTTGCCATTGGTCACCAGGCTTTGAAGTTTATTTCTTACCCAGACATCTTGACTGTCTGTGTCTGATTTCTCTCATCAGATCCTACTCTTTTTCTTCTTTAGCATTCTGAGCCCTTAAGGTTCATTCCTGCGAATATCACCCCCCCCCCCTCCCCCATTCATCTCTAAATCAATTCCTATATGAATTAGAAATATAGAGAACAGCTAAAACAAGTAAATTACAAACATTTTTAGAGAGAATGAGATTAAAATGGTGAGACATTTATTGATAGAAGGAGATTCAAATGGTGAGACATTTATTGAGAGAATGAGATTCATGTGGTGAGACACATCATTAATATAGACCCTTAAGAGGAAACTAACCACATTCTGCAAACCACGAAGTGAGGAAAAGACCATCCCCGGAAAGAACACATATTAGGGAAACTTGATAATTTGATAACTAGCAAGCCTTTGTCTGCAATTCACAGCAACAGAAAGGGATGGAGACTTAAAAACACTAATAGAAGAGTCAGAGATTTGTAATACAGGTAGGACATGAGGCAGCTGAAAGATAAGAGAGCTTGGCGTGAGTAGCCTGAAGGTCTGTGATGTATTGAGGGATAAAAGGCAACAGCAGAGGAAAACAGAAACTATTTTAATCTTTTGTTTCTTTGACTCGTTTTTCAGGTACCTGGGCACAGTTTAATCCAGAAACTGTGAGACTGATGATAGGTATGTATCCATGAAAAATCTTTCTGGGCCTTGGAGTCCATTGACATTGAAATAGCTAACATTTTCTAGGAAACCTGACCAACCCAGGCCTTTGTGTTGCCAGTCTGTGTGTGCTGTGTTGAATAATGGACTGTGTACACCAAACTGTTTACTAAAAGTTAAGTCACTATAGGGTTAGATTGCCAGCACCAGGACTTTACTCATTTTCTTCTTCTTTGAAGGTCATGGGTTTGTTTCATGGACTTATCATTCAGTTGACTGATGCTGTTTTAACAAAGGTTCCATAGCAATCATTGCTAGAACTATGGAATGTGTGCTTTGTGGGATACTTTCTGCAGGGGGGTAAAAATATTAAAAATAAGGATCATCATGAGCCAGAGGCCTGTTTTCCCCACAGATCAATAATAAAACGCAATTGACAGTGATCCATGGGCCACTTGCTAGGTCTCTGCAGGCTGGATTCAACCTGTGGACCACCAGTTGAATAGCCTTGCTCTAGGTGGTTAGGCTTAGATTTGTTCATTATCTCCTACTTTTTCAGTACAAATTGTGTTCATGTCATTCATTCATTCTTTCATTCATTATCATTTTTTTACCACTTTTCTGTTAGAATCTTTGTATTAGAGAGCGCCTACGTCTCAAAACTTGGCAGTGCCTAATAAAATAAATCATGCATTCATGACGCACAAAAACAGCATAAGCACATTTATTATAATTATACAAACTATAATTCTTTTCATTTCACACCACTGGGTAAAAGAGAAAAACAACTGAAGATGGAAATGTAGGATTGGTTATGATATTATGATTTTATCTGCCAGGTATGTTTGACAGAGACTGCTCTGGCACAGTCAGCTATGAGGAATTTGCATACCTGTGGAAGTACATCATGGACTGGCACAACTGTTTCCGCACCTACGACAGAGATAACTCAGGGTTTATTGATAAACATGAGCTGAGAGCGGCTCTTTCTAGCTTTGGTAAGAAACAAGTAACCTCAGTCAGTATTTATATTTTCAAGCCAAATTTGAATTGCCTTTTTGTCCTTTGGCAGAGATTAAACAGGGCAGAGGCACAAATGTGTCATTACGGTCTGAGGAGAATGGCACTGCAGGGGGTTACCAGCAGATTTAGACGACGCTCAAAACTCTGGAGAAAGGCGAGAGGGATGTACCATTAGACAGTTACTGATACCATCGGAACTGGAACTCTTCGCTTGCTGCTGAATATAGGGACAGAGCACTTATGGGAGGGTCCCAGGTGCTGTGATGTTGATTCTTGATTCAACATTCAACATCTGAATTGCCTTTGCTACTGGCTTGTGGCTCTAAGGTGCAAATTCTGCCTCAGTTTTTAGTAGACCTGGTACGATTCATGGTCAGTGTAGTGGGGATTTGTGGAATTTTAAGAAAATGAAAAACAAAAACGAATGATTTTTGTCACTGATCCTGTTTAGCTTTGCGTTCTCTTTGGCATTTGAAAAAGAGGGAGCCAGACTCAAACGTTGACAACAGCGATCCTGACATCCCATGCTGTAATTATGGAAAACTTTTCTTAACGCGGGCGGGTCTTGCTAGTCACCATCGGCTGTGAGTCCCACGCCTCTCTGGGAAAACCGAAAAGTTATAATCAATAGTGCACTAGTTTACCGAGTGGTGTAGGTTCAGTTCCCTGGACCACAGACTTGTGTGTTCAAGTATTAGTCTTTACTGTTGAAACATGAACATTACATTTTGTGTTTAAGTATTGGACAGTCTTTACTGTTGAAACATGAACATTACATTTGTTTGTGTTCAAGTATTGGACAGTCTTAACTGTTGAAACATGAACATTACATTTGTTTGTGTTCAAGTATTGGACAGTCTTAACTGTTGAAACATGAACATTACATTTGTTTGTGTTCAAGTATTGGACAGTCTTAACTGTTGAAACATGAACAATACATTTTTGTTGTTGTTCAAGTATTGGACAGTCTTAACTGTTGAAACATGAATATTACATTTTTTTGTTGTTCAAGTATTGGACAGTCTTAACTGTTGAAACATGAACATTACATTTTTTGTTTAAGTATTGGACAGTCTTTACTGTTGAAACATGAATATTACATTTTTTGTTTAAGTATTGGACAGTCTTAACTGTTGAAACATGAACAATACATTTTTGTTGTTGTTCAAGTATTGGACAGTCTTAACTGTTGAAACATGAATATTACATTTTTTTTTTGGTTCAAGTATTGGACAGTCTTAACTGTTGAAACATGAACATTACATTTTTTGTTTAAGTATTGGACAGTCTTTACTGTTGAAACATGAATATTACATTTTTTGTTTAAGTATTGGACAGTCTTTACTGTTGAAACATGAACATTACATTTTTTGTTTAAGTATTGGACAGTCTTTACTGTTGAAACATGAACATTACATTTGTTTGTGTTCAAGTATTGGACAGTCTTAACTGTTGAAACATGAACATTACATTTGTTTGTGTTCAAGTATTGGACAGTCTTAACTGTTGAAACATGAACATTACATTTGTTTGTGTTCAAGTATTGGACAGTCTTAACTGTTGAAACATGAACATTACATTTGTTTGTGTTCAAGTATTGGACAGTCTTTACTTTTGAAACATGAACAATACATTTTTTTTGTGTTCAAGTATTGGACAGTCTTAACTGTTGAAACATGAATATTACATTTTTTTGTTTGTTCAAGTATTGGACAGTCTTTACTGTTGAAACATGAACATTACATTTGTTTGTGTTCAAGTATTGGACAGTCTTAACTGTTGAAACATGAACATTACATTTGTTTGTGTTCAAGTATTGGACAGTCTTAACTGTTGAAACATGAACATTACATTTGTTTGTGTTCAAGTATTGGACAGTCTTAACTGTTGAAACATGAATATTACATTTGTTTGTGTTCAAGTATTGGACAGTCTTTACTTTTGAAACATGAACAATACATTTTTGTTGTTGTTCAAGTATTGGACAGTCTTTACTTTTGAAACATGAACAATACATTTTTTTTTGTTGTTCAAGTATTGGACAGTCTTTACTGTTGAAACATGAACAATACATTTTTTTTAAAAAGCAGAAATGTAGAGACACATCTGTTGGCAGTGGGAATATGGTAAATGAGGAAAATGTCCATGATTGGTCTGACAAATGCCTCAGAAAGTCCTTCTATAAACAGATAAACACTTCCTTAAGTGAGTAAGAGGTAAAGTCCTGGGAAACAAAGTCAGCTGGCATGATTTTGACCACATCACCCCTCAAGTGCTGATTGGTCTGTAAAATATAGGTCTAGCCCAATATGCCCGTAGGCAAGAAAAGGTTCCGTTACTTCGTCTTCTTCTTCTGCATTTATCCTCTGTGCCTTTTTGTGGCTTGTTCTTCTGCATTCATCCTCTGTGCCTTTTTGTGGCTTGTTCTTCTGCATTCATCCTCTGTGCCTTTTTGTGGCTTGTTCTTCTGCACTTTTTGCTCATTTCTAGTGATACATCTGACTTCAGGCATTTATTCACTGGGCTTCCCGTCCTAGTTATAGACAGGTCTAACTTTTTGGACATGTTGTGAAAAAAAAATAATCTGAAAAGAACTGTATTATCTGTCAAATGTGATGGAGACATAGCAAGTAGAAGACAAAAAGACATAAGTATCTGAAAGGTTTGGTCCCATATCACAATCATGACAAAAACACAGGAATGATTTGAAAATGATGATCCTGTGAGACAGTGAACTACATTTTTGTATGTTTGTATTGGTGTGTCAGATGGTGTGTTTTTATTTATTAATAGTTGCACTGCTTCGTTTTATTGCAAGTTACAACCTCTCACACTAATGATTTATTGCAGGTTTTAACCTCTCACACTATTATGTTTTATCACAGGTTGCAACCTCTCACACTACTGTTTTATTGCAGGAGGTTGCAGCCTGTCACTGTACTATGTTTTATTGCAGGTTACAGCCTCTCACAGTACTGTTTTATTGCAGGTTGCAACCTCTCACACTGCTGTGTTTTATTGCAGGTTGGAACCTCTCACAGTACTATGTTTTTTTTTTTTGCAGATTACAACCACTTGCACTACTGTGTATTATTTCAGGTTACAGCCTCTCTCACTACTATGTTTTTTTTTGCAGGTTACAATCTCTCAGAGAAGTTTTATGATATCTTGATCAAGAAATATGATCGACACAATATCAGTAACATTGCCTTTGACAACTTTGTTCAATCTGCTGCCATTCTTCAGGTAATATCTTACTTTGTTCTTGTGTTAATAAAAAGAAAAAAGTAAAGGATCCTTTTTATGCAGACATGCAAGACATTTTGTATAGACCAGTTGTCACTCATTGGTTGATGTGGTCAACATCACTTGGTCGCCTTTACTTCCCAGGACATAACATGCTACTCATTTAAAGCTGGGTTGACCTTTTCCAAATTTTAAAGGGGAAAAAAAAAAACTAGATGCGGAATCAGACCCAGATTTGTGGGACGGCAGGCGAGTATCTAGCCACTCCAACGCCCCCTGTTGTTCAGTTTCCTGTCTTTTGTACTTGGTGTAGAAGACAAGCAGGATTTAGAGGCTTTATTAAAGATAAATTGTTCTAAAATAACAAAAGATCAAAGTCTGAAACAAGTGCAATAATTTAAAAACTTGGGATGCATCTTTACCCACATTGGTAAAATAGAGAGATAGAAATGAGAATCCAGCAAGCCAATAGTGTCACTCACCAACTTGCTCCAATTTTAAAACACCCTTTGATCCCAATAGAGACAAAAAGACAAACCTTAAAAAACAAAAAGGTTTAAATGTTGTAAAAATAAAAATTCATGATATGCTTCAGTTATGTGATGGTTGATTGATTTATTTCAGCCAACTATTTTCAGCTCAAAAGTCATCTTAATATTTTTCTTATAATTGTTCTCAGACGCTGACCAATTTCTTTCGAGCTGAAGACAAGGATCAAGATGGATGGATCGACATTGCCTATGATAACTTTTTGAACATCATCTTCAGTCTGAGAAGTTAAATTAATGTTAGCTGTTAGTGGGGCTGTACCGAATACGAATAACGGGACCAACTTTTCGGCCGAATACGAATACAAATAGTGAATAGTGTATGAAATATATTTAAAAAAAACATTCATAATGTCAAATGTACACTGAACTTTTACTTCACATAAAGTAGCACAGAATAGTCATCTTCTTCTTTAGCATTCTGAGCCCTTGAGGTTTACTGCTGCAGACTGTTTTTGAAAAACTGTAAAAAGGCCTCATCTTTTTCATTTCTGCTTCAAGTTTCAGAGCCAAAAAAAAACGACTGGTCTTTTCAACGTTTTATATATTTTGATCTTGGTGTTGCGAGACAGACACTTTGACTTTAGCAGATGTTGAAGGGCATAGTATACTTTATTTCTAGATTTTATTTCTTCTCTCAGAATGTTGGAGCAGTTGAAGTTTGCACCCAAGTACTTATTTGTTTCCGTTCGTTTGATTTTCATATTATCGACTTGGATGAGGCCGGAGTTTATATTCTTTCCATGTCTAGTTAGTATTCGAACAGAATAGTAAACATTTAAAAACATTTTATGTTTTTGCATCGTTCAGTCAGTCTGTGGTAACTAATAACTAGGAATGAAAGAATTCTAAGTATTATAACAAGTAACTAAACTTGGAAATTGTCACTGACAGCTTAGTTAATGCATGAAAGCTGCATTAGCTTTCAACAAAACCAATCGTTCCATGTTGTCAGTATTAAGGCCGTGTATGCAGAAGCGGGTGTAAGGTAACTAATATTCGTATTCGGCCCGACTGCAACTATTCGGCAGAATACCGAATAGTCAATAGGTCCACTATTCGGCCCCGAAGCGAATATTCGGTACAGCCCTAGTTGTTAGTCCTACTGTTGAATGGTAAGCAATAAAGAAGAAGGCTGTGAGAAAGAAAAAATTGAAAGATGAAGCGAAAAGATAATGAACATCACAAGATGATAAACATTGAATGATCAAGGAGAAATATAGCAGACATTCACAAGGAGGATGGTTAAGAATGAGGTTAAACAGGTCAATGATCGAGAGAGTGAAAATATTTGACCTTAATTGCAGCCAACCTCCACTGTGAAGACAGCAACTAATCTGATTGTTATTGGAAAATGCTGTTAGATATTTTTGCATCAGTACATAGTTTTTTTTATAAGAGCATTCTTGAATGTTACACTTCTATAAATACAAATCATTTATTGTAAGCTAATAATACAACTTGAATGGCTATTTCAAGCCAAAATGGTCGACCTGATGACACCTGGTTTTTATTCTATATGGCTTATTGTCTCTGCGGAAGAGTTAACTGCTTGTTGAAAACATCACACAAACCATGAACTCCATAGCTCTAGTGATGATCAAGGCTGTCCATTAAATTTCATCCATGAATTGAAAGATGCAGTCTATAACCAAGAACCCCCTGCTGTAGAGAGTGTGAGGCAGAGCGGGCCTTACAGTTGATGAGGCCCTAACCCCAGGGCTCCTACGGCATTCAATGACACCAGCTAATCTCCACGCGCGCGCGCACACACACACACACACACACACACACAAAACACTAACATTTATTGGCCTTTTAAATAATGGGTAATAGACAAAAAGTTGTTTAAAATATTTTTTAGAAATTAAAAAAAAAATGTGTAAAATCACATTCTATAATCATCTAAAAGCCTGTGAATTGCAGTTTAAACTTTTTTTTGAAATTTGCATATGGGGACAAAAATGTTTTGAGGCTTCTGCAGATTGTGAGGCCCCAAGCTGTAGCTTATTCAACTTACACCTAAATCCAGCTTTGGTGCAAGGCAAACGACTTCACCACAAACACTTGATATATTTTTTCTATGATACCATTTTATAATCATATTTATTAGATCATTTAATTCCTTGTTTACTCTTTGATATTTATATAATATACTGTTGTGCTAGCAAAATATTTAAACTTTTACATATTTAAATGATTATGTCTTTCAATTGTTTTCTGTTAGTTTCCTGGGTAATATTTATATTTTTGCTTTTAAAACACTTATTTATACTACTATAAGTTGAAGGATAAATTAATTATCATATTTATATAATTTATCATTAATAACTGGTAATAATATTGTAATTTTTCATAGCTGTTTTCATTTAATGTTGTTTACCTTCTCATTTCCCTTTCCTGTAAAAAGATCTGGTTTTCAGTTTCCTTACGTTCTGATTCTTCAATTGTGGTGAACCAGAGCTTGAACTAGCTTGTTGATGGAGCCTTTCTGTTGGTTAGTTGACGGAGCACATTGCGCTTCTATTCTCTGGTGTGTACCGGCGTGTTTGGAAATAAACAGGCAGACAGATTGGCTGGCTCTGCACAACTTAGTGGACTATTGATGCATCCATCACAAGGCAGACAATGTTACGGCCTAATGGGAGCACCTGTGGAATTTGGAAAAGCATACTGAACATCACAGTACAGTGAGAGTGATGCAGTGAGGAGTGACGAGGGGATATGGCCGATACTTGTCGCTAGAGGAAAGGCAAGACAGACATATATCACTGGTCAACACATTTTCAACAGTTTTCTGATTGACTTTAACATGTTGATTTCAAATATCCCAATGAACAAGTCATTATCCTCCGCCTCAGAACAGGGCACAACTGATTACGTAACCACATGGACACAAAATTCAAGATAGGCTTATCAGCCATGTGAACCTGTGGAAAGGTGCCCCAGACAGCAGAGTACAGCATGTACTCCAGGACTGCACCGAATTTGGCCAGAAAGAAAAGTGGAATGTAAACACTATGGACCACTTAATGAACTAACAACAACAGTGAAATTTATACAAGAGACAAAATTGCTGATATAGACAACTTATTTCAGGCGAACGAAAGAAGAAGAAGAAGAAGAAATATCGTAATGAAATTTCCCCATTGGCTCTGGTTGTGTTTGAAATGATGAATTTATGTGACAGTAATATGTGTTATTTTTTAAATGCCTTCTATTTTAGCTTTATAAAAATTATTATTGCATACTCAGTTAATAGATATTTCAACATAAAATGGTAGAAACAATAAATAATAAATATTTAAAATTCACATATAAAGTTTTGAAAAGAAACATTTGAACCTTTTTCCGTATTCAGGTGCTGTTTGAGGTCTCTTTGCTTCTTGTAGTCAGTTGATAAGATGTCTCTTGTCGCAATCCAACAGTAATCATCAAGTATTGCCTTGATACCTTGTCTCCATAACACTAGTGTGTGGAGGTTTCACAGAGAGATCCTCTCCAGTGCTGGTGTGTGGAGGTTTAACAGAGAGATCCTCTCCTGCACTGGTGTGTAGAGGTTTAACAGAGAGATTCTCTCCTGCGCTGGTGTGTAGAGGTTTAACAGAGAGATCCTCTCCTGCGCTGGTGTGTAGAGGTTTAACAGAGAAATCCTCTCTTGCGCTGGTGTGTAGAGGTTTCACAGAGAGATCCTCTTCTGTGGTGGTATGTAGAGGTTTGACAGAGAGATCCTCTTCTGTGCTGGTGTGTAGAGGTTTAACAGAGAAATCCTTTTCTGTCCTGGTGTGTAGAGGTTTGACAGAGAGATCCTCACCTGCGCTGGTGTGTAGAGGTTTGACAGAGAGATCCTCTCCTGGGCTGGTGTATAGAGGTTTGACAGAGAGATCCTCTTCTGTGCTGGTGTGTAGAGGTTTAACAGAGAAATCCTCTCCTGCGCTGGTGTGTAGAGGTTTGACAGAGAGATCCTCTCCAGTGCTGGTGTGTAGAGGTTTAACAGAGAGATCCTCTCCTGTGCTGGTGTGTAGAGGTTTCACAGAGAGATCCTCTTCTGTCCTGGTGTGTAGAGATTTCACAGAGAGGTCCTCTTCTGTCCTGGTGTGTAGAGATTTGACAGAGAGATCCTCTTTTGTGCTGGTGTGTAGAGGTTTCACAGAGAGATCCTCTTCGGTGCTGGTGTGTAGAGGTTTCACAGAGAGATCACAAGACCTATTGTCAGCAGTTTTCTTTGTTCCATTCGAGAGGAGATTATTTAAACTTGACAAATCTGCAGAGACATTTTTAAATTGTTTCCGGAACTAAAACTTTGTTCTGATCATATTGGTACTAGATTTATTTACAAATCATTATTTATATATAACTATTTTAGAAATTGGAATACTTTTAGTGTGCATATCTGAGATTCCTTCATATTCATTTGATTAAAGAAAATATACACACATAATTTTGACTTACGTGTTTGCTTTGTTAATTAACCCAGAAAATTATACTGGGAGGTGTACAAATAAGAAGAGGGTGGGGGGGGGGGGGGGTGTTGAGCTATTGTTACTTACAACTTTTTTCTCCTAACGCTGAACTTGGATCTGGAAGATCATCAGTGGCTGAATTGATATATTGTGCAGAAAAATGGTTTTTGGGCTTTATAAATATTATATTTTATCATTATTATATTTTTATAATAATTCTTTGTAACGAAAGCCATTGGTTCTCGTATGTTTAAAGTTACGTGCCACTGTCTACCTTGTCCTTATAGTCTTGACTCCAGGTTTTAAAAAATCCTATTTACCAACCAAACTATTATATGTTTATGTTGAAATCACATTTCCTCTTACTGCTTCTTCATGCTGACTGAATGGAAACTCTGGAGGCAAGTTCTGGTTGTTCGTCTACTTTTGGACTTTCATTTTATTCCATAACTTCAGTTTTTCATTTTAGAGATCTGGCTCATTAATGCACACAGTGTTGGTTCCTCACTTCTCAGGCAGATACACTCTGACTTTGAAGAAAACATGACCCATTTTTTAGAGCAATAGGTCTATTCTTTCATCCTTTCCTCCAAAAATGAGTTTTCCAAAACCAGTACACGGAACATTACCTGTTTGTTTCAGAGCATTTGTCATCTTAATATTGAAACTGAATGGCAAATAAATATAATAAAATAACTAAAATAATATTAACAGTGTAGGCAAATATTTTAACCCGTCACCCTGAGAAAGCCTATTTTCAAATTAAAATTTTTTTTTTTTAGCGACATGACATCTTTAGGCAATACCCACTACTTTGTTAATGGTAGTAGTAGATTTTTACCCCTCTAGGACATCACACAAACGATAAATACCTGTGACACAAAGTGCCACCATGTGGATGAGGATCACTGTGGAGAGGTCCCAGAAACCGCGTTCAGTCATTAGACCATGGTTGGGCTATATTGCGGCCCCTGGCAAGAGCCAGGGTGGGGCTTCAAATAACGAAAAATTGCATCTCACAAGATGTCTGGATAGTCAAGTTTTGGTACTGGTTGCAATTGCAAAGTTATGAGACATGGTAGGTGCAACTAAATGTCAGAAATTGTATTTTCTTTAAGGTACTATTTTTAGTGGAAAGAAAATGTGGGGCGGGGGTCTTCGTGACATCATAATAAACACGATGATGTTCACTTTGTCCGCTGTGGCTGCGTCAAAAAACTTTTGGCTACTTTGTCAAAGGGAAGGAAAGAAGATATTTCTTTGCTTTGTTTATATTTCGAGATTACTTCCCTTAATATAAAATCACCTTTGTGTAAAATACTGATTCTAATTATGAAAAATCAATCTTTCTAGACTTAGTATAGTTGAATTTTTAGTTTCAGCTTCATAACAAACGGGTCACCCCATCTTTGCTCCACTCCTGTGCCAACGAAAAACACACAGAATGTTTATCACAGTCCCTTGTGGAAAGATTGACAGACTGCTGTCTCGGCATATCTAGCATACACACGCATTAAAGCATACGGTAGCCATCCGAAGTGCTAACACAAACAGTCCGACATTAGAAATGCAGTTCATCATTGATGGTAGCAGAAGTCACCAACAGATCAGCAGTTGCCCACGCGATCAATTTTAATCACATACGGGCATCACCAACATTGTGACAACATCGGAGGACTAACAACTTGTGGTATTGTCCAAAGTGCAGTTAAGTAGATTGTGATAACAGCAAGCAACTTATTCTAAGCCGTTTTTGGAATTGCTCAGAACTAACTGAAATTTGCATACAGTTTACTTACAGCTGAGAGTCCCCGTGGCGGAGCGGCTAGACGCAAGCCGAGGATAGGAAGGTAGTGGATTCGCTTCCTGGAGGAGCCGGACTTTTTTCAAAAATAACCTTGGCTTTCAGGTCGACCCAGCCTTGAATGGGTACCGGGTGCAGTCCCGGGAAGTAGAGGCGGCCGGCGTGATGCTGACCATATCACCCATCTTGTGCCAATTGGTCTATAAAAATATAAGTCTAGCCCTATATGCCCTATGCGCATAAAGGCGTGGAAAAGGGTCCTTTACTTTTACTTACAGCTTAAGGCAGATAGTCTAACGGCAACCCTTATTAATTGGCACTTATGACATTCATAGTGGGTTACAGTGTTACTGTTACAATGGGAAGCTTCTCCCAAAAGGTCTGGGAAGCTACAGGCCAGGAAAGGACACTTGGGCAAATGCGGCCACTTTTGCTTTTGACGTCTATGCAGGGTTCCAGAACAGACAGGAAACTATGGCGGTAGGACTGGATCTCGAGGATGCTTACAACAGAGTGAGATACGACATCTTAATGACTGCACTGAAGGAGAAGGAGGTCAGTCCATGGCTGGTGAATTGGGTTGCAGCTGTCCTGTATTCACGTCGGGTTGCTCTCCGACTGGGCTCATGGACCTCAGAACCATGAACTTTGGCCCCAGGACTGCCACAGTGACCCGCCATCTCGCCTGTGCTCTTTAACGTGTATACGAGCAAGATTGCAAGCATAGAAGCACCAGGAGTTGGAAGGATACTGAATTTTGCGGATGATATACTTGCATATAGGCAGGGGGAAAAGAGGGAACAAACAGCCCGGGAGCTACAAGCGACAGTAGACAAAGTGACTGAGTGGTGTACAGAAATGAGGGCTGTCGTCCACCTGGAAAAAGCATATGTTTTGTGGTATTCTCTGGACAACAGAATCGTTAAAACTAATGTCCCAAGTCTCACAATAGATGGTAGAGACGTCAACAGAGAGAGCAAACTGAAGTATCTGGGAATTATATTTGACAGGAGCCTGTCATTTAAGGACCATGTGGAGAGTGTTGTGACGAGATGAGACTTGGTGCACTTAAGACTATGGCTGCAATTGACAGAGAATGCTTTTCACACTATATCAGTACCTGATCCTGTCAGTGGTGGATTATGGTCTGGGACTGCTTACCGTCTCAAAGAGTCAGATGGACAAACTAGAGCGCATACAGATCGCGGCTATGCAGGTCATTCTGGGTTGCACTAGAGACACCCCAGTGGTGTGTATGCGATACATCCTTGGTTTGCCGACGGTTGCAGGTAGGCACAAGGTGCTGCAGGCGAAGTCATATCTCAGGGTAGCTGCAGACACAGACCACCCTCTGCATGAAGCTCTGGGTGCAGTTAAGGGTCAGCGGCTGATATGAGGGAGGTCATGGATGGCTCAGGCAGAAGACACAACCAGACAGGTTTGCATCCATGAGAACATTAGGCGAGGAGAGGAGTGGGTCAAAGTGCCACCTGAACAGTCAGACTTGTGTGGAGTCATAATCACGCTGAGCAGGGAATGCAGACACTGGCCAGCCGTTGCCACAGAGGTGGAAATTCAACAATTAATTCAAAATGCTAGCTCAGAGGATTTGATCATTTACACAGACGGTTCAGTGTCAAGAGGCAAAAGAAGTGCTTGGGGCTTTTTAGCAAAAGTTAATGATCGACGTTTGGTACAGGAGAGCCAAGCGTATGATACCACAACATCCAGCTTAAGAACAGAGGTGGAGGCGGTCACTGCAGCTTTCCGCTGGCTAGAGAACACGACACACACACATCGTGATTGTAACTGATTCAGAAAGCATGCTGAACAGGCGGACAGACTGGCTGGCTCTGCACAACTTGGTGGAATACTGATACATGATAAGGCAGACGTGGTTAGTGCCTTGTGGGAGAGCGTGTACAATTCGGAGGAGCAGATGGCTCACCACAATCTGATGAGATTGATGCAGTTGGGGGTGACGAGAGGTTCTGGCAGATGCTCGAGGCTCAGAGGAAAGGCAAGACGGACGTTTAATCAGAATGCTACTGGCACCATTATTATCGGAACTCTTCGCTGGCTGCTGAAGATGGGGACTGAGCGCTTTTGGGAATGCCCCGAGTGATGTGATGTCGGTTCTTGAATCAAATCAAATCAAATTAAAACAATGCTTAGCTTTGCATCATTGGTACCTTCTTACCAGATATGACACACGGACGATGATAAACATGGCTAAGAAAAATAAGGCGAAGGAGGAGGGGGATGAAGAAGCTATGTTTTAAATGTTTTAGCATCAAACACACACTTCCTCCTCCTCCACTTTTTTTTTCCTTTTTTTTGGATCATCATCATCATCAAGTGGCCTTGCAATAATGCCTCTTCAACCTTTCCGTCCGTGTGTTAACTCTTCTTCATGACATGACAAAGAGCTGTCAAGAATTCTACGGATTCTTCTATGAAACCACAATACTTCTGTTTATAACACTTGGAATAATGTTTATGTTTATTCAACGGATGAACATCATGGAACACAGGTGTAACCCATTAGTGCTCCGTTCTTTTTCTAACTCATGCCTGAGTCTGAATTATCTCAGCGCAGTGCACGAACTTTGTTGCACCGGCGAGGATCCTGAAATACTTTGGGTAGATTTTTAATTCAAAATTTTGCCCGGGCAAAGACCTACCCACTGTCCATTGTCCTTAGAGATCTACATACTCTCCATGCCTCGTTTGTGTATTTCACTTATGTTTGAAAAAGGCTGCCCGGTCGAAACGTTACGTTGTGTTGTTTTGTGCATGTTTTCCTCTTTCCAATTTTGTTGAGCTTTTTAGTCAAATTTCTCTGGAATCCACTGTCCATTTGTTTGTTTCGTTAACTGTGAACAAAAATACTGCACGATTTTTTCCGTGCCTGACGTCTGTTTACTATGGCGGCTGATTTGACAAGTTAGTTCTTGCTTTGGATTTTCACTCAGCACATAACGACAGGCAGCAAGACGGATCTCATAAGGGCATTCTTAGTTATTGCAACAAGTAATTAGTTAGATGAAAACGAACTGTATTAACATGGAAGTACACAAAACAAAGAATTATTATTGTGTTTAAGTTCAACAGTCGCGGCGTCTGCTGAGTCGTTTGAGATTGTCCGCTGTAACATTCTTTGCCGTATATTTACTATATTAGACACTGGATTTTTAATAAGCTAAGTAAAATCTACGGAACTTGAAGTTTTTTTAAAATGTATAATAAACGAAGACTATAGAAATACGTTTTCCCATCAGTAAAATCACATAAAATGTTAAAACTTATAACTGCACTGTTAAAAAAATAATATTTATTTTGTTGTAAACTTTGATCACTAACGATGGCCAGTTTGCTAACGAACGATATCGACTTTAGTGGACTGTTTAGAAAATTAGGTAAGTAACAATAGTATTTGTTGTACCAGCATTTTATATTCTGTAAAATGTTTCTTCTTCATTGACTCACTTTGTATTTAATTATGTTCCAACTATACAGAAGGAGGCTCTCCTCCGAAAGTCTACCCCTGCATTATGGCGGCAACAATTATCCTTACGGGGCTCAGTTCTTTTAAAAATATGCCGGCTCCGTATAACGAAACAAATGCTCTAACAGGGTCTCAGCGATATGTTACTTGCAGACCTGTTTCTGTGACTATGCCTCACCGCCGACCGTATCCCCCGCGCCGCGAGTAGCGGCACGGATGGGGGCTAAACTAGATGGCTGGGACTAGGAGCAGCAGCTACCGCATCTCCCGCAACTTCCTCCAATTAATTTGCTCGTGAGTCCCAGGCACCTAGTTTAGCCCCCCCATCCGCAGCGCGGGGGATACTGTCGACGGTGAGTGTAACTGCGTTTTGCGCATGCCGACAAGTTTGAGGACAATGATCACGCTAATCTGCGTCGGGGCATGTGGACTCCCCGCCATGTGGCTTTTATCGTCAGTAATGTTGCGTGCCTCGAAAGTGTCAACGGTCGCTATTATCGTCTGCTACTATCGTCTGCATGGTTTAGAAAACTTATTAACCTCACTCCAAAGAAATAGTGAAAATCATAACTTATTTCTTAACATAGCAAAAACAAAGATAATGCATACAAACAAAACTGCCATGGAGAAGGAAATATATGTTAATGAGGAAAGATTGGAAGTGGTGGAAAATTTCGAATATCTTGGGTCACTGGTTACCAACAATGGTGACACAATGAAAGAAATTAAACGGCGACTATCAATTGCTCTTCAAAGACTAAAACAACTGAATAAATTATGGAATTGTACAGATAGAACTACAAAGGTCAGATTTTTAAGAGCATGCATCTTTCCCATTGCAACATACGCCTGTGAGACCTGGACACTTACTAAACAAGCGGAACAGCGCATAAATGCATTTGAATATAAATGTTACAGACAGGTTCTAAGAATATCTTGGGTAAAGAAAAGAACAAATGCATCCATACTTCAAGAGCTGAATATTGAAGAGGGTTGGCTAGTAAAGACAATAAAACAAAGAAAATTGAAATATTTTGGTCACTTGAAACGTCATGGAAGTCTAGAGAGAACAATAATGGAGGGGTATATGCCTGGGAAGAGAGGAAGAGGAAGGCCAAGGAGAAGATGGGTGCAGGATGTGGCAGATGATCTCCAGATGGGTGTATCAGACGCAGGACATCTTGCTCAGGATAGGAAGGTTTTCCGGAGGGTTGTTATGGCAGCGAGGTTCCGCGAAGGACATGCTACTATCGTCTGCAGTGTTACGTCTCTTGAAATTGTCAGGTAATCCTAGTTTTGCCGTGATTCGTTCGTCGCTGGAAGTTCGCATATTTTTAATAGAACTGAGCTCCGTACGGATATTTGTTGCAGCTATAATGCGGGTAGAAGTTCGGAGGAGAGCCCAGATGGGGTTCAGGCTACAGAACAGGCTGCACACTTAATTTATGCTTGTTGTTAGCCACTGCTAATGAAGCTAATAAAAGAAGGGCTATCTTCCAAATAATGGTCCCAAATTATCGATGCAGAAAAAATACCCTAACAGGGCCTCAGTCACGTGTCAGTTTTGCATTTCCGGTGACTATACCGCCACCGCTGAATTGCGAACTTCCGGGGACTATACCGCCACTGCCTAGAGTATCCTCCACGCCGCTCACGTGGTGTGGATTGGGACTAAACTAGATAACTGGGACTCACGAGCAAATAAAATCGAGGCAGCTGAAGGAAATGCAGTAGCTGCTGCTCGTGAGTACCAGCTATCTAGTTTAGCCCTAATCCACGCCGCGTGAGCTGCGTGGGGGATACTCTCGGTGGTGGCAGAAGTGCACAATTTAGGTCGCCGGAAGAGCGCAATTGACACGTGAGTGAGGCCCTGTAAGGTATATTTTCTGCCTCAATAATTTGGGACCGTTATTCGGAAGATAGCCAAAAGTAGATCTCTATATACAACAATAAGAAAGAGACAAACACTGTTCTTTTGCCACATAAGAAGAAGAGAGACATTGGAGAATATTGTGACAACTGGAAAGATCAGCGGAAAAAGCAGTAGAAGCAGACTAAGAGAGATGATGCTGGATGGGCTGAAACAATGGCAAGGAGGGATATCATCAAGAGAGCTGTTCCAGGCAACCAGGTATCATGTGGGGACGCATGTGCTCTACCCCAGTGATGATGATGATGTTTGCCACCAGACCTTATTTTTACTTCTGCACTGTTAATGTTACAGACTGTTGATGGTGGTCAGCTGACACAGCTCAGACAGACATGATGATGAGCACCAACTAAACAGCATGGGATTCAAGAAGAAGAAATAGTGCCAAGTATTTATTACCTTGAGCAGCCATGGCTTATTGTCTTGTGGTGTGGCTCCTGGACAGAGTGGTGTGCCTGAGATCTTCACTGGTGTGTCACCACAACAAATATACTACATGATTGCTCTTATGGGTCAGATTTGCATTCTGTTTCTGCTGAATTCTGGGCATTCATGTAGGAAGTACTGTGACATCAGCTGAATTCTGGGCATTCATGTAGGAAGTACTGTGACATCAGCTGAATTCTGGGCATTCATGTAGGAAGTACTGTGACATCAGCTGAATTCTGGGCATTCATGTAGGAAGTACTGTGACATCAGCTTTAGTGTTTGACAGCTGTTTGCCAGTATCTCTGGCCCATTCAGCAAATGTTACACTGCGTTCAGTCTTGTCCCAAGCCAAACCTGCTGGTTTCTGTCTAGCTTTTTAATGATGTTATGATCTGGTTGTCATCTTGATTTAATTGTTCATAAACTGTTCCCAATATTCCCTGTGTATACTTCTCTTTCCTCTGAGGTACATAATTGCATTTGCTGTTTACAGAATAGCTGCGACAGTTGCGACTTTCGACCTACACATCCATCTTCATCAGGAATTTTTTCACCGGGTTAGCCTACCCAGTTGGTTTTGTGGGACATGTAGCCTCATTTGTGTGGTATCGACTTTGTTCCTTTATCTATAGTTTTTGCTCATGGACAACCTATCCAAGACAACTGCCTATAGACTGGTAGGCCCTCAAGGGAAGGCAGGGAAAGATCATGGCCATTCCCACCATCCAAGGAGGCTTCCATAAGTGCAGAGTTGACATGTGATGCTGTGGTCCTGGGCTCACCCAGGAATGGTCAATGCCTGCAGGTGACTGCTTAACCTCACATCCGTTTGTCTCTCCCCACTCATCATGGGCTGTGCCCTGTAGAGATCAACAGGAGCAGCCCGTAGGCTGGGGCTTTGATGACCATACACATGGGCAGTCTCCTCTAGCATGTTAAGACATCTTTAGTTGTGTTGCAGCAGGACACCTAGCATGATAGTATTGGAAAAGCATGCATCAGGCGTAGCTTCCTCATTGGGTCCCGACACTCCGATGAGTGGGGCCAGTGGTACCTTTTCTTGAGTAGACATGGGCCATCTTGTCTCTTCGTTTATCTCTGTCTTTGGTATTTTAATAATGTTCATGTTGCTTTTATTACCATTTGTTGCCCGTCCCATGTGGGTTCCATTGGTGGTGGTGGTGGTGGGGGGAATGGGGAATTTAATAATTATTTTTTCACGTTATAAAAGTTGACTAATTAGGGGTTTGCTGAAGGCAGATTTTTTGGACAAGAAGGTGCAGATATCACAGCCTAGTTGTAAACTGCAACACAGTGTATGCTATCACGCTTTTAATGGTGAATGCAGAAGAAAATTTGTTACCAAGGTGATTTCAGCTTTCCATTTATATATACAAACAGGACACTCACTGGAAGAAATCCGAGTTCGAGCACTAGAGAACATCCTATCCAAGTTGGAACACAGTCTGATTTGTGATGCAGACATTATCCACGAGAAACAGCTGTACATCCGTCTGCTGGAGTGGTTCAATTACCCAGAATGCTCCCACAAAGCTGATGTCTTAGCTCTCATCTTCAGACTGGCACAGGTAGTTCATTTCAGATTCAGCTTAAAAAATACACACATAGTTCGGGTAGCGGGTCCGGTCCAGAATGTACCACTCATTGCAAAGGAGAATGAGAGTTGTTTGAGCTTCTTCTTCTACTTCTTTTGTTTGCTTGAAATAGATGATCTTATCTGCAGTGTCATCTTTAGTATGAATTTCACTTTGTGTTGTAATTCAGTCAGCAACCCGTCAAGTTTGGCTTTCATCAGAGTTTATTGTTTAAGCGAAAGAAAGCCTCAAATATAATGTCACAGTATCTAGCATGAGAATGGAGGTGGAGGCAGTAATGGCAGCTTTCTGATGGCTGGTGAGGTAGTGCAGACTGATATGCTGTAATTGTAACTGACTCGCAAGCATGCTTTGGAAAATTGAAACTGGTGTCTTCAGCTCAGATTAGCTTGTCACTTGATAAGCCTAAAAAAAGAAGCATATCTAAGGTATTTTGTCTAGGACATTCATTGAGAAGGCTGATAGATTAGCTGGTGCTGACCCTCTGGGCAGTGAGCTACTTTACGATAAAGCAGGTGTGTGAAAGCTCTCTGGGGCTAAATAGATGGTGCAGCAGACCAGACAGCATCCATATCTGGAGCACATGATTCAGCTGTGAGAGAGAGGGTCTGAGCAGTGAGAGAGGAGTATCAGCTGTGAGAGAGGAGAGGGTCTCAGCTGTGAGAGAGGAGAGGGTCTGAGCTGTGAGAGAGGAGTCTCAGCTGTGAGAGAGGAGAGGGTCTCAGCTGTGAGAGAGGAGAGGGTCTGAGCTGTGAGAGAGGAGTCTCAGCTGTGAGAGAGGAGAGGGTCTCAGCTATGTGAGAGTAGAGGGTCTCAGCTGTGTGAGAGGAGAGGGTCAGAGCTGTGTGAGAGGAGAGGGTCTCAGCTGTGTGAGAGGAGAGGGTCTCAGCTGTGAGAGAGGAGAGGGTCTGAGCTGTGAGAGAGGAGAGGGTCCGAGCTGTGAGAGAGGAGAGGGTCTGAGCTGTGAGAGAGGAGAGGGTCTCAGCTGTGTGAGATGAGAGGGTCTCAGCTGTGAGAGAGGAGAGGGTCTCAGCTGTGAGAGAGGAGAGGGTCTCAGCTGTGAAAGAGGAGAGGGTCTCAGTTGTGTGAGAGGAGAGGGTCTCAGCTGTGTGAGAGGAGAGGGTCTCAGTTGTGAGAGGAGAGGGTCTCAGCTGTGTGAGAGGAGAGGGTCTCAGCTGTGAGAGAGGAGAGGGTCTCAGCTGTGTGAGAGGAGAGGGTCTCAGCTGTGTGAGAGGAGAGGGTCTCAGCTGTGTGAGAGGAGAGGGTCTCAGCTGTTAGAGAGGAGAGGGTCTGGATAGTTTTCTGCGTCTGTGTGTATGTGTGTGAACGGTTTTATTTCAGTTTTCAAGAAAAGGTAACATTCACTTAAAACAATAGTTGTTAATTTTCTTGGAAATCAGGACTGATTAAGTGAGCTGGTCACCTCATCTCATTGTGATGTGACCTAGTGTATGTGAAAAACTAACACTTTTTACATGCATGGCAGTGTCTGTAATATGATTATTAATGTATGCTTGTGGTACATGAGTTAACCAGTGTTTGGTTCATGAAGAAAGCTACACGAATGTCAGTAAACCATAGGGTGAGGGAAACATGCTGTAAAGACACAAAGGGAAAAAAACCCTGAGAAACCTGTTAACAGCATAAATAGTAAGTTATTACCCTGGAATTAACAAGATTAAAAGAAAATATAGAGAGGCCGGGAGAAGAAGGCAGAACGAGAGATAGCAAATTTAAATAAAAAAATGTATAGGATAATTCAGAACCTATTTTTACTTTAAGGGGACACAATTAAAAGAATTTCCTTTACTAACGTGTTTGCTCCACCATGAGAGAGTTTTTTATTTTTCACCTTGATTTTCTGCCACCCCTCTCCCCCTCCCTCTGCACCTTCCAGCTGCTACCTGAGGGTTTGACCTCCCTGAGATTTAAAAATAATCTAAACCTGGATGGCAAGCCAAAATGGCAAATTCCAGATCCATGCTCAACCTTCAGAGAGGTTATAACCACCCATAAAAGCTACAACAACATAGGATAACTTGCAGTCCGGTACAGAGTGGAGATATGGTACTGTGATTATCCTACACATTGTTTTGTTTTTGCAGCATTCGGCAGGTTCGCAAATTCTGCAGGACATTGGAGGTGAAGAGTTTCTTTCGCAGCTGCGGGCTGACATTGAACCATGTCACAGACCAGTCATTGATCAGATCCTGGAGAGCATTATGCTCTTGCCTGATGTGGACACACAGATTCATGCACCTGAGTGCATCTATCATAAACCCACAGAGAGTGGTAGGTTGGGCACTGTCTTAGACCCAGCATGTTTGTGAATGAATGTAGGACACAGAGTTAGACCATGTAAGAGTTAATGACTGTATAAGTTAGATTCCTGTAGATGTCTTATGAGACATTCCATACCACATATGTGTCTCAGAAGACATACCATGCCACATAGATGTCTCAAAAAACATAACCATGCCACATGGATGTCTCAGAAAACATACCATGCCCCATAGATGTCTCAGAAGATATACCATGCCACATAGGTGTTTCAGAAGACATACCATGCCACATAGGTGTCTCAGAAGACATACCATGCCATTTAGGTGTCTCAGAAGACATATAATGCCACATAGGTGTCTCAGAAGATATACCATGCCACATAGGTGTCTCAGAAGACATACCATGCCACATAGGTGTCTCAGAAAACATACCATGCCACATACGTGTCTCAGAAGACATACCATGCCACATAGATGTCTCAGAAGATATACCATGCCACGTAAGTGCCTCAGAAGACATACCATGCCACATAGATGTCTCAGAAGACATACTATGCCACATACGTGTCTCAGAAAACATATTATGCCACATTGGTGTCTCATGAGACATTCCATGCCACACAGAGATCTCAGGACATTGACATCAGCAAATCTGAAGCTATCTAGGTCTGTAATTTTGAAAAATATAAAAATGCAGGAAGATTTATTTTTAATTTTTTTTTTTAAATTTATCATTTAGTACTTTTTTCAAGTAATGGAAACAGTTTTAAGTGATTTGTCATTTATTATATCATCAAGCAATCTGCTGATTTGTCATTTAATAGAATATGTGGCCAGTAACGCTTGAATTGATTCATTATTTAATCAGAGAGTCTTTGGACAAGATGTTTTCATTATTTAATCTGTGAGTCTTTGGACTCAGTATTTGTTTTCATTATTTGGGAGTGGAGTGTTAAGTCTCAGATGCTGGTATCATTTTATGGTACAGGATCAAAGAAACCCAGACATGTTGAGTCTAAGATGTCAGTTCCAAGATGCAAAGGGAAACAATAAAACCACAGTCTGTTTTAGGATGAGCAAAGAAGAAGAAGGAAACAGTTTTATACATCTTCCTGGTTTGCTTTGTCCTTAGTGAATAGAATGTTTTCTTAGTCTTTAAAAAAAAATGTTCCTGGCTGATTTATGCACTTTCAGCTGTGTGGGGAAACAGTGTGTCATCTGCTGCCGAAGGGTCAAGATCACATTTGTCACAGACCTCGGACAGTTTGAGAACTCGTGCTGTTGCTAGCGCAGAGCGGCTCAGTCAACACTTGCAGGGAGGTCCTGGTTATTTTACAGAGAGAACAGAGCAGATCCCACAAGCTGCTGCAGATCCAGGGAGATGTGAGCCCTCGTCAGATTTTTTTATTGCTGCTGAAGAATCTGCAGGTAGGTTCATGTCAGCACGTGGGTAATGTCAGTAAGTGGGTTCACATCAGCACATGGGGTAATATTAATAGGTGGGTTAATGAGTTAGATAATCTTCACAGCACTTCGGACACATCCGCAGGCACTCAGATTCCCCTCTCAACATATTCATTAGCATTGTTGGCTGTGCCGATGTGTACTCCCAATTCGCGTATTCTTAGCGTGATTTAGACACGTTGCTTCTAAAATCCTCAGAATGTCCTATCTCTCTAAGGGCAATGACAATGTCTGCGTGATTTATGGGCCGGCTATTTTCAGTTAATGCAGCATCTGCCAGTCTGTCAGCTGTCTCATTACCAACAACGCCTGCATGTCCTGGGACGAATATGAAAGTAACTGCACACACAGGAGAATTTTGCATCAACATAATCCACTGTCTGCGTGACCAGCTCAAAGAATCACTGAGCACACACACGTGGGAATATTCTTGGTATTGTAGGCACATGAAAGCTTGTGCCACCGCCATCACCTCCATTGTCATGCTACTAGTGGTCAAGGAGAAGACACTGCAGGCTTCTTGAACTGTTCTGCCTGAAGAATGAGCTGTAAATGCCAGCAAGTAATTAATATCAGTGGGTGGGTTCGTGTCAGGAGATGAGTTCATTTGATGATGATGTTGGACTGTGTATGGAAGCAGTCATTGTTAATAAATGTTTTTATGAATCTATGCACAACATGAATTTAAAATTGAAGTGTACCACTATAGATTCCTTAAGTTTTTTTTCTGTTTTTGGTTTTTGTTTCCAGACAGTATTGAAAGTCTCTTTCACTTGTCTACATTTCCTTGGATGCCTTTGACACACACAGACCAGCATGTGATTGCTTCAACCAACAGGTATGTTCTAGAGGATTCAGTCTACTTCCATTCACACACATACACATGTATGCATGCACGCACATATGGATGAGCACGCATGCACGCACACACAAACACGCAAACAGAGGGAGAGAGGAGAGAGAGAGAAACTAAATATGATTGCCATGGGTGTGTTTGTATGTAGAGTATTCAGCTCACTTCCACAGACCAGAACATGTTTGCCTTATCACACATTTGAGCCAAGTTCCATTCCCTGTTTGGCATGTAATTAATCTCCTGTTAATGAAACACCTAAAACTGACACAGGAAACATGACTAATCTTGGCCCAGTCTCTTAACACCTGGTAATGCCCTTATGTAGGAAGCACAACTGACCTTGGTCCAGTCTCTTAACACCTGGTAATGCCCTCATGCAGGAAGCACAACTGACCTTGGTCCAGTCTCTTAACACCTGGTAATGCCCTCATGCAGGAAACATGACTAACCTTGGCCCCAGTCTCTTATCACCTGGTAATGCTCTCACATGGTAATGCCAGTCTCTCATGCTCTCATGTAGGAAACATGACTAACCTTGGCCCCAGTCTCTTATCTGGTAACATGTAGGAAACATGCTGGCCCCAGTCTCTCATGTCAGGAAACATGACTAACTGACCTTGGTCCAGTCCCTTAACACCTGGTGCTCCTCTTAGGAAACATGACTAACCTTGTCTCTTATCACCTGGTAATGCTCTCATGTAGGAAACATGACTAACCTTGGCCCCAGTCTCTTATCACCTGGCAATGCTCTCTGGTAATGACTAACTCTGGTAATGCTCTCATGTAGGAAACACCTTGACTAACCTTGGCCCCAGTCTCTTATCACCTGGTAATGCTCATCATGACCTTGGCCCAGGATCACCTGGCATGCCCTCATGCAGGAAACATGACTAACCTTGGCCCCAGTCTCTTATCACCTGGTAATGCTCTCATGCAGGAAACATGACTAACCTTGTCTCCCAGTAATGCTCTCATCATGACTAAACCTTGGCCCCAGTCTCTTATCACCTAGGAAACATAACCTTGGCCCCTCTCTTAATGCTCTCATGTAGGAAACATGACTAACCTTGTAATGCTCTCATGTAGGAAGTAACCTTGGCCCCAGTCTCTTATCACCTGGTAATGCTCTCATGTAGGAAACATGACTAACCTTGGCCCCAGTCTCTTATCACCTGGTAATGCTCTCATGTAGGAAACATGACTAACCTTGGCCCCAGTCTCTTATCACCTGGTAATGCTCTCATGCAGGAAGCACAACTGACCTTGGTCCAGTCTCTTAACACCTGGTAATGCCCTCATGCAGGAAACATGACTAACCTGGCCCCAATGCTTATCTCATGTAGGAAACATGACTAACCTTGGCCCCAGTCTCTTATCACCTGGTAATGCTCTCATGTAGGAAACATGACTAACCTTGGCCCCAGTCTCTTATCACCTGGTAATGCTCTCATGTAGGAAACATGACTAACCTTGCCCCCAGTCTCTTATCACCTGGTAATGCTCTCATGTAGGAAACATGACTAACCTTGGCCCCAGTCTCTTATCACCTGGTAATGCTCTCATGCAGGAAGCACAACTGACCTTGGCCCAGTCTCTTATCACCTGGTAATGCCCTCATGCAGGAAACATGACTAACCTTGGCCCCAGTCTCTTATCACCTGGTAATGCTCTCATGTAGGAAACATGACTAACCTTGGCCCCAGTCTCTTATCACCTGGCAATGCTCTCATGTAGGAAACATGACTAACCTTGGCCCCAGTCTCTTATCACCTGGTAATGCTCTCATGTAGGAAACATGACTAACCTTGGTCCAGTCTCTTAACACCTGGTAACATAGGAAACATGACCTTGGCCCCAGTCTCTTATCACCTGGTAATGCTCTCATGTAGGAAACATGACTAACCTTGGCCCCAGTCTCTTATCACCTGGTAATGCTCTCATGTAGGAAACATGACTAACCTTGGCCCCAGTCTCTTATCACCTGGTAATGCTCTCATGTAGGAAACATGACTGACCTTGGCCCAGTCTCTTAACACCTGGTAATGCCCTCATGTAGGAAACATGACTGACCTTGGCCCAGTCTCTTATGACCTGGTAATGTCCTCATATGGGATCCATGATAGTGTGGTGGCCAGCTGCTGGCCTTGTCAGCTGATGTCTTGGGTTTAAATCAGTCAGATTTGTGTCAAAATTCACTTTAACTCCCAAGTGTGGCTAGCCTTAGATGGGCACCATGTCATGTTTAGGAATGAAAGTCAGCTGGCATGAAGTTAATGACATCATCCACCCACTGCAGAAGATCTATAAAAAATAAAACAATGTCTAGTGTCCTATTTCCATTGCACTAGTGGTAACACAAAGGGTCCTTAACTTTCAAACAAAATATGCCCATATGCCTGTTGGCAGTTGTGAAGTTGCACTCTTACATACCACTGGTTTCTCTGCTTGAAAGGGGCATTCAAGCCAGTGCAGCACAGTTCCTTTTGAGATGATAGTTTAGTATTGGGTTGGGAGAAAAGTTGAACCCAAACTCTGATAGATACAAGCCCTTTTCAGGACTTGTGGGGCCTAAATAAAATGCATTCTTTACCTAGTTTTTATATGTGTCTGACACTGAATGGAAAACTTACAAAGCTTTTGTGGTTTAGGAAAAAAAACAGTAAGTAAGTTTGCTTACATCAGTGAAATAATTGCATGTAGAAGAATTGAATTTGCTTTTCTGTTCAATGGCAGTTCTCTGCAGACTCGAAATCCTGGCAACCTTGTTGAAGCTTGTGAGTTTCTTGCAGACGTGGTGTTTCAGGATTTCCCCGCTGAGATTTTCTTACAAAGACCTGAAATTCTGAAGGTGAGGCAGACATGAAACAAGTTTAGTTAGTTTCTGAGAGTTCAGACTGTGTGTTTTCTTGTCATGAAAAATTCTTTCTTATAGTTTTCACATGTTGCTTTCTGTAAAAATATTTTGGGAACTATGAGTTATAAACGACAACTCACTGAATGGCAACAGACCTGAATGAGGCTTCTTAAATATGGCTGCTAGAGTAGGGAATCCACTGTGGAACCGTTTGTAATATCTGTTGTCAACAGCTCCAACAAATAGCTTCATTTTCTGCTATATTGTGGTTTACAGCTAGGCTTTGATATCTGTAAATTTTGAACCACCACAGCCAGTTTGAACACATATTTAATTAGTCGCTGGTTATGAGGGAGGCAGTGAGTCTTTTCATCTGGTTCCCAAAATTAGGGCCTCGGAACACACATGGGGAAATAAGTAGGTGATCAGACATTTCAGGTTTTGCTGTGTAGATCAGGCACTTGGAAACTACTGCCACCTGATGGGACATAGATTCTTCCTCATTGTTATCATCTAGTTGATGTCTTTGGGTGTTTACAGTTAATCACTGGGTACTACTCACAAAAGATACCACATCTTGTCGGCAGCGAAATTTAGTAGCGGTTTCCACTTGTTGTCCTGTGTTCTAGAGGTGTGTTTTATGAGATGTCTTCCTTTACCGTCTATACACAGCCTGCCGAAAAGTACTGGGGTTCGTTTGACGCAGGCGACTCACTGTCTTCTGGACAAACTGCACAGCTTTCTTTCCGCAACTCTCTTTTCTGTGAATGACTGTTGTTTCTGGAATGTGTGTCGTTGTGAGTAGGTCCAAGGCGCCTGAGCGCAAAGAAGAAATACTGCAGGGGAAAGCCCTGAAGGTGCGATCGTTTGTGAGTATTGAATCATTGATGTTTTTGTATTTTTACGCTTGTTGACGGCATATGTCGGGGATGTGCCTAATATGACACATGACATGTGTGTTCCAGGAAATATCCTATGAAATCTCACAGCCGATGAGATGGGGCGACTTTTGTGTGTTGTACCCATCATTGTCATCTAGTTGATGTCTGTGAATGTTCACAGATCATTATCTGTTGGTAGGAGTGTGATCTGTCAGGTTTCTCTTGTTGCAGAGCCTGCTGTCTCTGGTGTACTTATCAAAACCCACAGACGAGCCTGTGGTGGTTCAGTCATGCAAGACATTAACCTGCTACATCCGATGTCTACAGAACAGGATCAGATACTTCCAGGATCCAGCAGTCTACAGATCCAAACAAGGTTAGTGCTCCAGGTCGTCGATTCTTTTCTTTTCATTTACTCCATCTCAGTGACTCTGAGATTTTGTGAGGAGTTCTTGGAAAGGTCCAATAGTATAGAGGTGTTAGGGTGTAAAATGAAAACTAACCATAACCTTCCTATAATATTGGACTTTCCCAGTAACTCTCCACAAAGTCTCGGAATCCCAGAGATGGGGTGAACAAAGAAAAGTACCAGGCCATCTTCACCCAGTTATGCCATTATCTGTCACAAAGAGCTTGCAGTTTATCCCTTTTTTTTAAAAGTTAGGCATTAGTTTGATCCGACTAACTATGTATTCAGAACTGAATTTGATAACATTACATGTTGTTTTTCCAGAACTCTGCTCCAGCAGTTCCAGTCTGATCTCTTCCACTCTCAGCTCCGCCAGTCACCTGACATCCTCATCCATCCACCACCAGAACATGGCAGACTGGGGCGGCACCCGCCACCGCGGTGATGGCCAGGATGGGAACAGCTCCACCGCTACAAGCAGGTATCTATGGCTTTTGCTGTTTTCTATGGGCAGAAGATTGGGGCTGGGCATTATCCTGAGACCATCTTCTACTCCATAATTGATTGGCTTGATTGATTGGTTGGATTGATTGTCTATTACAGAACTGACTGATTGTAGGACTGAGGGATTGGTAGGATTGATTAAATTGTCAGATATATTGATTGTAGATCGATTGATTGGGGGAATTGATCTACTGGAGCAGTAGCGGTAGCTTTCTGAAGACTGGACAGTAGGACAGCCCGACAGTTAATTGTATTATAATTAACTGGCAGAGTATGCTGGGAAAAATAGAAACAGGTGTCTTGCACACAGAGTACTTACATGGCTTGGTAATGCTCAGATAATAATCATATCATGGATTTTTATTGCCCGTGACATTTGGGTGTGCATGGTAGTGAGCAGATGGAGAGCTACTTTATGATAAATCATAGGTGTTGAAGGCACTATGGGTTCACCTTAACAGTGTAACAGAACAGACAGGGCATTCATATCCAGAAAATGATTCAGCTGAGGGTCTGGACAGTTTTCTGACCTCATTTTAGTCTGAAAGGCGCAGGCAGATAACATAGCCTAGCTGTCAACTGCAGCATGTGGTGCCAACCACCCTTTTAAAGGCCAACAGAGAAAACAATAGTAAGATTGTACTATGACATTTGTTAGGGAGTTTGTTGTGATGAGTGGAAAGAATTGTGAAAAGATGGGAGATTTTTGGCAATCATTCATCGTTGTAATTCCCCTGTGGGTTCCGGGGCCACAATTGTGGGGAAAACTAGAATAGACCCACTTCTTCCCCAACAAGCATGTCATAGGAGTCGACTAATTAGGGACTTCCTTTGAAGTCGAAGTGCATCTGCCCGAGCAGCAAGGAATAACCAACTGCACACAAATAAGCCAGTAAAATGCATGCACACGCAAAACTCAGGCCCTGGCACGAAGCTAGAGTCCAAATGAGCTAATAGCTGGGTCTTTGTGCTGGAGCTTGCAGCTCGTGAACAACAAAGAAGAGAAGAAGTATGGAAAAATGTCAGCAAACATATGGATTAAATCTGTTTGAGATTGTGAGACATGGAGAAGCATGATTTCAATGCCAGCCAGCAGATAACTTGATGTAGGACAGGGCCATTCAACTAAGTTTATTCAGGGACCAAAATGTTGGAAAATGGGATCATCGCCGGCTAGAGACTCGAGCCCCAGCATAGTAAGATCATTAGTACAACTGGCAGGTGATCCGCAGGCCACTTACTATACCTCTGTGGGCCAGATTTGGCCAGTGGGTCACTTTTGAATAGCTCTGATGCAAGGATTAATGTGATTCCTTTGTTTCAGAAATTCCAGTATAGGTCTTGAACCAGATTTTCACACTGCCAGCAACGACCTAGACCCTGATGATGGGCCTCGCCCGCTCAACCAGCAGTTAAGTGTACCTCAGCTGTGCATTGCAGTGTTGCAGAGATCATTGCCACGGCTGAAAACAGTTAATGCTGCTCTTGGAGTTGGTGTGCTGGAGCTGGTGCACCAGTCACTGACTGTACTAGCATCAGTGCTGGACACGGGGTTGTGGTCTGATGACAGGGAAATGGCCAGAGAAATTGTGAGTATGAAATCCAGTCACAGTAATTTAATGGTTGAACAAGCTGGGGTATATATAATTGGAAGAGTGACCAGTTACTTTAAGTGGATACAAGTATATAATTGACTTGGATTTGATTCTGTATTTCCAGTTAGGGGGTCAAATGTTGGGTAGGTCACGTATTGAGAAAACGTAAGAACATAATAACTAGAATGTCTTTACTCTGGAGCCAACGTGAGCATAAAATTAAGGCAGACCAAGAAACATGGAGAAGGGAGCTAGAGACTGAAGTTGACAAGATGGGGAGGACATAGGGTGAGCTGTATAATAGCAAAGGATAGAACAATTGGTGTGGGTTTGTTGAGAACCTGTGTTCCATTGGGGGATAGAGGGCAGAAGAAGAAGAAGGGGTCAACATCCTAACCACTTTTCTCAGACGAATAACACAAACCCAAATAAAATTACAAGGTTGTTACCAAGCCTGTGTTTTCTTGCAGGTGTTCCGGCTGACTGACTGTCTGGAGTGTATCTCTGAGCTGCTAGAATTCCACGACTACAGCAAGAGCTCACCGCCTGCAGCAGCAACAGTTTTACCTGACGTCAGCACACACAGAGTCCTGTATATGGGACTAGCTGCCACACTGGCTCGCTTCCTCTGGATGGTTCCTGTAGAGAATGTGAGTCTGTCCAACTTTTCTTCATGTTGTTGGTTGGTTGTCTGGTTGGAAGTCCTTTGAAAGCTTGTGAGTCTCAAGTTTCAATCATTGGCTTTCAGGGTGTTGGAGCCGGCTACAGAGCTTTTATCTATACGAGGAAGCTTGGTGGAGCGTACCACTGATCCAGCACCAAACTGCTGTCTCTGTGTTGCAGAGCTCTCATACCCTTTCCAAGTTAGAAGCAAGCAAAGAGTTCCTCCTCCTCTCCTCTATTACCTCCAATTACCCTATCAAAGTGTTGGGAGGGGGGGGGGGGGTGGTGGTTAATGAAATGATCTTCAGTGCTTCATTGTGCTGTTGTTAGCAATTTGTATAATTTAATCTTCATTTCTTTAAAGCTGTTCTTAATGCCATCATTCATCTTTTGCATCGTCTTCCCCTAGTTCTGTGTTCATTATGTTTCTTCAGGGTGGCTCTCTGTGGCAGCTGGTACCAGGGCATTCTCATCAGATGACCAAACCATTAATTGTTGCTCTATAATGAACTTTGACTTGTTTCAGTCGTAGTCTTCTAATTTCTGAATTTTATATTTCATATCTTCTTGTTACTTTGGCAGCACTTCTGAGCAGTCTCGTTTGTTGTAATTTTGCTCAGTGAGCAGATAATACGAAAAAGTAAACTAGAAAGATGATACTTGACTGTCTCATTGTAACAACTGACAGAATGCTGGGAATCCATTGCAGCTGACTTCCTTGTGAAGATGGCAACCATTGCATCTGACTTCCTTGTGAAGATGGTAATCACTGCAGCTGACTTCCTTTGTGAAGATGGCAACCATTGCAGCTGGCTTCTTTGTGAAGATAGCAACCATTGCAGCTGACTTCCTTTGTGAAGATGGCAACCATTGCATCTGACTTCCTTGTGAAGATGGCAACCATTGCAGCTGGCTTTCTTGTGAAGATGGCAACCATTGCAGCTGACTTCCTTGTGAAGATGGCAATGGATCTGATTTTAGTTGTGATGAGAGTTTGACTTTCTGTAATACCTTTATTCTACATGTACCTTTCAGATGAACAGAATCATACCTGAGAAGCTTAAATCAGTGATACGTTCTCTGGTCTATGATGAGACCTTGGCTATCTTGTATCCTCAATGCCGAGTTGTTCTGCTGGCTGTTACCAAAAATCTTGGCTTGTCTGTGCCGCTGGACTTTCAGCGTTCGCTAGATGTGTGTCGATGTTTGGCAAGGACATGTGAATTCTGTCTTCACTGGAACACTGAAGTAAGTTGGGTTCTTAATTTATAACGTACCCCAAATAGAGCTTTAATTGGTATGCCCGGAATTGTGGTTGGTGGGCACAATATAAACAATTTATGTTATGCTGATGACACAGTCTTGATAGCAACAAGTCAGAAAGAACTACAGGAAATGATAGACATTGTGGTGTTAGAAAGTGGAAGAATTGCTTCAGTTTGAATAATGGGAAGACAGAAGTAATGGTGGTATCAAAGAAACAAATTATTCCTAAGTGTGTAATAAAAGTTGATGGTGTTATTTTAGGACAAGTACAGAAATTTAAGTATCTGGGCACATGCATAACTGAGATAAGAAATAGAATAGGACAGGCAAAAACTGCATTTTATAAAATGAAAAACATCTTGTGCAATATATCCTTGTCATTGAGAGTTAGAAAAAGAATTCTTGCTTGCTACATACATCCTGTGAATCCTGGACAATCGGTAGGCGGGCCAAACAATTTCTGTAGCCCACGGAGATGTGGTTTTATAGAAGAATGCTTAGAATACCTTGGACAGCCAAAAAGAGCAACCAAGAGGTTTTGAAAGAGGCGGGAGCCCGAAAACAACTTATCACAGACATCAGAAGGAGACAGTCATCATTTTTCGGCCATGTTATGAGAAGAGGGAAAATAGAACATGTTGTGACCACTGGAAAGATATGTGGAAAGAGAGATAGAGGAAGACAACGAGAGAAGATGCTTGACAGTCTTGTTGCATGGCATGGAGGTGTGTCGGCACACGAAATGATACATGCTGCAGGAGATCGTAGATTATGGAGAGGCATGATCGCCCACGCCAGTCGGCAAGGCACCTGATGAGGATGATGATGACCCCAAATAGGAAATTTCTGTGGGAATTCCACAGCTGACTTGACAGTCCATTATTTCAAGGGGTGCAAGTGTGCTGCTGTCTGCTGTTGTTGAGTGTTCATCTAGTGTCTTATGATGCGACATATTTCTGTCGGTTTGGTGCACAATTGGCCGGTCTACAATATTAGTCATGTTTTTAGAACATGTCAACATGTGAGTGTATAGCGTAGTTAGTATCACATCTGCCTTATAAATGAAAGATGCCGCATTCAATCCCTACGTGAAGCGTTTCATCCATTGTGAACTTTTTTTTTTTGTTGAAATGTAAATTGTGTGTTTGTGTGTGTTTTTATTGTCACAACGTTTTTGTTTTCACAGCATGTAAAATGTGAACTCTTTTATTGTCACGACGTTTTTTTTTTCACAACATGTAAAATGTGCACTTTGGCTATGTGAACTCTATGTGCAATCCCAGGGAATGCCAATTGGGGTACTGTATCTTGTCCATGTTGTTATAAAATAGTTGAGTAAATTGTGTACTTAGGTTCAAGTGTCTTTGTGCATATAGGTTACTTCAGCTCACAAATATTTAAATCACCTGATGGGGGCTATTGTTAAAGTAATGCCAGGAGAGGAGAAAGTCGGAGGGTTGGCTATGTGAACTCTATGTGCAATCGCAGAAAATGCCAGTTGGGGTACTGTGGGGTGGGGGGGGGGGGGGGGGGGGTTTGAGTACTAAAAAGGGCCAATCATTCTAGATGTATACTGCTGGGTTCACGCTCAACCTCCACAAACGTTCGATGCATTGCATATGAGCACCTGTGGTGGGGTCGACAAAATTAATGGAGTGATTGACGGTACGATGCGTCAATCCAGGAATATTCTCAATTCCATTGTATGCACGCCACATGTCGGAAACTACTGTCGTTCCGGGTCTGTTGTTTGCGCTAATGATCGGCAGAAGCATCTCTGTTTTTCTGTCTGGGACGCAAACCAGAAAGCATTCGCCCGTCTCGCGACGGACTCCGCCAAATACCCACTGTTGTGGAAATACACGTCCAACATGATTTTCATCGAATTCAACAGTGGTGTTCTCTCCGCCGATCACTGCAGCATTCAATAACAATGTATCGGCACAAACCTCCCGTAAATAGTTGCTCCATTCCACGGTCGCAATCGGCGACATGCTCAGCTCTACTTGGCAAAATTGAATGCTTGTCATCTCGTGAGACAAGCAGTATATGAATAGAATGATCTGTCTATACGGGAGCCGCGACCTTTCCAACCATTTTCCTTGCCGTAGTGGTATGTCCAGACGACAAGTGGACTTTCTACAGCGCCAACGGTCGTGTCTTTCAGACAGCGATAGCAGCATCTGATGGTTGTTTCTGCAACTTCTGGTTCTGTGCAGAATGCCATGCTGTTGCAGGAAGGCAATGCTGCTTTCTTTGTCTTGTACAGATGCAACTAGTTGTAGAACATTCATCCTGACTGCTGCTGGAAACATCGGCAACTGACTGACACGGCAAAGAGCGGTAAACACACGATATCAGTGTTGCCAGTTTTCTTTGACAAAAAACATCCAGAACGGAGTCAAAAAATATCTTAAAATATCTAAATGTGCATGGAAAACATCTAGAAAAAAAATCCAAATGGAAAGAGTCACAAATTACATAGCTATTGATATGACTAAAATGGGTAGCATTAATCTGTACTGAAAAGTAAATGTGGCCAGTGTAACAGCTACCACATCACCCATCGAGTACCAGTACTACTGCTACCACTATCACCGCCACAACAACACAAAACGGTCACTACTGTCTGTACAGGTCGTTGTAGCCAGAGGAGTTGGCGCCGCATGCTGTCGCCACGGACTGTTTAGTTTAAGTGTGTCCCCGACATAAAACTCCATCACCTAACCAGTGGTGGAACCCACAGTAATATTCAGTGAAAAAAAAAAAGTGCACTAAAATCACAAATGTCGTAAATAAAAACCCGCACTCGTCATCTCTCCCTCTCCAAAGGGACGATTTTTGATTAACCTTGGCATCCGTGTTGACCCAAACCAAACTGGACCTTAAGCCGTCTTAGTAAACAGTGTCTGTCATCAACGAACAGTTTTTGATCCAGTGAAGCGTCGGGGGGAGGCTAACTTTGGCTAAACTGAAATCGGATGTCTTTGGGCGTAAGGCGCAGATATCGCAACCTAGCTGTAAACCATAACACAACGTGCCAACTGCCCTCTCAAGGGCGAACAAATATTACCCGTGACATGAACATAGAGCATCACGTCGTCGCTATCGCAGGCTAGCTGTAAACTCAAAATCAGAGTCAAAGGTGGCCAATTAACTAACAACAAATCCGGGCCGGCAACGACACAAATAATGATTTGACCGTTGCTGGAGCTTCGTCATTCGTGGTTTGTGCTATTTATGACAGTACTTACAACGAGCCTTTTTGATATCCCCGGGAACTGCCATCACTCATTCCTAAATTTTGTCATCATGCAACCACTTGTTCCAAAATTTTTGCTCATACTTTACTTTTGGCATGTTGAAATGTTTTTTCAAAGTGAAATCCACATATGAAGGTGAGCAATTATTTTTTAAAAATCACATGAAAAGGAAACACAAAGTCAGCACAGTGAGGATACGGTTGAAACAAAGTTAGTGTGATTTGCGCGCCCTTTTAATTAATCAGTACCGGGGCTGCCAGATATTTGAGCTTTGACCCCAGTGAGAGTTCAAAGTTTGAGTAATCGCAATTGACACAATGTACGTGCCAGACCAAAACAAAAATGTTGTAGTAAATATTTAACACAGTAATTTTTAAACTGACAATGAAAGAAAAAAATAAAATAATTAACTCCAAATGAAAAGCATCTAGAAAAACATCTACCTGCACATCATAGTCAAGCGCACAGGCTTTGAGGCTTTGCAAGTGAGGTCATCGTGATGTCATAGTTACTGTGTGAGGCTTGTGCTCAGCTTTCAACAAGGCTTCAGGCCTTATTTCTCAAGACAGGGAACAACTACCAACAAATCTACGGATGCAGTAATGAGAACAAAACACCTACTATATTGTTTTCTCCATTCGCCCTCAAAAAGGATGGTAGGCAAGTTGTGTTGTGGTTCAGGCCCAGCACATCTGATTTCAGCAGACCTCCACAACAGTCATGTTGCATGGCTTGGAGGCATGTCGGCACACGAACTGATACATGCTGCAGGGGATCGCAGATTGGGGGAGAGGCATGATCGCCCATGCCAGTCCGCAAGGCACCTGATGATGATGATGATATAAATATTAATGGGAGTTGCTGTGGTCTAGTGGCTAGGCCTTCGCCTGTGGATCGGCAGGTCGTGGGTTCGGGTCTTGACAGGGGCTGGACTTTTTTCAAAAATGACCTTGGCTCCCATGTCAACGCAGCCTTGAGTGGGTACCAGGTACAGTTATGGGAAGTAAAGGTGGCTGGCGTAATGCTGACCACATCACCCACCAAGGGCCATTTGGTCTATAAAATAAAGGTCTAGCCCTATATACCCAGTACGCCTAAAGGTGTGGAAAAGGAAGTATACTATTTTGTTATATGAAAATTATTAGTGTCTGTGTTGCTTTCTTCCTCATAACATGCAGTATGTTATAAGGTCATAGATATTGTAGTGGTAGCATGAAGTAAGCAGACTTCTCTTATACCAGGTTACAACATTGTATTCATGACCGGGTTTTTAAAATAAACCAGGGTCTCTAATGCAGAAGGAAGTGTAGGGACCACATAGAGAAACTTGCTGGCTTGTTGACTGAATGAGGATAAGCAGACATTGGATGGACTTACACCCAGACCTAACAAATCAGATTTATCTAATGAGAGCATCGTAATTGTAAACATGTTGGTGCAAGTCATACAACACATGAGACTTGCCTGTTTGTACACCAGAGACATCTGTTTGGTCTCTCTCTTTAGGAGCTGACATTGGAACAACTGGCTCATCTGGCTGAGGATGCCATGCTGAGTTTGAACTATCATGTGTACTTGCCGTTTGTGTCTCAGTTTGTCCAGTTCATGTCCACAGTGTAAGTTGAAATTCTGTCTGTATTTCTTCGACTGAGGAATCCTGTTTTCCAGACATCCTGTCTTTCAAACATTTTATCCTCCAAACATCCTGTCTTTATCACTTCCTGAGACACCTGATGACTTTTCTTATTCCTTTATTGTCTCTTGTATTCAGTCGTTGGAGTCTTCCTCTTGAAGCCAGCGGTCCTGTGACACCTGATGACTTTTCTTATTCCTTCATTGTCTCTTGTATTCAGTCCCTGGAGTCTTCCTCTTGTAGCCAGCCATCTTAACTTTGCAGTTAATTTATCTTGTATACAGTTGCTCTTCTAGTTGATTTATTCTATGTATGGATGCTTTTTGTGCGTAACTTATCATGTACAATGACACTGTTATAGTTAACTTATCTTGTATACTGGTACTGTTATAGTCAACAACTTTACTTCTTTACTGGTACTGTTAAAATTAACTTATCCTGTATACTGGTACTGTTACAGCTAACTTATCCTATATACAGGTACTGTTATAGTTAACTTACCCTGTATACTGATACTGTTACAGTTAACTTATCCTCTTTATTGGTAATGTTAGGGGGTGGGGGGGGGGGAAGGTCAAAAGGGCTCCATGCAAAGGACATTCATAAGGAAATGCTTTCGTTTATGCTAACAAATGTTTATCCTGTAAAGTGGTGCATAGCTGCATAAATAAATGATCTCAAGGGCGCTCTAAAAGTGTTGATGAAGTCTGCCCTGGTCATCCTGTTGAGATTGCAACAGATGCAACTGTGCAGTGGGTGGAAGAAATGATTAGAGGTGTCAGGCAAGTAATGGTTGACCCTGTTGCAGCTGCAATAGGGTGCTCACATGGTTCAGCATACAGTGTAATGCATGATCGATTGAAATTTAACAAAGTGTGCTCAAGGTGGGTACCCAGACAATTGATGGACGAACACAAAATTAACTGATTTGGCCTGTCCTGGCAACATCTCTGTCGTTAAGCGGATGAAGGAAAAGACATGCTGAACAGAATTATTACTGGGGACGAATCAAGGGTGCATACTTACCATCCCTAATGAAAGTGTGCTTCATTGCAGTGGAAACATCCTTCTTTGCCTTGCGTTCAAAAATTTAAGGTTACACCATCAGGCAGGGAAGGTTATGTAGACAGTGTTCTGGGATTGTCAAGAAATGTTTTAGACAATTTAAAAAAAAAAAAAGGTGACAACGTGAAAGCTGATTCATTATGTGAAATTCTTTCAGTACTTCATGATGCAATTTCAAGAAAAAAAGTCCAGGCCTGCTGACTAGAGGAGTATTTCTCATTTATGACAGTGACAGACCAAATATGGCTTGGTTAACTCAGGAGAAAATTAACTATCTAGGGTGGGAACTTGTAGAATGTCCACTTTACAGCTCTGACTTAGACCCTAGGGATTTCCACCTTTTTGGCCCACTGAAAACCCACCTTGGTGGGGGACATTTTTCGAATGAGGCAGAAGTTGAATGTGAAGTGAAAATGTGGTTTAGAAAACAGAGAACGCAGTTTTATGCAGCTGGGACTGAAAAAAAACCCCGATGGTGTAAGTGCATCACTGTTGGTGGAAATTATGTTGAAAAATAAAGAGACAGTGTACGTTTAAAAAAAAATGGTTTTAAAGTTGTTACAGCCTTTGGTTTTTTAAAAACAATTATTTGTGACTTACTTATTGACTTCCCCTTGTAGTTAACTTATTCTCCACACTGATACTGTTGCAGTTAACCTATTTCATCTCTTCTCTTCACTGATACTGTTGCAGTTAACCTATTTCATCTCTTCTCTTCACTGATACTGTTGCAGTTAACCTATTTCATCTCTTCTCTTCACTGATACTGTTGCAGTTAACCTATTTCATCTCTTCTCTTCACTGATACTGTTGCAGTTAACCTATTTCATCTCTTCTCTACACTGATACTGTTGCAGTTAACCTATTTCATCTCTTCTCTACACTGATACTGTTGCAGTTAACCTATTTCATCTCTTCTCTTCACTGATACTGTTGCAGTTAACCTATTTCATCTCTTCTCTACACTGATACTGTTGCAGTTAACCTATTTCATCTCTTCTCTACACTGATACTGTTGCAGTTAACCTATTTCATCTCTTCTCTTCACTGATACTGTTGCAGTTAACCTATTTCATCTCTTCTCTACACTGATACTGTTGCAGTTAACCTATTTCATCTCTTCTCTACACTGATACTGTTGCAGTTAACCTATTTCATCTCTTCTCTTCACTGATACTGTTGCAGTTAACCTATTTCATCTCTTCTCTTCACTGATACTGTTGCAGTTAACCTATTTCATCTCTTCTCTTCACTGATACTGTTGCAGTTAACCTATTTCATCTCTTCTCTTCACTGATACTGTTGCAGTTAACCTATTTCATCTCTTCTCTACACTGATACTGTTGCAGTTAACCTATTTCATCTCTTCTCTACACTGATACTGTTGCAGTTAACCTATTTCATCTCTTCTCTTCACTGATACTGTTGCAGTTAACCTATTTCATTTCTTCTCTACACTGATACTGTTGCAGTTAACCTATTTCATCTCTTCTCTACACTGATACTGTTGCAGTTAACCTATTTAATCTCTATAGAAACATTGTCTCTGTACATATCCTTGTGTTGTTTTCATTGATAATTGTATCTATTTCTGATCTGATCTGTAGATGCAGCAAAAAGAAAACTCCAAGGCCAGTCATGAAACAGTGCACAGAAGTACTGGTCAAGTTGATGGCATACCCCATGGACAGCATTAGACAGATCTGCTACTCAACAATTCTGGACACAGTCAAGGTATTTCGTTGTTTGTTGTCCTCATCATCATCATCCAGCGCCATGTTGTAGTGAAAGTTGATAGTTTATGTCTGGAACCATTATTATAATCTTCAGATATCGGGTGCCCATCTTAGCCTTTGTATAAATTTCTGTCTGCATGAGATATATCAGTTGATGTGACCAAAGCATCTTGTTTAACTCACATCATTTTTCATAGAAACATTGTTTTCCTGAATTTGATTTTGTGAGGGGAGGGGTGGAACTCTCACAAAGTCCATTCTAGATGATTTCATGAATGGTTGGATTTTGTCACCGAATTATTCTACAGGATAAAACGACCAGTTTTCTACCAGCACTTCTTCCTGTTCTTCCTGTAGGGGGTCCTTGGTAACTGAACCATATTGTTGTCCCATTTCTTTGTTTTTTGGTCCCACTTGTTGCTGTTCTCGTGCGGCCATAAATATTGACTGCCTGTGTGGTGTGTTTGTGATTCTTTTTGTATGATTTTACACAATATTTGGATCACTCAGGGAAGAAAATTCAACAGGGCAGACATAATGAATGCTGCCTGTGTGAGTTCCAGGGCCTCATTGTGGGGGTAAACAAGACCCACTGACTGCCCCAAAACAGGCAGCACCTGAGAAGCAAGGAACCATCAGCCAGATCTGTGAAACGGGTGTGCACACAACACTCAGCTTCAGGAACAAGACTAGAGTCCAGAAGTGGACAAACAACCAGAACTTTCCGCGGGAGTTTACAGCTGGTAAAGGGGAAGAAGAAGAAGATAATGAATGCACTGCATTCCAGAGATGTTGAGCCAGATGAGTCAGAGACGATGGCAGAGATTATGTGGAAATGGGTATTAAAGTGGACAAGCATTCAGCAGCAACTGGCTGTGTAGCAAAGAAAGAAAATATGCCAGTGAACTCCTACTGGGCAGGTTGAGCACAGAGACACTTAGATGTCTGCTCACTGGAGGATGTAACACAAATGTGTTGGATAGATAAGCTGGGATGTCAATATGGACAACAAGTAACCAGATTTTCTATAGCAAGCTGTTATTGGATGATTTTAATGAACTGTGCAGATTTCAATAAAGCAACAACTAGAAGAAATGCCAGATTAGATGGGTAGAGGCTTCCTGACCCAGAGGCATCAGCCCATGGTCATGTATATCTAAAGGAGGCTGTTATTAGTATTATTTTTCTGTCCCTGTGACAAAACTATAAAAAGAACTCTTTTTATGACAGTAGTGCGTCAGGCATATGATGCTCAACTCATATTTGTACAGACCAATTGGCATTTGGTGATGTGGCCAACATCACACCAGCCACTTTTACTTCCCAGGACATTGCCTAGTACCTGTTTTAGGCTGTACCCACCTAGGAGCCAGGATCAGTTGGCCAGGAGGTGAGAGTCTAGTCACTGTGCACCTTTCATCAAAACTTTACACGGAGTACAAATACATGTTTTCCTTTGTCCTCAGAAATGCTTGCAGGTGCAGCAGGCAGCAGTTGGCAGATGTGCTGAGAGCTTGAAATGCAGGTTTCTCTTGAATGCTCATGTCCTGTTTGAGCTGACTAGCTTCGGCCTGTCTGATTCAGATTCCAAGGTTTTTATTGTGTTCTTCTCCAATTGTTACTGGTCCAATTTTACAGAGGCTAGTGTATTACAATGTGAGGGTCATGTGCTGCCATGTGAGAGAATGTGGTGCTATGTGAGGGGTTATGCGTGCAATGTCAGAGTTGTGTAGTGCAATGTGAGCTATGTGCTGCAATGTGAGGACTATGGTGCAGTGTGGGGGTTACATGGTGCAGTGTGAGAGTTATACGGTGCAATGTGAGGACTGGTGCAATGTGAGGGTTATGTGGTGCAATGTAAGGTTATGTGGTGTGGTGCAATGTAAGCGTTATGTGGTGAAGTTAAGGACTGTGATGCAGTGTGAGGGTTATGAGGTGCAATGTGAGGTCTGTGGTGCTGTGTGGGGGCTGTGTGGTGCAATGTGAGGTTGTGTGGTGCGATGTGAGGGCTATGGTGCAGAGTGATGGTTGTATGGAGCAGTGTGAGAGCTGTGTAGTAAATGTCTTGTTCTTTAACAATCTCTGGACATCCACTTAATCCACTGTGGGCCATAAACTGGGATGTCAGCTAAAGGTGTCTTAGGTTTCCCCAAAGCTTAGTTGTCAGGCCTACTGGGTAGGGCCACATGTTGTTTGGCAGCTGCTCTAGAAGACTAGTAATTGTGAAACTGGTGCAGGGAAGTGGTGATAAACCAACAAACAATCTCCAATAGGTACGGAACTGTGCTACAGAGTCACTGCACCACCTTCTCAAGTCCCAGCTACTGATGTCTGAGGGATTGTGGCAGGAGTTCATCATGGCCCTGCTCAAGTCTCTGCCTATATTACAGGTGACTGATTTTCTTAATGTCTTGTGTACCAAACAGTCATGTCTACACATACAGAACTTGAGTCTGTTAATCCTACTCTAATTGACACATTTTTCTGGTTTACTGCAATATCTATACCTTTCAGGCCAACACATGCAATGTCAGTAAGCCCATAATTAGTCATCTTTAATGTTATGCTTGTTGGATGTTTATTCAGCCCCCTCCCCCACCCCCTTTCCTTCAAAATGGGGCCCTGGAACCTCCAAGGGGATGACTTTATCCTATCTGATCCATTCAGAACTGGCATTTTTGTGTGAGATTCTTCTACAAGTCAGTGAGCTGTGAAACGGGCTTGCATGTACCAGAGAAAGTTTAATGTTTAGACTTGTTGGATCCTATCTCGGAGGAGACTGTTTTACAGAGTTCTCTTTCATTGCTGTGAGCTCAGGAAGCAATGGGATGGGCAAGATAGCACCACAACTTCACAGTGGTAGACAGGCATGTTATTGCTTGGGACAAGGACCAGACAGCATGCCAGGCTGTGAATAGTGTTGGGCATTCAAGAGCTGCTGCCAGACTCTTGGCCAGCCTCACATCTTGTCTTGACCAGCACATCTTGTCTTGTCCAGCCTCACCTCTTGTCTTGTCCAGCCTCACCTCTTGTCTTGTCCAGCCTCACCTCTTGTCTTGTCCAGCCTCACCTCTTGTCTTGTCCAGCCTCACCTCTTGTCTTGTCCAGCCTCACCTCTTGTCTTGTCCAGCCTCACCTCTTGTCTTGTCCAGCCTCACATCCTGTCTTGTTCAGCCTCACCTCTTGTCTTGTCCAGCCTCACCTCTTGTCTTGTCCAGCCTCACCTCTTGTCTTCTCCAGCCTCACATCTTGTCTTGTCCAGCCTCACATCTTGTCTTATCCAGCCTCACCTCGTGTCTTGTCCAGCCTCACCTCTTGTCTTGTCCAGCCTCACATCTTGTCTTGTCCAGCCTCACATCTTGTCTTGTCCAGCCTCACATCTTGTCTTGTCCAGCCTCACATCTTGTCTTGTCCAGCCTCACATCTTGTCTTATCCAGCCTCACCTCTTGTCTTGTCAAGCCTCACATCTTGTCTTGTCCAGCCTCACATCTTGTCTTGTCCAGCCTCACATCTTGTCTTGTCCAGCCTCACCTCTTGTCTTGTCCAGCCTCACCTCTTGTTTTGTCCAGCCTCACATCTTGTCTTGTCCAGCCTCACATCTTGTCTTATCTAGCCTCACCTCTTGTCTTGTCCAGCCTCACCTCTTGTCTTAACCTGCCTCACCTCTTGTCTTGTCCAGCCTCACATCTTGTCTTGCCCAGCCTCACCTCTTGTCTTGCCCAGCCTCACATCTTGTCTTGTCCAGCCTCACATCTTGTCTTGTCCAGCCTCACATCTTGTCTTGACCAGCCTCACATCTTGTCTTGTCCAGCCTCACATCTTGTCTTGTCCAGCCTCACCTCTTGTCTTGTCCAGCCTCACCTCTTGTCTTAACCTGCCTCACCTCTTGTCTTGTCCAGCCTCACATCTTGTCTTGCCCAGCCTCACCTCTTGTCTTGCCCAGCCTCACATCTTGTCTTGTCCAGCCTCACATCTTGTCTTGTCCAGCCTCACATCTTGTCTTGACCAGCCTCACATCTTGTCTTGTCCAGCCTCACATCTTGTCTTGACCAGCCTCACATCTTGTCTTGACCTGCCTCACCTCTTGTCTTGACCAGCCTCACATCTTGTCTTGACCAGCCTCACTTCTTGTCTTGTCCAGCCTCACATCTTGTCTTGTCCAGCCTCACATCTTGTCTTGACCAGAATATTTTTGTCAACAGTAATTTAATGGCTGGTGTATTGATAACTTTTTTTAAAAAAATGGTTTAATGAATTTATTGTTGGTTTTCTTATAAATTTATTTTGCTTTGTTTTAAAAAAAAACCCACCATTTTATTGTTTTTCAGATAAATTTATTGACTGTTTAAAAAGAGTAAAGGTATTGATGTGTTCCATATTTGTTAGTCTTACACAGATCAGTCCAGCCTGCTGGGGCGTTGTTTGTGGAACATGCTGGACCCAACCACCAGCACACACAACCTGTCCCTGGTGGAGAAGCTCAGAGGCAGCTTGAGGCTGCTGTACCTCTCAGACAAGAAGTAAGACAGTTAATCTCACGGATAAAGATTATTTCGCATGGTTACAATAAATTGTGGCACATAAGTCGAGGTTTCAGTGTATATGTCTAAGTGGGCATGTCAGTCTGGCTCTCAGACAAGTAAGACGGTTGATCTCAAGGATAAAGGTTATTTCACATGGTTATATTGTGGCACATAAGTCGTGTTTTTAAGCCTGAACATAATTTTCGAAAACCAGCGGTTGACTTATATGATTGGTATAAAATGCTTTATCTAGATGTATGCCTAATTCAGAGTTATTCTGGTAAATGTCCTAATCTTAAATGGACATTTTGTCATTAGTTATTTTCCCTTCATTTCTTATTGTCCCTGCCACCACTCCAATTATTTGCCTCTTATGGTAGCAGTAGTAAGACTTGGTCTATACATATTAAAGTCTTTTGCCCGACTGTTCTAAAAAAAATAGCTAGTTTAATAAGAGATTTCTCAAGTTTTGATCTGCCAACTTCTTCATCTATTCCAGTACTTGTTTCAGCTTCTTGATGTACCTGGAGGCCATCACTGCTGTCTTATTGTTTTATTGTAGGCCTCAAAAGGTTCTTGCCTGGCCTGGGTTGTTCTCTTAAAAGATTCTTTTGAGGTGTCAGAAATTGACCTTTGTGAGAATACTCTAGGTAGTTGTCTTGAGCCTCCTGTTTATTTTGTTGTCACTTGCTAAAAGTTGAGATCAATGTCTCGTGACATTTTTCTCATCAAGAATATTTGAGCGTGGAAGGTGTGGGTCATTGTGCACTTAGAGAGTAGGGAAACACAGATGATTTCCATCATTTATTGTCTCAGATTAAATGAGCAATGACAAACTGCCATCACTGTGTGTGTGCGTGCGTGCATGCATACATGAGTTTGTGTGCCAAATAACTAAGACATGATGTTATTTTTCTCAACATCCTTGGGTAGACAAGGAGTGACATGGACAGTCTGGCAGGTCAAACATTTTATGTATGTATGTTAAGGCTAGATATATAGATAAGGAGAGAAAATTTGAGAGGGACGGGGGATGTAATTATTTATCAAGTAATAAAAAGCTTTGTCTGAAATGTCTGTTTCACTAAATATATCGTCTTTTTATGCCAGACTGAGAACTGATGCAGCGCAGCATGTGAAGTGGTTCCTGCGCAACGAGCAGGACAGCGGCAGCAAGTTGCCATCTGTCAGTGAGCTAGACATTGGAGTCATATCCAACTGCCTTATTATTAACACCAGTGTCACACTGAGTGAAGACACTGGCCGCTCTCTGTTCACAGTAAGTTGAGTCATCTGTCTTGTCTGTGGGTTACAAAGCATTTTAACACACTACCAGATTATATTACTCTTACATTGCAGGAGACTGTAACAGTGTATCATCATTGTAACAAATGATACTATAATAATTGAATATCAGATTTGTAAGTCATAGCAGGATGTTAGTCTGGCAATTACTTTAACCCCCTGGAAACGACTTGGCTGATCAATCGGCACAACAGCAGAATAGCCAAAAAGACGGTTGGGCCGATTTCTTGACCCAAAAAAACACAAGCCTTGAGATTGGCTGGCAAGTTGTCGTTCAACGATAGCTTTCATGAAAGTTTGATGTATTGTGTAATTTTTTTGTAGGGGGGGGGGGGGGGGGGGGGGTCACCTGTGCCTAACAATGGTGAAATGGACTGTTGCATCATAGCAGCCAAAGCATAGCAGGAGGCAGGAAAAGAAGTAGAACCATGGGCCAGACGTGTGTGGAGGCCTTCATGGATCTTGCTTTCCTAAGCACAAGTGTTTGGACTTTTTTTAGGCTTTATTCATCAGACAGTTTAGCCAAATTGTTCGATTTAGTTGTGTTTGTCCTAAGTAATTAAAAAAACAATTGCATAGTTAAATGTGCAAATTCAATAGCTAATTTGAAAAAATGTTAAGTTGTCAATGCGATTAACAAAGATTGTTTTAGTTTATTCAATTTCCTACAAGAATATATATAGTTTTGTATATTTTAATTAAACCCTTTAATAGGTTTTTTGGGTGTGAAAATCAGTTCTAGAAGGCTCCTTCTCCTTGGCACTGAAACTCCAGTTAAGGCTTCATATTCTTGGCACTGAAACACCAGCTAAGGCTCCATCTCCTTGGCACTGAAACTCAAGTTAAGGCTTCATCTCCTTGGGATCGAATTCCAGTTAAGGCTCCGTCTCCTTGGCACCGAAACTCCAATTAAGGCTCTGTCTCCAAAGGGTTAAATACCGATTTTGCCACAGGGTTTTAGTTTACAGAAAAACTGACTTGCCAGGATGAGCAGGCATATTGACCCCCTCTACATCCTGGAAACTGACACTGGTGTGGCCAATGAAGAGTTTTACAAGATAACAGAGCAGTCACAGGAGCTCTCTGTAGGGATGGAGGTAGAGCAATTGCTATGTTTTGCATACCTATTTGTGCACAGTTAGCCATGAATTTCAAGCAACGACTGTCTCACTATATTTGGGTATTTTGCACTAGTCTCAATCAGCATACTCGCAAAATATTTATGTGCACTCACACTGCCTTTGACCTCTGGCATACTTGCATACTCAGATGAGTTAGCACACAACAGATGATGATTTTCAGCGTATACTTCCTGTCTGCTGGGATAGAACATCATCATCACCAGTCCCCTGTTCTCTACTTTATAAAGAATGAACAACTGAGGGACATGAGAGGTTGGCTGTAGACCCTTATGATGTATCACTGATGGAGGCATTATATAAACCAGGGGGAGGGAAGGAGGCTGTTGGTGTCAGCATGATGATGGTGTGGGTTTATATTGTTATAGGTGGAGGCAATGAAGCAAGTGTACGACATCTTCACCTCATGCCCTGTCGACCCCGGAGTGAAGAGGTCGGCAGGGGACCAGCTTGCTATGATGATGAAGGGTAAGTGACTCAGATATGAACGGATAGATGCGGTTGTTGAAAAAATGTTAGGAATATCATGGGTCGAACAAAGAGCGGCAGATGATACAAGATCTCTTATCATAACCATTTTAAAAAAAACTACTTAGTCGATCGTCTTCTACTTTGGGGTGTAGAGGTTTGCTAGAGAGATTTCCAGACTTTTCTGTCAGCAGTTTTATTTTTTGTTTTGTTTGATTCCAGTCCTCTGTCAATCAGGGACTGTCATATATTGTCTTCCTAGTAAACCCTTGGTGGTCCTGGTGGTCCCAGGCTTGGCCATGGTGGCTGATTTTCTCCCGTTCTGCATAAATGTCCAGACCATTGTAACTGTCTCTGATCCACACAAGTTTGTAAGACCTTGGTTTCAAGATTCTGAGCTATTGTCTGATTGTGAACGTTGTCCCTTCTTGTCACTTGGACCACAACCACCTTTCTCTGATATCTCATTTCTGAGACCTGAAGCTGGCTTCTGTAGGTTGTTGTCATTGTTCATGACTGACATCCATAGGTCAGGACTGGCATATAGCTGTTATAACTATCAGGATAATAACACAAATGACATTTTTGAGGCATATCCACAGCAGAGCTGAAATAAATATGGTGAACATTCGGCCTGTTGCTTGATCATGTGTAGATGTTGAATGACTCTGTATTGTGATATTCCCTGGGATGCAGAGGTGCTGAGACCTGTGGTAGTGCAGCTGGACCAGTGCAGAGACTAGCCAAGACCTGCCTACACCTCTCCGGGGTCCGCCTAGAAACAATTTTCCTGGCCTGGCTGGTGTAGATAGGTAGAAACATGTTTCCTGGCCTAGCTGGTGTAGATAGGTAGAAACATGTTTCCTGGCCTGCCTGGTGTAGATAGGTAGAAACATGTTTCCTGGCCTGCCTTGTGTAGATAGGTAGAAACATGTTTCCTGGCCTGCCTGGTGTAGATAGGATCTGTTTCCTTTAAAGTCAGAATGCGTATGCCTGAGAGGCAAGTAACTAACAGTCTGCATGCAGTTAGATAATTCAGATTAGCAAAATGGATGTGCACTCAAAACTCAATTTCTGAAACAAAGTATAAAGTCCAAAAGTGGATGAACAACCAGAGTATTCTGCTGGGGTGAATGCTAAGAAGACTGTGATAGTTGTGACTTGTGCACTGTTGCAGCAGCTGATGATGATGATGATATTTTTACAGCTACTGCTGTTTCTGTTGTTTCTGCTGTCACTACTTTATTTTGCTTACTACTACTATTACTGTTGAAGTAACAAGGATGGATGTTAAATAAATTGCTTGTGTTTCTATAGATGGTCACTTGCATGCCAGTTTCAAAGAATATGGCGGACTGGAAGTGATCTGCTCTCTGATTCAACAAAGTGTGAAGTCAGCAGATGGCAGCTCACACAACCAGGTACAGATGCACATTCAATTGTAGAAAAAAATTGTAATACCAGGGGTTAAATAAAGAATGTATACATTCAGACCAGCATGAATGCATGCCAATCCATCACTGGGTGGCATGATTAGAACTCTGGTCAGACAAGGCCACACAGAGATACGCCAGGAACCTTTGGCGAAGAAGTATAAACAGGTGCCATGGACAAGGGGTGAGCAAAGTATGATTTCTGATAAACCCATGACATTGGACATTGATGGATGTATACAGTGAAGGAAGGAGATGGGAAATAGCACTAGATATGCCAGGATCCCCCTTGAGATTAATGACTAACACAGGTGAACGGAGAGACAAGCAGTGAATGTAAGAGAAAACTGAAGGGACAGGGAGAACAGGGGCAGGACAAGGAAGTCAGGGATGAGAGAGCACCCACGCTAGGTAGAGAACAGGGAGCTGAGAAAAGGAGTAGAGAGATGGACAGTCAGAGCCTGAGTGTCTTAGTTGGCAGCCGCAAAACGAGGAGAAATAATTAGGTGGAGAATCCTTGAGGCTGTAGAAGCAGCATAATGAATATTTTAACAAGTATAGATGAGCACTCTTTTCTGTGAGTGTCAGTCTGATAACTTTGAGATGGTTGTTTATCTGACTGTTTTTGTGGGATAATTTTTCTCAATTCTATTTCAATGGTTTGTTTGACACAAAGGTGGTCAGTGTACGGGAGCCGCGTTAGCGCAGTGGATAGGAGACTCACTTTTAAATCCAGCTGCAACTCGCTGCAGCCCAGGTCCGGTGATGGAAACCTGGCGGTTGCTGGGGTTCACCCAGCCTCTAGGAAATGGTTACCAGAGTTAACATTCTTGGCAAATGGAGGAACGTCGCTGTAGCTACGGAGTTTTGTGCGGACGGCGACACAGGGGGACATTTCTTATCAGCTGTCCGTACTGTTGGCAGAGCACTTATGGTTTATAACCGTGTGCAATGACGCTGGTTCAGATCTCCAGACTTAAACTTTTTTTTTTTAACTTTTCTATGTTGTATAAAACTACTGTCCCATGATCATTCTTGGTTTAATCTGTGCATTACATTCTCCTTCCCATATTTAGACAGTTACATGATATTTGTACATTCTCCTTCCCATCTTTAAACAGTTACATGATATTTGCACATTCTCCTTCCCATGTTTAGGCAGTTACATGATATTTGCACATTCTCCTTCCCATGTTTAGGCAGTTACATGATATTTGTACATTCTCCTTCCCATGTTTAGACAGTTACATGATATTTGCACATTCTCCTTCCCATGTTTAGACAGTTACATGATATTTTGCACATTCTCCTTTCCATCTTTAGACAGTTACATGATATTTGCACATTCTCCTTCCCATGTTTAGACAGTTACATGATATTTGCACATTCTCCTTCCCATGTTTAGGCAGTTACATGATATTTGTACATTCTCCTTCCCATGTTTAGACATTTACATGATATTTGCACATTCTCCTTCCCATGTTTAGACAGTTACATGATATTTTGCACATTCTCCTTTCCATCTTTAGACAGTTACATGATATTTGCACATTCTCCTTCCCATGTTTAGACAGTTACATGATATTTGCACATTCTCCTTCCCATGTTTAGACAGTTACATGATATTTGCACATTCTCCTTCCCATGTTTAGACAGTTACATGATATTTTGCACAATCTCCTTCCCATCTTTAGACGGTTACATGATATTTGTACATTCTCCTTCCCATCTTTAGACAGTTACATGATATTTGTACATTCTCCTTCCCATCTTTAGACAGTTACATGATATCTGAAACCTGCTCCAGATTTTTCCAAATTTACTAATGAGTCATATTCATAGATTACTTTAATTATCAGTGACAGTTTATAGCTGTGTTTGTCATGTTTGTACTTATAAATGTTTAAAAATTTATTTATAACGTATATTCAGTTATATTTATAGTTATAAATATTTTACAAGATAAATACAGAAAATTATTACACTGGACTAAAGCCTGGTATCACTGAGGTGAGACAAGAAGAAGAAGGTTTTAAAATTTATGTATAACATATGTTCAGTTATAAATCTGTTATTTGTAGTAATAAATTAAATGGATCTTGACTTATCTGGCAAGTGAACTTGTCAGGTGTCCACTATGTCTTGGCTTTGTCTTCAATATCAAGTCAACTGTCTGTCTGTCTCAGTTAGTGTTTACTGTAGTGTCTGCATGCATGTGTTTGATTGTTTTGTGTGGGCTCTGTCTTCAATATCAAGTCAACTGTCTGTCTGTCTCAGTTAGTGTTTACTGTAGTGTCTGCATGCATGTGTTTGATTGTTTTGTGTGGGCTCTGTCTTCAATATCAAGTCATCTGTTTGTCTTAATCAGTTAGTGTTTACTGTAGTGTGTGCATACATGTGGTTGATTGTTTCGTGTGGGCTCAAAATGAAATATTTCAATACTGCAGGTTGATGTGTTGCCATACTTGCCAGCTTGCCTGTCAATACTGCGAAGTTTGGCTCAGCATGACTTTTCTCTCAGACACTCCCTGGCAAGAGACAGCAATCTGTACTACACTCTGATCAGAGGTAATGATCTGTACATCCTGTCTAATGCCAGTGTGGCATGTCTGGTACCTGCTTTTTGACTCATACTTTCTTGACCAAAAGGCACTTTATGGATGATACCAGTATCACACAAACTTTTTTCTAAAACTTCCCATAACAATATTCTGGTCCCATTAGCATATGACACCACATCTAGCATGAGAATGGAGGTGGAGACGGTAACTGCAGCTCTCCGATGGCTAGAGAACGAGATGCATACACATGTCGTAATTGTAACAGACTCTGAAAGCATGCTGAGAAAGGTGAAGACAGGGTGCTTCGAGCAGAGTGGCAAGCCTCGCTGGAAAGGTCACGGGTAATCAGCATACTTTGGATCTTTTCTCCAGGCTATGTAGGCGTGGTGGGTAATAAACAGGTAGACAGATTGGTTGGATCTACACCACTGGGTGGTGAATTTATACATAACAAGGCAGATGTGGTCAAAGCCCTTTGGGAACAAGCAGAGGAATCAGTGTAGAGAAAGAAGATTATTATGGGCTGGATAGAATGAGGCACCTGGGTGTAACCAGAGGGTCTGGCCAGCTCACTCCACTCAGAGGAAAGGCAAGATAGACATATAACCAGATTTTGACCGGTACCATCAGTATTGAAACTCTGTGCTGGCTGCTGAAATTGAGGACAGAGCATGCATGGGAATGCCCCAAGTGCTGTGATGTTAATTCTTGACTCAACTCAACTCAACTCTACTTCCATTTTACAAGGCCTGGTGACACCCAAGCTTTGTGATCTTGACCAAGTCCACATTCAAGGAAGAGTTTAAGCCGTTACCAGCAAATAAACTAATATAAACAGATTAAGAACATGCCTTTTCCCTATGGCAACATATGAGTGTGAGTCCTGAACCCTTTCACAATTGCTACAGGAGATAATGAGGGTGTTTGAACATAAAATAAAGCATTACAAATTCTTATATATGCTGTTGTATACATTTGTTGTTTTGTTTATTCCCAGAAACTATGTAGGGGATGTTTGTTGGCCTATGATATGGGAAGAGAAGGACTGGAATATATTGTAATAGTTGACAAGAAAAAGAGATCATGGGTTACGACAGAGGATTCTTGACAGCCTTACATTGTGGTATTCTTTGCTGAGTGAAATATGGTTGACTGGAAGGGCCAAATGTAAGACGGGCCTGCATGCCTAATTTGTGACCCTTCGAAAATAAAGTTTGTTCGTTCATTCGTTTCGTATTCAAAATAGCATCTTACACTTTTGGACTTGTTATGCTAGAAAAGCAAGGTTGCATCAGTTGATACGGCACAAGGATGGGTTGAGCCTCATAACTGTACTAGTCAATAGACAGTATGTAGTCTGCTGCAGATTACAGCTCAGCTGATGTCGTGGCCAGCCCTGCCACCTCCCTGGAAAGGAAAAGGGCTGAGGAAAGGAGGTGGTCACTCCATCTCAAAAAAACTATATCTTTTTAAATTGTGAAGTCCCATCACTTCCACATCCTGGGGCCTGTGGGTATCTCTGAGAGGATACTCTGTGCTGTATTTACGATGATGTCCGTCCATGACTGACTCAGTGCATGGTTGCATGTTCTCTTTCAGTATCCCTGCTGCATCAGAATGATGTTCAGATCAAGACAGACGTTTCCTGTCTTCTGGCTTTTGTTCTCTTTGATGAAGTGGCCAAGTTTGATATTGTGTGAGTTGTGTCATGTAACTTAACTATTCATCATTGTCTCTGAGTTGTAACTGTCTATCGTTGTGTCTTAGTTGTAAGTATCCTTCACTGTGTCTGAGTTGTAACTATCCATCATCATGTCTGAGTTGTAATTATCATCCCTACATCTTGTAGGAAGTCGGCAGTCGGTAACCCAAGTTCAAGGTGTCTCCTTCGTGCCAAAGAACTGCATGGCTGTTGGGTGAACAGTCGTTAACGAAGGCAGACAGGTCGTCGTAGGGGCGACGCCTGCTGGTGGATGTAACGTCCTAAGTCCCTTCCCCAGCTAATAATGAGGGTACTGCTGGGGTGACCGTTTATTAACCCTCATATAATGCTTCAGGTTGAAATGGACGCTAGGCACAACCACCATTTTTTTTTACAAATTTACCTGCCAGACGGTGGCCGTTGCATTTTTGCTCCATTTGTAGACTGGAAGGATATAGTTTCGTCGCCCAGCTTCTGAGTTGAGCGCTTGGCGTGACACTGTGAGCTACATGTATTTTTCATTGGCACAGGAGCGGAGCAACTATGGGGTGACCCGTTTGCTGTGAAGCTGAAACTAGGATTACCAGATTACCAGATTGTCATCCCTGTATCTGATTTGTAACTGTCCGTCAGTGTGTCCGAGTTCAAACTGTTCATCATTGTATCTGATTTGTAACTGTCCTTCATTGTGTCTGATATGTATCTGTCCTTTATTGTGTCTGAGTTGTAACTGTCCTTCATTGTGTCTGAGTTGTAACTGTCCTTCATTGTGTCTGATTTGTAACTGTCCTTCATTGTGTCTGAGTTGTAACTGTCCATCGTTGTGTCTGAATTGTAACTATCCATCACCGTGTCTGAGTTGTAATTATCCATCATCATGTTTGAGTTGTAACTATTCATCATTGTGTCTGAGTTGTAACTATCCATCATCATGTTTGAGTTGTAACTATCCATCATCATGTTTGAGTTGTAACTATCCATCATTGTGTCTGAGTTGTAACTATCCATCATCATGTTTGAGTTGTAACTATCCATCATCATTGTGTCTGAGTTGTAACTATCCATCATTGTGTCTGAGTTGTAACTATCCATCATCATGTTTGAGTTGTAACTATTCATCATTGTATTTGAGTTGTAACTATCCATCATTGTGTCTGAGTTGTAACTATTCATCATTGTGTCTGAGTTGTAACTATTCATCATCGTGTTTAAGTTGTAACTATTCATCATCATTGTGTCTGAGTTGTAACTATCCATCATCATGTTTGAGTTGTAACTATTCATCATCATTGTGTCTGAGTTGTAACTATTCATCATCATTGTGTCTGAGTTGTAACTATTCATCATCATGTTTGAGTTGTAACTATCCATCATCATTGTGTCTGAGTTGTAACTATCCATCATCATGTTTGAGTTGTAACTATTCATCATCATTGTGTCTGAGTTGTAACTATCCATCATCATTGTGTCTGAGTTGTAACTATTCATCATCATTGTGTCTGAGTTGTAACTATTCATCATCATGTTTGAGTTGTAACTATTCATCATCATTGTGTCTGAGTTGTAACTATCCATCATTGTGTCTGAGTTGTAACTATTCATCATCATGTTTGAGTTGTAACTATTCATCATCATTGTGTCTGAGTTGTAACTATCCATCATTGTGTCTGAGTTGTAACTATTCATCATTGTGTCTGAGTTGTAACTATTCATCATCATTGTGTCTGAGTTGTAACTATTCATCATCATTGTGTCTGAGTTGTAACTATTCATCATCATTGTGTCTGAGTTGTAACTATTCATCATCATGTTTGAGTTGTAACTATCCATCATCATGTCTGAGTTTTAACTATTCATCATCATTGTGTCTGAGTTGTAACTATTCATCATCATGTTTGAGTTGTAACTATCCATCATTGTGTCTGAGTTGTAACTATTCATCATCATGTTTGAGTTGTAACTATTCATCATTGTATTTGAGTTGTAACTATCCATCATTGTGTCTGAGTTGTAACTATTCATGATTGTGTCTGAGTTGTAACTATCCATCATTGTGTCTGAGTTGTAACTATTCATGATTGTGTCTGAGTTGTAACTATCCATCATTGTGTCTGAGTTGTAACTATTCATCATCATTGTGTCTGAGTTGTAACTATTCATCATCATGTTTGAGTTGTAACTATTCATCATCATTGTGTCTGAGTTGTAACTATCCATCATTGTGTCTGAGTTGTAACTATTCATCATCATGTTTGAGTTGTAACTATTCATCATTGTGTTTGAGTTGTAACTATCCATCATTGTGTCTGAGTTGTAACTATTCATCATTGTGTCTGAGTTGTAACTATCCATCATTGTGTTTGAGTTGTAACTATCCATCATTGTGTCTGAGTTGTAACTGATAACTACTTTCTCTGTGTTACTGGTCACTGGCTTATACACTATGTTGCTGTGATCATCATCAGTTTCCACTTTTGCCATACATCCACTCCCACAGTCAAAGTGCCTCTTATACATACTTAGAGAAATACAGAAGATTAACTTTATCTGCTACATGGTTAACTTTATTTGTTACATGATTAATTTTATAATCTACATGATTAACTTTATCTGCTGCATGGTTAACTTTATTTGTTACATGAATAATTTTATAATCTACATGATTAACTTTATCTGCTACATGGTTAACTGTATCTGCTGCATGATTAACTGTATCTACTACACTGTTAATGTTATCTTCAGTAAGTTTACATGAATGTGACCAAGATGTATACATTTGTGTCTAGGCCAGGACAGTCTGATGCTCCAGGAACATGGTTCAGTCTTCCAGCCCAGCTGGCTCACAGGTCAGTGCAGGAAAACTTGTTCACTTTATCATGTGATAGGCCATAGCTCTGGTTTCTGACAGATTCTTGCAGTCTGGCCAGGTGTCAATAAACAGATGGGTCAACTCTGCCTGGCCAGGTGTGGATAAACAGATGGTTCAACTCTGCCTGGCCAGGTGTGGATAAACAGATGGTTCAACTCTGCCTGGCCAGGTGTGGATAAACAGATGGGTCAACTCTGCCGTTTAATAGAAGATAGTTGGTCAGTCTTTCCTCTTGAGCCTAGGGCTGCACATAGCGCAGAGGTCATAGCTTTCCATGTCTGACTGTTCATTGCTACCTGTTTTATCAAGAGCTACCATTGCTTTCCAACTCTTGCATCCAAAAGTTAGCACTGGAATCACACAATAGTTGAAGATCTTAAGTTTTGTGTGTTTGCTGAATGTCTTTTATGACAGTTTGTTAAAGGTGCCAGTGCAATTATAGTTGATTTTTCCAGCACTGAATTCCCTATAAATTTAACAGAAGATAGCAGAAGCAAAACAGATAAATTGCTAAGATTGTGTTCAGCTAGAGTTTCCAGACCTGTGCTGGAATTCTTCTTCTTTTTCTTTTTTACGCTCAATAGTTTCAAACTCCGGCAGAAAATTCTGGTTGTTCATCCACTTCTGGACTAGCCTCTTGTCCCAGAACTTTTGCATGCACTTCCATATTTGTTTACAAGCTGTTTATTTCTGGCCTCTCAGGTGCTCTGACCTCAAAGGAAACACCACTATTATTTGTCTTTTAATATATGCTTGTTAGGACCGAAAGATAGTGGGTCTATTTCCCTCTTCCCCCTTCCCTCACAATGGGCCCTGCAACCCACAAAGGGAGTTGGGATTCAAACCTGGGAACTTGTATGTTCACCTCTGGTACAGAATCTGAGGGTTTGAATTCAATTATCTGGCTGCAAATTGTTTAGAAGAACTATTTGTTTTTTAATAATATCTCCATGGGGCATGGTTGTTTTGATCACAGTGTTGAGAGAAGGTTAAATCAGCTGTGAGGTATATAAGGGGATAGTTGTATCTCACCTGGGGCATGGTTGTTTTGATCACAGTGTTGAGAGAAGGTTAAATCAGCTGTGAGGTATGTAAGGGGATAGTTGTATCTCACCTGGGGGCATGGTTGTTTTGATCACAGTGTTGAGAGAAGGTAAAGTCAGCTGTGAGGTATGTAAGGGGATAGCTGTATCTCACGTGGGGCATGGTTGTTTTGATCACAGTCTTGAGAGAAGGTTAAATCAGCTGTGAGGTATGTAAGGGGATAGTTGTATCTCACCTGGGGGCATGGTTGTTTTGATCACAGTCTTGAGAGAAGGTAAAGTCAGCTGTGAGGTATATAAGGGGATAGCTGTATCTCACCTGGGGCATCAGCATTCTCTGTGCTTTTGTTATGGACCCTCAGGTGAGACTCCAGCTACATGTCCTTGTCTTATGCCTCGGACAAACCCCCCCCCCCCCCCCCCCCCCCCCGTGCATTGGTGACAACGTAATTAGAAAAATCTCATACAGCGAGAAAAGCTCACGGGTTTAACAAAAATTCAGACGTATTATTAATCTTTCTCATCCCAGCTTATCTCTTACCAGCTAGTCTGAGTTATGAGTTGGATTATCTTCACAGCACTTCAGACACATCCATAGGTGCTCAGATTCCCCGCTCAACATATTCATCAGCATCGCGGGGTTAATAGTGCCAGTCCTCTGTTGGTTGACAAGACTTTGTGTGTGTCCAGTGTGCTTCTCGTTCTTGGCTGTGCTGATCTTTACTCCCATTTCTCATATTCTTAGCAGTGATGTGGACACATTGCTTTCAAAATCCTCAAAACGTCTTATCTCTCTAAGGGCATTGACAATGTCTGTGTGATCTATGAGCTGGCCATCTTTAGTTAATGCGGCACCTGCCAGTCTATCAGCTCTTTCATTTCCAGCAACAACTGCATAACCTGGGACAAATATGAAAGTAACTGCACTCACAGAAGAGTTTTGCAATGACACAATCCACTGTCTGTGTAACCAGCCTGCCTCGACCCGCCGGATCATGCTCAAAGAATCACTGAGCACACACACCGGGGAATATTCTTGGTATTCTAGCCACATGAAAGCTTGTGTCACCGCCATCACCTCCATCATCATGCTGCTGGTAGTCATGGAGAAGGCACCGCTGGCTTCTTAAACTGTTCTGCCTGAAGAGCGAGCTGCCCTAGCACTCTTATGTCCTCATATAACGGACCCGTCTGTGAAGATCAGCACATCTGTCTCATCTTACCTGTCCTCTGACAAGCTTGCAGACCTCAGCGTTGACAGCAGTGGGATTCTGCTCCCGACAACTTCTGTCAAGCGGGAACCAGCTAGTCTGTTTCATACACTGACATGCTTAAAATGTTTACCTTTATGCTGGTTTTCTCCCCAGCCTTTTCATACAGGAACCATGCCGCTGCTGATTGTCGTCTTCAAACTACTGTGTTCTATATCCTTATAGTGTTTCCATTATCAGGACACACAATTTTATGAGCTTTTTATCTTTGATTCTTTGATGTTGTTAGTAGAAATATAACAGTTAACATTGAGAATAAAAGAAAACAGAAAACTGCAGCCAATCAGTACTGTGAAGATTTCAACTGATCTAACTCACAGTGAGAACAGACAGCGTAAACATCCTGTGACTGTGCACTTGTCGATGTGTCTTGAGTGTAGACTTATTTGTTAGAAGTAAAAGTGAAGCATCTCCTCGGATGGAAATGTAGTTGTTAAAATCAAGCAGAGAATTGCAAAGGCAAATGCTGCTTACAACAGACTTCAGAGTGTCTGGAGATCAAACATCTACAGCACTAAAGCTAAACTCGGGATATACAAAACATGTGTTAGGACAGTTCTCCTTTGTGGAGCAGAAACTTGGACAACAGAAAGAAAGACAAAGACAGCATGCTCAAAGGTTTTGAGGGAGGAATTCTCAGAAGATTGTTGGAGTTCACATGGGAAGATAAAATCAGCAGTTCTAGATTACAACAATTGACAAACTTAGAAGAAAGAGAGATGGCTGAGACAGACAGTGCATTTGAGGTGGGGGTGGAGTAATTTGCATTCCAGTGCATGCTATCTGTCATTGGATATTATCATGCCGTGAAGGAATAAAGTGTCTCAAATGTTTTCAATCCATCTGTGTGAAGCCAACGATCATTGTATCATGTGCAAGTAACTATCAGACATGAGCAGTTTTGGTATGTGTGTGTTTTGTTGTTTTTTCTGATTTTTTTTCCCCATTTAGGTTGATAATTCAGATAGTCTGATATTGATTAGCTGAAACTGGTGTTACAGTCAGATAGTCTGATATTGATTGGCTCAAACTGGTGTTACAGACAGATAGTCTGATATTGATTAGCTCAAACTGGTGTTACAGTCAGATAGTCTGATATTGATTAGCTGAAACTGGTGTTACAGTCAGATAGTCTGTTATCGATTAGCTGTAACTGGTGTTACAGATACCGACTTCCATTCAAGCTGTCCGGCTACAACACTAGCAGCCCCAACATGGTGACCCTCCCTGACCCCAGCAGTGACATCATGGCCACCAGCGGGCCCAGAGAGATGATGAAAGTGGCCTGGAATCTTGCCTGGCATGGGGGCCTGCTGCAGCTGGTCAGCTCTTGCCGCAGTGGGCTGCTTGCAGACGCAGCCAGGCAGTAAGTGAAATCATCATCATCATCACCACGTAGCTGGTCTGTAGCAAAATGTCACTCTCATCGGAAAGACCTTTAGTCCTTTCCCAAACACCATTAACTATATTGGCACCAGAGGTTTCACTCTTTTGTCCCTTAACATTTTAATCACATGACTTTTTCCAAAATTTTCTTAAAAAGAAATCATCATCATCATCATGTGCCCTACCAACTGGTGTAGGCACTCATGCGTCTCCACAGATCACGATCCCTGGTAGCCATTGTTTCAGCCCATCCATCATCATCTCTCTTAGTCTGCCTCTACTCCTTTTGCCACTGATCTTTCCAGTTGTCGTGATGTTCTCCAATGTCTCCCTTCTCATTATGTGCCCAAAGCACAGTGTTTGTCTCTTTCTTACTGTTGTATATAGAGATCTACTTTCATTAGCTTCTTTCAAGCAATCAATGTTAGTTACTCTGGCCATCTTAGGTATTTGTAACATTCGTCTCAGAAACCACGTCTCGGTTGCTTCCAAATTCTTCCTAATTTGTTCACTGACATTCCAAGATTTGCTGCCAAATAGCAGAAGAAGTTCTATGTAACATTTTAGCACCCTCTTTCTGACATTAAATGAGAGTGATTTATTGCATAAGATATTTTTCATTTTCTGAAATGCAGCTTTCGCTGTACAGTGAGATCATATGTAAATTAGAGTGTACAGTGAGATCATCTGTAAACTAGAGTGTACAGTGAGATAATGTGTAAATTAGAGTGTACGGTGAGATCATGTGTAAACTGGAGTGTACAATGAGATCATGTGTAAACTGGAGTGTACAGTGAGATCATGTGTAAACTGGAGTGTACAGTGAGATCATGTGTAAACTGGAGTGTACAGTGAGATCATGTGTAAACTGGAGTGTACAGTGAGATCGTGTGTAAACTGGAGTGTACATTGAGATCATATGTAAACTGTAGTGTACAGTGAGATCGTGTGTAAACTGGAGTGTACAGTGAGATCATGTGTAAACTGGAGTGTACAGTGAGATCATATGTAAACTGGAGTGTACAGTGAGATCGTGTGTAAACTGGAGTGTACAATGAGATCATGTGTAAACTGGAGTGCACAGTGAGATCATATGTAAACTAGAGTATGCAGTGAGATCATATGTAAACTGGAGTGTACGGTGGGATCATATGTAAACTGGAGTGTGTGGTGGGATCATATGTAAACTAGAATGTACGATGGGATCATATGTAGAGTGTATGGTGGGATCATATGTAAACTAAAGTGTACGGTGGGATCATATGTAAACTGGAGTGTACGGTGGGATCATATGTTAGCTGGAGTGTACAGTGAGATCATGTGTAAACTGGAGTGTACAGTGAGATCGTGTGTAAACTGGAGTGTACAGTGAGATCATGTGTAAACTGGAGTGTACAGTGAGATCGTGTGTAAACTGGAGTGTACGGTGGGATCATATGTTAGCTGGAGTGTACAGTGAGATCATGTGTAAACTGGAGTGTACAGTGAGATCATGTGTAAACTGGAGTGTACGGTGGGATCATATGTTAGCTGGAGTGTACAGTGAGATCATGTGTAAACTGGAGTGTACAGTGAGATCGTGTGTAAACTGGAGTGTACAGTGAGATCGTGTGTAAACTGGAGTGTACAGTGAGATCATGTGTAAACTGGAGTGTACAGTAAGATCGTGTGTAAACTGGAGTGTACAGTGAGATCATGTGTAAACTGGAGTGTACAGTGAGATCGTGTGTAAACTGGAGTGTACAGTGAGATCATGTGTAAGCTGGAGTGTACAGTGAGATCGTGTGTAAACTGGAGTGTACAGTGAGATCATGTGTAAACTGGAGTGTACAATTAGATCATATGTAAACTGGAGTGTACAGTGAGATCATATGTAAACTGGAGTGTACAGTGAGATCATGTGTAAACTGGAGTGTACAATGAGATCATGTGTAAACTGGAGTGTACAGTGAGATCATGTGTAAACTGGAGTGTACAGTGAGATCATATGTAAGCTGGAGTGTACAGTGAGATCATATGTAAACTGGAGTGTACAGTGAGATCATGTGTAAACTGGAGTGTACAATGAGATCATGTGTAAACTGGAGTGTACGGTGGGATCATATGTTAGCTGGAGTGTACAATGAGATCATGTGTAAACTGGAGTGTACGGTGGGATCATATGTTAGCTGGAGTGTACAGTGAGATCATGTGTTAGCTGGAGTGTACAGTGAGATCATGTGTAAACTGGAGTGTACAATGAGATCATGTGTAAACTAGAGTGTACGGTGGGATCATATGTAAACTGGAGTGTACAGTGAGATCATGTGTAAACTGGAGTGTACGGTGGGATCATATGTTAGCTGGAGTGTACAGTGAGATCATGTGTAAACTGGAGTGTACAGTGAGATCGTGTGTAAACTGGAGTGTATATTGAGATAATATGTAAACTAGTGTGTGAAGTAAAATATTTTTTTACAATTTTCACTTCTTGTTCTTGTACATGTTTTTTAAATTATCAGTTTATTTTATATATGTTGGTGGATGTGTACATTGTTAATATCTGTGTCAGATATCCTTATATATGTTGGTGGATGTGTACATTGTTAATATCTGTGTCAGATATCCTTATATATGTTGGTGGATGTGTACATTGTTAATATCTGTGTCAGATATCCTTATATATGTTGGTGGATGTGTACATTGTTAATATCTGTGTCAGATATCCTTATGTATTTATGTATTTATAAATAATATATGTAATCCTTTCTAGAGTTTCCAACTTGTATATGTTATTTATATTTGTTTATTATCTTTATACAGAAATGTTTCATTTGTATCCATGTGTGTGTGTGGGATTGTTTATGTATAATCTACATCTCTAGATATGCCAGAAATATTCTATCAATGTATTCCATCCGAGTATAAATTGCCAGCAGTTCCAGTTTATGCTGCCTTATCTGTGTAGCTTCAACACATTGCTGACCCTGACACCCCTGGAGGTGACCATCATTGAAGCCTCAAGTGTAACATGGAATTTACAGACCAGTCTGGACAGTATTCGGGATGCTTCCTCACACAAGGCAGTGATCGCAGCTGTGGATCACCTGTTGTTGTACATTGGTGCGCTGAGGTTACCAGCTGTATCTGAGTTTTTCCTCAGCCATGACTGGCACACAGTTCTAGAAAAGTGAGTCGTAGAATTTGGGGAGTATACTAGTAGTCTCATGACCTCTGTATTGCCATTGTTATTTTGTTGTTCATTTTCCTTTACCTTAACTCTGAGTCCCAAATAACGCATCATACGTTCATAGGTTCCTACCTGGAAGCCCAAATGAGCGCATGATGCGCCAATTTTTTACTACTCATTCTTTACTACCCCCTGGACCTGTGATGCTAAACCCCCTGGGACTCAAAGAGTTAAGGAGATACTTTGGCAGCAGCACATGATGCTAGTGTCAGTAAAGATAGACATGAGGTTGGCAGTTTGAGAGTTCACTGAAATACTGAGGTTCAGCTTCTCTGTTTCTTTCCTGTAGGTTCTGGGACCCATTGAAAACAAATAGACCCAGTGCCTCCCTTGCAAGCATGTTGTAGGGGTCAGAGTGCATCTACCTGAGAGACAAGGAACCAAGAGTCTGCATACAAATAAGCCAGATCTGTGGAACAGAACACCCAGGATCTGGGAAAAGACTAAAGTCGGGATGTGGACGAACACCCAGAAATTCTGCCAGTTTACAACTGGTGAACATGAAGAATAAGAAGCTGCATTGATGCCAAGGTTATTTGAGCCTGAGAATGACCTGTAAATATTCAAGTGGGAATGACATAGAGATTTTTCTCCTGACCCTGTACCAACATACTAGCATTCTCTATGGAGATTGTGTCACAGAACTTTCCTTCATCATCATTAGTTCCTAATTTTGTCTGTAACAGTTGTGGGGAGGAACAGTTTGCGATTCATTGCTTGGTGGATAGTAATGGCTATTGTCATTCCGTATTCTCCTAGGGCGACCTCTTGCTTTCAGATCAGATCTGTTCATGTGTAGGGCTTGTGCTGGCAGTTGTTGTTGCTGTATTCTAATGAGGTGACCAGACTATTTGATTTTGTTTCTCAATGTGGTGTATGGTGTTGTTATCACCATCTGTCTGATAGTATCGTTTTTAACTTTATCTTGAATGGTTAAGTTGACGGCTTTTCTTAGTCATTCATTTTATGTAGGTTAGCCAGCTTTGGCACTGCTAGCACAGTATTGTTATGAATATGCTGTTTATATTTTGTTTCTTGGCGGTCATACTTTCCTTATTCATCTTCATCGTCGTCATCAGTTGCCTTGCCAACTGATGTGGGCGATCATGCCTCTCCACAATCTGCCATCTCCAACAGCATGTATCAGTTCATGTGCTGACACGCCTCCGGGCCAAAAGGCTGTCAAGAATCTTCTTGCATTATCTTCCTCTGTCTTTTTTTTCCCCACTGATTTTTTCATTTGTCACATGATAGATTTTCCTTCTTCTTATAATATAACCAAAAATGATGACCCTCTTTCTGATGTTTATATGATAAGTTGTCTTCAAGTCATCTCCTCTTTCAGAACATTTGCGTTGCTCTTTGGTTTGGTTGTCCAAGGAATTCTAATAAATAAAACCACAGTTCTTGACGCCCCCAGAAATTGTTTGGCTTATTTATTAATTTCCTAGAATTGACAGCGATGTGTTACCAACTGGCTTGCCATGGCTGTAAATCCTTATTACCTTCCTTATTAAGATTCATAAAGCAAGGGAAAGCACATGTTTGGGATGTCCATCAGCTGTGTCAGATTCTACTTCTGCAATGGAGGCCTGCTATCTCCAGCATTGTTTTTTCTGGTTGCCTCTCTTCTTTCTCTTCTCTGTCTCTCTATCTATCCTTTACTTACCCCCCCCCCCCTCTCTCTCTCTCTCTCTATCTCTCTCTTGTGTGATTAAGAAGCTGCAGTTTGTGTCTCAGTATATCTTCATTCACTGTAATGTCCAGCCTCTGTTTATGACTTCTTCTTCTTTCATTCGCTTGAAATAAATTATCTATATCTGCAATGTTGTTTCTAGTATGAACTTCACTGTCTTGTGTAATTCACTCAGCGATCTGTTTTTGTTGGCTTTGTGATTGATTATTCTCCACTTTTGCTTATAAGAGACTGGTATGTCAGTCTGTTTCTTCATTTGCACCTTCCTTAGCTAGTTTATCTGCTCTTTCATTTCTGAAAACTCCACAGTGGGATGGTATTCATTGCATAGTTACCTTACACTGACTGCCTAGTTTGAAGAGTAGTGTTCGTATACCAGGTAGTTATCCAGATTGGAGTTCCTGAAGCACAGCTCTTGCATCTGTCAGAAATACCACTGGTTGTGAAATATGATGTCTATTTAACAGTTTTTCTGCTGCTATTTTGATGGCTTGAACTTCTGCATCACAGTTGTGACACTTTTTATGACATATCATTTGGTTAATGCTTCTTGCCTCCCAGGTCAACTCAGCATTAAGTGGGTACCAGGTGAAGTCCTGGGAAGTAAAGGCAGCTGGCGTGATGTTAATTAATCACATCACTTACAGGGTGCCGATTGGTCTATTTACCCAGTATACATGAAGGCATGGAATACGGTTCTTTATATCATTTGATGTGTCCACAATACATTTTTCTATTTACTGAAATTTGTAACAACATGACCACTTGGCAGGTTTCTAACCGTGAAGCCCACGTCTGCTTCTGACGAGTCCCTGTTGCTGCACATACTTCAGTTGATTGGCTCAGTTTTACAGTGTGTCAGACCTCATGCACGGTTGCCTGCTGTAAACTCCGCCCTGATGTGGTTGATTGACAGCCTGTACAAGCCTGATGGACCTCTTGTCAGTTTGCTGAACAAGCCAGTGGGAAGGATGGGAGATGGATCAGAACTTGGTGCACCACCATCATCATCAAGTATCAGGAGGTTGTCATTTGTGTATTTTCATGAATATGTAGGTGTCATGTGCTGAACGCGCTGACAAGGTGTTCACTTTTAACCTTTCATGAATGCTTAAAAAAAATTTATGAACACTGATATTTCTGGAAACAATCTATTAAAAAAAAAACATATTGCACAGGGCATTAACTCTTTGAGTCCCAGGGAAAGTAACATACTTTCATAGGTTCTTACCTAGAAGCCCAATGAACACATGATGCGTCGATTTTAGTCTCTCTTTACTACCCATTGGGCCTGTGATGCTAAACCCTCTGGTACTCAAAGAGTTAATAAATGTTTGTAACATTTATTTTATCAACTTTTTGTGTGTGAAATATGTAAAGATATTTAAAGGGGGAAAGAGTGAAATATTAAATTCAATACATTTCCCAGGGCCTTAAAAAAATAACCCAACATTTATCAGGTGACTCATGCTGTGAATCTTTGACCTCTATCACTGGGGCTTCTGGACAAGTTTCCAGAATGAATGGGTGTACCAAAGAGGTCTTTGAAATAGGGGATTAGTCTTCGGTCAGTGCACCATCATCAAAGTCCTGGAACACTGCATCATGTTGTTGGGTCACCTGTTGCTGTTGACTGTGATCAGCTGCCTCCACCTCTTTGTGTGTGCTTGTCTTGGTGAAACTTTTGAAATGTTTCCTGTGTAACTGACTGTAGATGAATATAGATGTAGAGAGGATGGTTTGCATTACTGGCTCTGGACACAACGGATCGTCGTGGGGGACGGGCCTCGGTAAGCTGGTCCGGGTATCTAGTGGAAAAGATAGTCTTATCCTTTAAAAGTCCATCGTGTCCAAATTGTTTGCTGGTGTCCCTCTGCCATTTGCCAACGAAGTCCAACATGTGTCCGATAAACCAACCGTAAGTTTGCCACTTGGTCGTCCAGGTATGCTGACTGCTCTGATATGCTACCACAGCGACTATTAATCAACCTCAAACCTCACAGTATCTGTTGCAGAGTCACCAATTTCGTCTTGTCCCTGTCTGAGAACATCCGGTAATACGTGCAGCAGGAGCAGATCAAGCCTCAGCTTTATGAACTCAGGTGGGCCCACCCTCTGAGATTGTCTAGGAGCTCGTGGGCTGAAACATTTGTCCACGAGATGTTATTACTACTGATGATTGGTAGACTCCTGCTGTACATGCTCCCCTGTGGAGTTCTTATTATTATTTGTTCTATCCATCGCTCTGCTTATAGACACACACACACACACACAACTATCTTTAGTATTTACTCTTGTTTTTTTCATTATATATGTTTATGTATATCTTCTTCTGTGGTCGCCCTTAAAAGGATCAATGTGATGTTTTGTTGTGGTTTACAGCTAGGCTGCAATGTCTGCACCTTTCAACCCAGCACACCTAATTTCAGTAAACTAGTAGTCAACTTTGACAGCATGCTTAATGGTGGTGGGGGGGGGGGGGGAGCAGTCGGTCTATACCCCTAACCCCTCTTCAGTAGGTTCCTTTGGAGCCCTCAGTGTGTGTAAATACTTTTATTTGCACCGGCCTACATATATATACTTGATATTCATAATATGCATAATATTACATGAACATAACATGCTTTATTGATGAAATACAACTGCTGTGTGAAAGATAGGAGTTAGGAAGGGCCGAATGTAAGACAGGCCTACGTGCCTAATTTGCAGCCCTTTGAAAATAAAGTTTGTACGTTCGTTCATTCGTACTTTTGTATCAACAGTCACTTATTTTCAGATTCTCACATTTTCAGGAGATTGGACAAAGAACTTCTTGGCTGTGTGATGACTGTCAACCTGTGCCTACCTTACCAGTTGTCTCGCAGGTGAGCTCAGTCTGACATCACTTGATACTTATCAGCTGTAGGCACTCCAGACATAACTACAGGTGCTTAGTCTCTCAGCAGTAATGTGAGCTTAATGCAGATACACACTCTTGCTCTCAAGACACAATGACTCATTTACAGAAACAATGTCTGTTGTGTTCCATCTCATGTGTAAGGACAGTATTGACCTATACAGTCAGGTGAACAGCTCAGCTAAAACCACTTTTTATAATTCTGTCAATCTCCATTGTGTGTTACAGTGGATGGATATAACCTGTTTCCTCTGACTGATGACTATATGTAGGGGCTTGCTAAAGAATCATGCTAGTGCTTATTTTTGGGTTAGGTCTTGTTTAGGGGGCAACACAGTATCTGTCATGTCGTATCACATTGACTAGTTTGAGAATGGAGGTGGAGGCAGTCACTGCTGCCTTTCCGCTGGCTTGAGAATCAGCTGTACACGCATGCCGTCATACAACTGACTCACAGAGAATGTTGAGAAAGGTGGAGACGGGCACATTCCATGCAGAGTGGCAAGCACCACTTCAAAGATCCCGGGTAGTTAGCATCCTTTGAATATTTTCTCCAGGTGATGCCGGTGTGTCGGGAAATGAGCAGGCTGATAGACTGGCCAATTCTGCACTACTTGGTAGTGAACTGATGTGTGACAAGCTGGATGTTGTAAGGGCCCTTTGGGAGCGAGTGAACAGTGCAGAGGCACAAATAGATCATTACGGTCTGAGAATGGCACTGTGAGGAGTTGCAAGGAGATCTGGCTGACGCTCGACACTCAGGGGTAAGGCAAGACAGATATGCAATTAGACCGTTACTGGTACCATCGGAATTTGAAGTCATGGGATGTCGAGTCTTAATTCAACATTCAACGTTCTGTCATGTGGGGATTTTTGTTTTCCCTGCCAGTGGTTTTCAGATCAGAAGGCCACAGGGCTCTGTGAAGTATGTGGTGCAACACCTGTCTTCCACTGTTCCATACAGCTTGTTTCCATTAGAATGCCAGCCAGCCAAACCTGGAATCTCTCTTCTGCTCATGTAGAGAGCTTAGTAATTGATGGAGTGATGGTTTGAATGTGATCACCAGATTATCGGGATGGTACCCAACCAATGAGGATTTCTGTTTGTTTCATTTGAAGGAGCAAGCCAGCCCAGATGAGGGGAGACTTTGTGAGGAAGCTGCAGCAGGGCCTCAATATCAGTGATGCCCCACATTTCTACAACCTGGCATCTCTTGAGGGAGTTCTCACCTGTCTGATGCATGTCACTGCCAGGTGAGAACATTGATCTGACTTCTTCATTTGCTGATTTTGTGTGACTGTGTGGTGTCGGTCTTGTCCTCATCCTCCTGTCAGTTTCCTTTGCCTACCAGTTGCCACCATGAGAGTGGCAGGATGTTGAGGTTGCCTCACAGTTTGTCTTTCACTGTCAGTTTCCTTTGCCTACCAGTTGCCACCATGAGAGTGGCAGGATGTTGAGGTTGCCTCACAGTTTGTCTTTCACTGTCAGTTTCCTTTGCCTACCAGTTGCCACCATGAGAGTGGCAGGATGTTGAGGTTGCCTCACAGTTTGTCTTTCACTGTCAGCTTCCAGGCTGTGATTGGAGCTGTTGTGTGCTCTGAAGTCTGGAGCTTGCACTGATTGTTGTATTTCATCATTGTTGAATGCTTCTTCTTCCTGTTCAGCAGCTGTAAACTCTAGACTGTAGTCTTTTTCTGTAACTGAGTTTTGCCTGCGCATTTGTTTTACAAATCTGACTTATTTGTGTGCAGACTGTTGGTTCCTTGCCTCTCTGACTGATGCACTCTGACTTAGAAGAAACTGCTAATTAGTCGATTCTTATGACATGCTTGTAAGGGAGGCAGTGAATTTACTGTTCCCGCCCCTTCCCTCCCTTTCCACACACACACACGCACGCCCGCCTGCACACACACACGCACACCTGTCACAGACCTCTGGGTGACCTTGCTGGTCCATGGCTCATTACTGGGCCTATGACAGACAAACTAACCTTTGACACACACTGAACCCGAACGCACACAGAGCACACACGACAATCTTTATTGCAAGTACAGATAATACAATAGACAGTTGACTTCCCGCTGTGTGGCCACCTATTGCCTGGACCCTCTGGCCGAACGGGCTTTACAATCGCCTCGTTCCCCAGTACGTTCTACAGGCAATCTCCTGGTGCACAAACCACAGCAAGGCGATACGTTCTTTTCTATCACCACGCTGACCTACCAGACGTCACCACCTCTGTCTAGTGCAGGATCAGTATGACAAGGCTAGACATTCTCTCACACAACATGCACCTAAACAATTTAACTGGTCAGAAATAACTGGAACCTATTTACTTCTTATGGCACAACATAATACCTTGTACCAGTTAAATACACAGCACAAAAGACTATCCTATTCTAACAGAACACTGTAAGTAATCTATGCAGTCACTAAACAAATATCCTAACTCTAATATACTATCACTGTCTCGCTACACGTATGCTCCGTCTGACCGTTGTCCACCGAATGTCTCGTGTTCCTTTCACCTCGTGTCTCTTGACCCGTTCACCTGCTCAGTCCCCAAAGGGGTAATCATGTTGCGAACTTGTCTGCAACAGAGTTCACCCTTTCTTGTCGTGGCCAAGCGGTTTATCCTGAGCGCTAGTTTCACCGTGCAATAACAGAACAGACTTGACCAGTCACGGCCCTGACCTTTGTGTCAACCCTGGGGTGTCACCTGAGCAGGCACACCATACGGTGTGGTCCATTCCGCCACTGACTGTACTCATAGGATTGTGACATCGCCCGCCTGCACACACACACGCATGCACGCGCGCGCACACACACACACAGTATGTCCCAAAACCCACACGAGCAGTATTAAATGAGTCATGTACTGTTGTATGGGAAGTAAAGGCGGCCAGCTGACCACATCACCCACTGAGTGCCGTTTGGTCTATTAAACATAGGTCTTGCCTTCTATACCAAATACACCTGAACGTGTGAAAAAGGGTTCTGCACTTTACCTGCTTACTGTTGTATGGCTGGAGATTGGAGGCTGGGGGGATAACTTGGTTACAATCTTGTAGGCAAGCAGCACATTCTTTCTGAGCTCTGCCAGTGGGCAGTGCAAGACTTGGATACTGATTTGTCTACCAGCATTAGATGTACTTTATTAACAAAATATAAAGGCTCTGGTAATCTACATTACCAGATTACCAGATTACCAGTTACCAGACCCTTTATATTTTTTAAATGCCATTAAAAAACCCATTAAAATGGTTTGAGTCTAATAATTAAGATGTACAAGGTCCGACAAAAAGTAATGAGAATAATTCCATAAAAATTAAAAAACAACAGTTGAAGATGTAACCTGTATTTTATTCAAAGTAAGCCTCTTGTGCATTGACACAGTGAGTAGCACGATCTAACAAACACTGGAACGACCTCTGCAGTTCATCTGTTGCTATGGCCCTAAAAGTTGATGTTATTGCCCTTTTAATGTCATCAATATAGTCAAAGAAGCATCCTTTCAAGGTATCTTTAATTTTGGAAATGGAAAGTAATCACAGGGAAACAAATCTGGGGAATAGGGTGGATGGTTGAGGACACACACTTGTTTTGGGGCCCAAAGTTAGCGTTTTGATGATGTCTCATGGGTACTCAACCCGCTGGTGTTTTTTGTCAGACAACAAATGCGGTACAAACCTGCAAGCAACTTTTTCTTGCCAAAATCTTACACTAAAATTTTACAAAGGGTATCTCTATTAACACGAGATTCATCTGCCATCATCCTAACAGTAAAACAATGATCTTCTTGTATCCGTTCTGTGGTTTTTGCAATGAGTTCATCATTACAAACAGAAATTAGGTGTCCAGGTCTAGTTGCATTATTAATCATTTCTATACTACTTTTGAATCGTGAATACCAACTGAAAATCTGTGCACCATATAAACAATTATCTAAGTTGTGCTTTTTCTGAGTTTTAAAAAGAATTTAATGTTATCTCTTTGCTTCATGCTGATTTCGTAACAATGCACATCTAACTAGGTCAATAAAATGGCGGCTTGTTTGTTGTCTGCTTATCAGGTGGTGTTGCAAAGTTTCCAGATCATAGATGAACGTTGCATCTTTGGATTCTATGCTTTGCTTCATAGATGGCACTTTTGTCTTGGCCGTAATAAAATCAGTCTCATTACTTTATTGTTGGACCTTGTATTTTACCATATAATCAAAGCTAAGAAGATTGCTGCCCATTCAGAATGTTTTGAGTCTAATAATGAAGATATGTTCTAATACAAACTTGCTGTTGTAGACCTGGCTGGAGCAGGGAGAGTGGTCAACTGGATGCGGCTCGGCTCTGTCAGCAGCTTCTCAACAGTTTGCTTGAGGTGATCTTTTCATTTTCCTTGACTTGAGAGTAGTTGCTTTCATTTGTTATTTATTGTATTGTGATTGGGGATAAAACCAAATCATTGCACTATAGATATCTCTGTAGGTGGTCACTCTCCTTTAGCAGGTGTTGATATGAATATATGTTAACATCAGTTGTTAAAAATGTGACCTCTACTTCAATATAAAGATGTGTGCAAACAAGACATGAATGATACAAGTGTAGAAGTGGATTCTTAGGAACAAAATGCCATGGACCATTTTGCATTGAGGGCACACATCAGGAAGGTAATGAGAAATGGGAAGAAATAATTGCAGATAGGATGATAGCTGCGTGTCTGGGAAACTAAATACATGTAATGGCAACAGCAGTCCTGAAATCGCAAGCTCTAATTGTGGAAGATTTTACTTGATGCAGGCGGGTTTTGCTAATCACACTTGCCATTGCCATGCGTGGTGAGTCGCATGCCTTCTCATAGCACAGTGGCAGACTGTCATCTGGAAAGACGGAAAGGTACCAACAAATTGTTATATGAGTATACTACATAATGATATCCCAGTTTTACAATTTAATATCTGTATTTAAGAAGTTTTTTCCTCCCCACTAACACCACTTCTGGCACATAAATGACACATAGAAAAAACATTGAAAATGAAAACAAGAAGAAGACAGCTAGGACTGAAACCAGTTATACAGCTCATTAAAAAGCAACAGATGAGGTGATTTGGTAATCTGACAAAAATTTGCTGGTATCAACTGCCACTGAGAGCCAGGCTAAAGATGTATAATGAACACAGAGTAAAGGGAAGACCACACAAAGTCTAGAGCAGCAGCCGCAGCAGCATCGCGAGCAGCTTAAAAAAATGAATATCAGCTTACAGAACACATTAGAGAGAACACACAGAAGGTCTTTACATCTCTTCCCAGCACCAAGAAAAAGCAGTTGGAGAAACACAAAAAGAATCCCAGTTTTGTGTGTCAGTTCTCCCCGTGTGGATTCTAGGGCCCCATTGTGGGGAAAACAAGAACAGGCTCTCTGCCTCCCCAACAAGCATGTTGTAAGAGTCGACTCATTGGGGGTTTCCTTCAAAGTCGTAGTGCATCTGCTTGAGAGACAAGGAACCAACAGTCTGCATACCAAAAAAAAAATGTCAGATCTGTAAAAGGGATGTGTACAGGTTCTGTTCTTCAGGTTCTGGAACAAGTCTGATGTCTAGATGTGGATAAACAACCAGAACTTTCTGTTAGAGTTTACATCCGGTGAACATGAAGAAGAAAAGGAAGAAGAAGAGGATATGTCAGTCCCAGAATGGACATTCTGCATGTTCTAGTATAACAACATAGTTGCTGTGGGTGTGCTTGTGTGCATGTTCTTCTCGTCTTTGCTTTCACCAGCTGTAAACTCCAGCAGACAATTCTGCGTGTCCATCCACTTCTGGTCTTGTTCCAAAACTTATGACTTTGAGTGTACATCTGTTTTACAGATCTGGCTTATTTGTATGCATTCTGTTTGTTCCTCGCTTCTCATGCAGATGCACTCTGACTTTAAATGAAACACCCCTAATTAGAAGATAACTAGACTCCAAAAACTAATTTGCAACCTTTTATTGCATGCTTGAAATTGTGGGGGAAAAGGAAGGGGGTGGGGGGGGGGGGGAGGAAGAGCAGTGGGTCTATTCTTCTGACCCCCAAAATGGGATGCTGGAACTCAGTTGAGTGGATCAGCTGTCAGGACCCCACAAAGATGCATGGAAATGAGAGCTGGTTTACTGGCTTCAAAAATCCCTTACAATAAAGATGGACAGAGGGGAAATCTTTGCTAGTCAGCAGACATTAAATACCTTACAATAAAGATGGACAGAGGGTAAATCTTTGCTAGTCAGCAGAAATTAAATACCTCACAATAAAGATGGACAGAGGGGAAATCTTTGCTAGTCAGCAGACATTAAATACCTCACAATAAAGATGGACAGAGGGGAAATCTTTGCTAGTCAGCAGACATTAAATACCTCACAATAAAAATAGACAGAGGGGAAATCTTTGCTAGTCAGCAGACATTAAATACCTCACAATAAAGATGGACAGGGGGTAAATCTTTGCCAGTCAGCAGACATTAAATACCTCACAATAAAGATGGACAGAGGGTTAATCTTTGCTAGTCAGCAGACATTAAATACCTCACAATAAAGATGGACAGAGGGGAAATCTTTGCTAGTCAGCAGACATTAAATACCTCACAATAAAGATAGACAGAGGGGAAATCTTTGCTAGTCAGCAGACATTAAATACCTCACAGTAAAGATGGACAGAGGGGAAATCTTTGCTAGTCAGCAGACATTAAATACCTCACAATAAAGATGGACAGAGGGGAAATCTTTGCTAGTCAGCAGACATTAAATACCTCACAATAAAGATAGACAGAGGGGAAATCTTTGCTAGTCAGCAGACATTAAATACCTCACAATAAAGATGGACAGAGGGGAAATCTTTGCTAGTCAGCAGACATTAAATACCTCACAATAAAGATAGACAGAGGGCAAATCTTTGCTAGTCAGCAGACATTAAATACCTCACAATAAAGATGGACAGGGGGTAAATCTTTGCCAGTCAGCAGACATTAAATACCTCACAATAAAGATGGACAGAGGGCAAATCTTTGCTAGTCAGCAGACATTAAATACCTCACAATAAGGATGGACAGAGGGCAAATCTTTGCTAGTCAGCAGACATTAAATACCTCACAATAAAGATAGACAGAGGGGAAATCTTTGCTAGTCAGCAGACATTAAATACCTCACAATAAAGATGGACAGAGGGGAAATCTTTGCTAGTCAGCAGACATTAAATACCTCACAATAAAGATAGACAGAGGGCAAATCTTTGCTAGTCAGCAGACATTAAATACCTCACAATAAAGATGGACAGGGGGTAAATCTTTGCCAGTCAGCAGACATTAAATACCTCACAATAAAGATGGACAGAGGGCAAATATTTGCTAGGGACATTAAATACCTCACAATTGACAGAGGGGAAATCTTTTGCAGCAGACATTAAATACCTCACAATAAAGATAGACAGAGGGGAAATCTTTGCTAGTCAGCAGACATTAAATACCTCACAATAAAGATAGACAGAGGGGAAATCTTTGCTAGTCAGCAGACATTAAATACCTCACAATAAAGATAGACAGAGGGGAAATCTTTGCTAGTCAGCAGACATTAAACCCAGAACCACATTTTGAATTTGTGAGTCTGTCGGATTAATATGGGAGCCAGGGTAACATTGTGGCTAGATGCTTCCACAGCTTTCAGCTTTTGCTGGGAGAGGCTGAGCATTTCTGAGCTTGTCCTGAGTGTGCTAACATTGATTCTCCATTATACATTTTAAACATTTTGTGTATGCCAGGTGTGTGTTTTATATACTAGATTTTACATATTTTTGTGCAACACTATATTCTAATTTTACATTTGATATTCTTATATCCTAACTTTATATTGTATATACCTTGGATTTTATTCTTTACATTTCCTGTTGTAATGTTTGGGAGCTGTTTGTTGTAATGGCTTCAGCAAACTAATGTGTTAGATCCCTTCAAAGTGCAGATTTTTGTCTCCAATTACTTGGACTTCCAGGATGTTCTTGTCTAAAATGGGCACCAGGAAATTTCCATAGAAGTAAACACAACCAACATGACATCACATCTTCCATAGAGTGTTAACTGGTCTGAAATATGGGGGCGGGTTTGGGGCTAGACCGGATAGATCTCTGGGCATGTCTTGGTGAAATGGTCAGTCAGTTTGTCTCACACTCTGAAGATCGTGGGTTTGTTCCATCCCTAGGTTCACAAGTGCAATTTTTTACGGAGTCCCCTTAGGATTGTCACAGGAGCTACTACATTGCTTGTGCTTTGTGCAACACTTCCAGCAGGCGGCTAGCTGTTTTGTGGAGAGAGACTGAGCAGCGTGGGTTAAAACCTGGTTCATTGAAGTCGAACCAAATGACTACTTTGTGAATCCCAGTTTTATGTTGAATTGTACCTTATTAAACCAATAGGTGATCTGGTCCTTCTATGTGGGCCGAGGCTGCACCTCCCAGTCCTTCATGGGCAAAGGTGTCACCAAGTCCACAGCTCTGTGCCTGCTGCACGTCTCCTACGAGATGATCCACAACTGTGAGGATCAGGTATGTAGATGTTCAGATTGTGAGCGGTACCATTAGTATTGGAACTCTGCGCTGGCTGCTGAAGGTGAGGACGGAGCATGCATGGGAATGCCCTGACTGCTGTGATGTCAATTCTTGACTCAACCTAACTCAGCTCATGTTCAGACCTGATATATTGGTGGCACACGAGGCTGTGGCAAAATTGTTTGTTCATACTGTTTTATAGTTTCATATTGTATGGGTTTGTGAAAGCCTTGCAAGTGCACTTCATCATTCCGGAATACCTGGTTCTGTTTCAGTTGTGGGTGATCTGGCAGCAGACCTTTTTATGTTCATGTAACGGTGGTTTTGAGCACTGACTGTTCAGCAGTAATGGCAAACCACTGAACGTAAAATTGTCTGGCAAGACCAGAGGGGGTTTGTTCTGCTACATCCTGTAAAGGATAAGCAGCTCACTGTTTCAAATTCATTGAGCAGTTACAAAGCTGTTAATATAGTCACGTTTGTGTATGCGCATATTGTCTGTGTGTGTGTATGTGAGTAAGGAAATGCCTGTTCAGGGCATTTATCATCTATGAATGTAAATTTTTCTTTAAATTAACCCCCCCCCCCCCCCCCCCCCCAAAAAAAAAAATCTATTGCGATAAGTTTTTGTCATCAGTGTAGAAGAAAAATAGAACATATATCATTTGTTTGTGTATGCTGAACTGTTGGTTTAAAAAATATAACAAAAAATCCTTTAAGGCATCGCAAATGTGATTATAGAGAAAACAACTGAAAATTTTCTGGACAGCCAGCACGAGTAATGTAAATGTGTTGGGAATAGGTAAGACACAGTGACAGCTGATTACATTTGACAGAGGCAGTCAGCATGTTCAGGACACTAGGTTACAACCTGGTAACAGTGAGATGACAACAGAAGAAGATGTAGTCAGCATGTTTGGGCCACATTACCAGAAGAAAACTGAGGAGTCTGAGGAGAACGGCACTGCGAGGAGTTTCTATGAGATCTGGCTGACTCTCAACACTCAGGGCAAGGATAAGACAGATAAACAATCAGACAGTTACTGGTACCATAGGAATTGGAACTCTTCGCTTGCTGTTGAAGATGGGTGACTGAGCACTTATGGGTGTGTCCCGAGTGCTGTGATCTCGATTCTAATTCAATATTCAACATTTAACTACCAGAAGAAAACTGGAACCTGTGGCCACTGGTGATATTATGGAAAGAGGAATTGAAGAAGATAGTGAGCAAATATTCGGTGATTGCCTCTGATCATAATGTTTTGTTTGTTGTTAGTTAACATTGAATTAATTTAATTGATAGCCTTACATTATTTGATTAGCATATTTTGTATGTGGATTTCCAGAACTGGGTCAAGAACTGGCTGTACACAAAACAAGATCACAGGCCAGATACAGAGCAAGGCTTGAACTGGTTGTTTACTCTCTGGATTTACAGGGACCCAGAGGTGAGACTAAATATATGAATGTGACCTTTAGATGAAACTATGAGCTGTACTTAAGTGTTGCCACCACCATCAGTAACACTTCCAACAGCAACATCCCTAACAGTAACAGTACCAACAGTAACATCAACAACAGTAACACTACCAACAGTGACATCAACAACAGTAACACTACCAACAGTGACATCAACAACAGTAACACTACCAACATTGACATCAACAACAGTAACACTACCAACAGTAACACCAACAACAGTGACATCAACAACAGTAACACTACCAACAGTGACATCAACAACAGTAACACTACCAACAGTGACATCAACAACAGTAACACTACCAACATTGACATCAACAACAGTAACACTACCAACAGTAACACCAACAACAGTGACATCAACAACAGTAACACTACCAACAGTAACACCAACAACAGTGACATCAACAACAGTAACACTACCAACAGTGACATCAACAACAGTAACACTACCAACAGTAACACTACCAACAGTGACATCAACAACAGTAACACTACCAGCAGTAACACCAACAACAGTGACATCAACAACAGTAACACTACCAACAGTGACATCAACAACAGTGACATCAACAACAGTAACACTACCAACAGTAACACCAACAACAGTGACATCAACAACAGTGACATCAACAACAGTAACACTACCAACAGTAACACCAACAACAGTGACATCAACAACAGTAACACTACCAACAGTGACATCAACAACAGTAACACTACCAACAGTGACATCAACAACAGTAACACTACCAACAGTGACATCAACAACAGTAACACTACCAACATTGACATCAACAACAGTAACACTACCAACAGTAACACCAACAACAGTAACACTACCAACAGTGACATCAACAACAGTAATACTACCAACAGTGACATAAACAACAGTAACACTACCAACAGTGACATCAACAACAGTAACACTACCAACAGTGACATCAACAACAGTAACACTACCAACATTGACATCAACAACAGTAACACTACCAACAGTAACACCAACAACAGTAACACTACCAACAGTGACATCAACAACAGAAAAACTACCAACAGTGACATCAACAACAGTAACACTACCAACAGTGACATCAACAACAGTAACACTACCAACAGTGACATCAACAACAGTAACACTACCAACATTGACATCAACAACAGTAACACCACCAACAGTAACACCAACAACAGTGACATCAACAACAGTAACACTACCAACAGTGACATCAACAACAGTGACATCAACAACAGTAACACTACCAACAGTAACACCAACAACAGTGACATCAACAACAGTGACATCAACAACAGTAACACTACCAACGGTAACACCAACAACAGTGACATCAACAACAGTAACACTACCAACAGTGACATCAACAACAGTAACACTACCAACAGTGACATCAACAACAGTAACACTACCAACAGTGACATCAACAACAGTAACACTACCAACAGTGACATCAACAACAGTGACACTACCAACAGTAACACCAACAACAGTAACATCAACAACAGTAACACTACCAACAGTAACACTACCAACAGTAACACTACCAACAGTAACACTACCAACAGTAACACTACCAACAGTAACACTACCAACAGTAACACTACCAACAGTAACACCAACAACAGTAACACTACCAACAGTGACATCAACAACAGTGACACTACCAACAGTAACACCAACAACAGTAACATCAACAACAGTAACACTACCAACAGTAACACTACCAAAAGTAACATCAACAACAGTACCACTACCAACAGTAACAACAACAGTAACATCAACAACAGTAATACTACCAACAGTAACATTAACAACAGTAATACTATTAGCAGTAACATCAACAACAGTAACACTACCAACAGTAACATTAACAACAGTAATACTACTAACAGTAACATCAACAACAGTAACACTACCAAAAGTAACAACAATGAAAGTAACACTACAACAGTAACACCAACAACAGTAACACTACCAACAGTAACACTACCAACAGTAACACTACCATCAGTAACACAACAACAGTAACACTGCCAACAGTAACACTGCTAACAGTAATATCAACAATAGTAACACTACCAACAGTAATATCAATAACAGTAACACTACCAACAATAATATCAACAACAGTAACACTACCAACAGTAATATCAACAACAGTAACACTCCCAACAGTAATATCAACAACAGTCACACTACCAACAGTAACATTAACAACAGTAACACTACCAACAGTAATTACAACTGTAACACTACCAACAGTAACACCAACAACAGTAACACTACCAACAGTAATATCAACAACAATAACAACAACAGTAACACTACCAACAGTAACACTACCAACAGTAAAATTACCAACAGTAACATCAACAACAGTAACACTACCAACAGTAACACTACCAACAGTAACACTACCAACAGTAAGATTACCAACAGTAACATCAACAACAGTAACACTACCAACAGTAACATCAACAACAGTAACACTACCAGCAGTAACATCAACAACAGTAACACTACCAGCAGTAACATCAATAATAGTAACACTACCAACAGTAACATCAACAACAGTAACACTAATAACAGTAACATCAACAACAGTAACACTACAATGACATCAACAACCGATAACACCAACAATAACATCAACAACAGTAACATTACCAACAGTAACATCAACAACAATAACATCAACAACAGTAACACTACCAACAGTAACGAACAGTAACATCAACAACAGTAACATCAACAACAGTAACACTGCCAACATCAACAACAGTAACACTACCAACAGTAACATCAACAACAATAATACTACCAACAGTAACATCAACAACAATAATACTACCAACAGTAACATCAACAACAATAACACTACCAACAGTGACATCAACAACAATAACACTACCACAGTAACATCAACAACAGTAACACTACCAACAGTGACATTAACAACAGTAACACTGCCAACAGTGACATCAACAACACTAATACTGCCAACAGTGACATCAACAACACTAATACTGCCAACAGTGACATCAACAACACTAACACTACCAACAGAGACGTCAACAACACTAATACTGCCAACAGTGACATCAACAACAGTAATACTACCAACAGTGACATCAACAACAGTAACACTACCACAGTAACATCAACAACAGTAACACTGCCAACAGTGACATCAACAACACTAATACTACCAACAGTGACATCAACAACACTAATACTGCCAACAGTGACATCAAGAACATTAATACTACCAACAGTGACATCAACAACACTAATACTACCAACAGAGACATCAACAACAGTAATACTACCAACAGTGACATCAACAACAGTAATACTACCAACAGTGACATCAACAACACTAATACTGCCAACAGTGACATTAACAACACTAATACTGCCAACAGTGACATCAACAACACTAATACTGCCAACAGTGACATCAACAACACTAATACTGCCAACAGTGACATCAACAACACTAATACTGCCAACAGTGACATCAACAACACTAATACTGCCAACAGTGACATCAACAACACTAATACTGCCAACAGTGACATCAACAACAGTAATACTACCAACAGTGACATCAACAACACTAATACTGCCAACAGTGACATCAACAACACTAATACTGCCAACAGTGACATCAACAACACTAATACTGCCAACAGTGACATCAACAACACTAATACTACCAACAGTGACATCAACAACACTAATACTGCCAACAGTGACATCAACAACACCAATACTGCCAACAGTGACATCAACAACACTAATACTGCCAACAGTGACATCAACAACACTAATACTGCCAACAGTGACATCAACAACACTAATACTGCCAACAGTGACATCAACAACAGTAATACTACCAACAGTGACATCAACAACACTAATACTGCCAACAGTGACATCAACAACACTAATACTGCCAACAGTGACATCAACAACACTAATACTGCCAACAGTGACATCAACAACACTAATACTGCCAACAGTGACATCAACAACACTAATACTGCCAACAGTGACATCAACAACACTAATACTGCCAACAGTGACATCAACAACACTAATACTACCAACAGAGACATCAACAACACTAATACTGCCAACAGTGACATCAACAACACTAATACTACCAACAGTGACATCAACAACACTAATACTACCAACAGAGACATCAACAACACTAATACTACCAACAGTGACATCAACAACAGTAACACCACCACCTATGACAGTAACACACTTGTTTGTATTCTTAGCCCACAGTTGCTAGATCATTTGACACTCACACAACATCACTCATTGTACTTAACCTGCTCGTCCTTCCTAGGTGCGAGCTGCTGGCTTGGGCATTGCGGTGTCCTTGACCTCAACTGAGACTGGTCGTCTCCTGGTGGCTGAAAACTGTAAACACATTTCTGGTGGGATCTGGGGTGTAGCATTCAGCGTACTCCTGGACTCGCTGGAGTGTAGCCTGGTGCGGCAGCAGGTCAGTCATCTGTCATCTTTATATAACCTAGTTGATATTTTTTCTCTGTATGTTTCTTTAGTTCAGCTTCAGGCTGATGTGGTTTCGTACATAGCTTAAGCACAGGTACAAATAGACAGGTGTATATTTATGGAAACAACAACTAAAACAATTAATAATAAACTACAAACATTCATTAACGGGTGCCTGCACAGAACATCAGAGTTGACATCCAGATCATATGAAGAAGGTGAAAAGGGTGCAAGGGATGATGTACTAAGAAAACCTCATAGTAGTGTAACTAGAATGTCCTTTCATGGAACCATCAGAGTAGAAGAGCTTGATGGATACTGAAAAGCATATGGAGAAGAGAATTAACAACAGATTAATAATATAAAGAGGACATGGAGGAACCAGAGCTGGTTGCAAAAGGTATAATGGTTTGTTTTTTGGTTTGTGTAGGGGGTGTCTGCTTCAGTGAGGAATAAAAGGCATAAGGAGTAGAAGTTTGTACAATGTTTGGCGACTGCCTCGGCAATTGCTCATTTCCAAACTTTCCATGACACAAACACACACGAGTGCAGCTGCTAGATACTATACAGAAAGGTAATTGTAATCCAGTGGGTGGTTCTGTTCATGCATCTTACTGTTGTTTCTCCAGGCAGCACTTTTGCTGGTGAACCTCACGTCACAGACCATGCCAAGTGGTGATGTGGAAACCAGACCTGGCACCTGGAGCGGACCACTGGTCACAGACACTGAGTATCAGGTACACACATTGTTTGATGTCTCTTCTAGAGGTTTATTGTTGCCTCTTTCTCCACCTCATTCTGCTGTTCTTTACGTGGCCTCTTTGCTTGTGATGTCTCTTCTTGAGGTTTATTGTTGCCTCCTTCTCCACCTCGTTCTGCTGTTTTTTATGAGGCTTCTTTGCTTATGATGCTATTTGCATGCTACAGTTATGTCCAGTAAGTGTATGTTATCATGTTTTTTTTTATCATGTTCTAAATATTTATCTGTTATGTTCTAATTATTTATCTGTTATCATTTTCTCAATATTTATCTTACATATGTGTTGTGTTCTAAGCATTTCTCTGATGGCTCTTGTTCCAAAAATGTCTCTGTAGAATCTGCTAGGGAGCTGGGAACCGACCAGTTTTAACCAACCGGTCTTTCCCCACATAAAGCCTGTTGTGTATATTGTGCAAACCCTGTGTTTGTATAGACCTACTGATATTTGCTGGGGAGGCCCTCAGTATCATGCTGGCCACCTTGATTTCCTAGAACAATTCCTGGCACACAATTTTAGCAGGGTCATCCGACAAGCCCGAATCTTCTTCAGCATTCCGAGCCCTTGAAGTTCATTGCTGCAGATTTCACCCACCTCTGTTCATCTCTCTAGTTGGCCTTCTCTTTCCAATTGGTGACACCAAGCCTTTGCAGGTCTGTCAAGATATTATCTCTCCATCGTCTTCTTGGTCTACCTCGTAGTCAGCGACCATTCATCTCCCGTTTGTATACAGTTTTCACGTCTCTGTTATCTGACATTCTCTCAGTATGCCCCAACCATTTCAGTCTACTAGCTCTCATGATGCCAGTTATCAATGGTGATTTAAAAAGATTATGAATTTCGTTGTCAGTTAAAATAATTTCTTGCCTCAAGGATCTGAACTCAAAACTACTTGGTTGGCATGCAAGCATTCTAGCGACTGCAGCACACAACTGACAGCTGTTTAACTTTCAAAAGGCAGCCCAGCAAGGATCATCTTACATTTATATTCCTCAAATAAGCAACTGTATTCTAATTACTTGTTATATGGGGGGACAATCTGACATAATGTTGTGAATGAAGTAAATACTAATACATAATTTCATCCCTTTTTATTCAACTACAGTTAAGGTATAATTGTTTGAACATCGTCGTCAATTTATAAACGCACTATAGTAACTGCCTGTTTACGACCTTAACATTTAACCTTGAACTGTATTGTGTGTGTCCAGGTCATGCTGGTGGGTGTCAATGCCCTAGAGGCCCTGCTTGACCACACAAACTTCTATGCAGCCATGGCTAAACTCTTGAACTCCCTGTACATGTCTACTCTCATTCAGCCCATATTGGTCACCACTGAAGTGGACAACTCGACCAACACCACCTTGTCTTCCATTGGTGAGTCACCATTACATGTGTCTGCATTTAAAATGTGTCTTGTCTCTTGCTAATCAATACGTATGTTGACAGTGGATAAGACAGCCTAATGTAAATGGTCTAAAATTGATGCAGTGCACAGTCTTGCATCATGAACAAATATGTGGCTCATGGGGGCCAATTTTGGAGGAAATGGTATGGACCCATTGTCTCCTAACAGAGTAGACCCATTGTCTCCTGAGTAGAGCCACAACCTCCTAACAAAGAGTAGACCCATTGTCTCCTAACAAAGAGTGGACCCACAACCTCTTAACAGAATGGACCCACAGCCTCCTAACAAAGAGTGGACCCACAGCCTCCTAACAAAGAGTGGACCCACAACCTCCTAACAGAGTGGGCCCACAGCCTCCTAACAGAGTGGACCCACAACCTCTTAACAGAATGGACCCACAACCTCCTAACAAAGAGCGGACCCACAACCTCCTAACAAAGAGTAGACCCATTGTCTCCTAACATAGTGGACCCGCAACCTCCTAACAAAGAGTGGACCCACAACCTCCTAACAGAGTGGACCCACAACCTCCTAACAAAGAGTGGACCCACAACCTCCTAACAAAGAGTAGACCCACAACCTCCTAACAGAGTGGACCCACAACCTCCTAACAGAGTAGACCCACAACCTCCTAACAAAGAGTGGAGCCACAACCTCCTAACAAAGAGTGGACCCACAACCTCCTAACAGAGTGGACCCACAACCTCCTAACAAAGAGTGGACCCACAACCTCCTAACAAAGAGTGGACCCACAACCTCCTAACAAAGTGGACCCACAACCTCCAAACAAAGAGTGGACCCACAACCTCCTAACAAAGAGTGGACCCACAACCTCCTAACAAAGAGTGGACCCACAACCTCCTAACAAAGACCCACAACCTCCTAACATAGAGTAGACCCACAGCCTCCTAACAAAGAGTGGACCCACAACCTCCTAACAAAGAGCGGACCCACAACCTCCTAACAAAGAGTGGACCCACAACCTCCTAACAGAGTAGACCCACAACCTCCTAACAAAGAGTGGACCCACAACCTCCTAACAGAGTGGACCCACAACTTCCTAATAAAGAGTGGACCCACAACCTCCTAACAAAGAGTGGACCCACAACCTCCTAACAAAGTGGACCCACAACCTCCAAAAAAAGAGTGGACCCACAACCTCCTAACAAAGAATGGACCCACAACCTCCTAACAAAGAGTGGACCCACAACCTCCTAACAAAGACCCACAACCTCCTAACATAGAGTAGACCCACAGCCTCCTAACAAAGAGTGGACCCACAATCTAACAAAGAGTAGTCCCATAGCCTCCTAACAAAGAGTGGACCCACAACCTCCTAACAAAGACCCACAGTCTCCTAACAAAGAGTAGACCCACAACCTCCTAACATAGAGTAGACCCATTGTCTCCTAACAAAGAGTAGACCCACAGTCTCCTAACAGAGAGTAGACCCAATGTCTCCTTACAAAGAGTAGACCCACTGTCTCCTTACAAAGAGTAAACCCATTGTCTCCTAACAAAGAGTAGACCCAATGTCTCCTAACAAAGAGTAGACCCATTGTCTCCTTACAAAGAGTAGACCCATTGTCTCCTAACAAAGAGTTGACCCATTGTCTCCTCACAAAGAGTAGACCCATTGTCTCCTCACAAAGAGTAAACCCAATGTCTCCTAACAAAGAGTAGACCCATTGTCTCCTTACAAAGAGTAAACCCACAGTCTCCTAACAAAGAGTAGACCCGTTGTCTCCTAACATAGAGTAGACCCATTGTCTCCTAACAAAGAGTAGACCCATTGTCTCCTTACAAAGAGTAGATCCAATGTCTCCTAACAAAGAGTAGACCCATTGTCTCCTTACAAAGAGTAAACCCCCAGTCTCCTAACAAAGAGTAGACCCATTGTCTCCTAACATAGAGAAGACCCATTGTCTCCTAACAAAGAGTAGACCCATTGTCTCCTTACAAAGAGTAGACCCATTGTCTCCTTACAAAGAGTAAACCCATTGTCTCCTTACAAAGAGTAGACCCAATGTCTCCTAACAAAGAGTAGACCCAATGTCTCCTAACAAAGAGTAGACCCATTGTCTTCTTACAGAACCCAATGTCTCCTAACAAAGAGTAGACCCATTGTCTTCTTACAAAGAGTAGACCCACAACCTCCAAAAAGAGTAGACCCACAACCTCCAAAAAGAGTAGACCCACAACCTCCAAAAAGAGTAGACCCATTGTCTTCTAACAAAGAGTAGACCCACACCCTCCTAACATGTCGTAAAATCAACTGTAGAGATTAGCTGAAATCATATGTATTGGGCTGAAGGTGGAGATATAGCAGTCTAGCTGTAAACCACAAAGCACTGTGCCAGCCACATGTGTAAGGTCAAAAGCAGAACAGCAACAGACATGGTGGGAAAACAGTCAGTGAATGGATAGGTTATGGTATGTTCAGTCCCACCTGTGGGAATTATCTCTACAAAAGCGTCCGGCTGCTGTGGAAGCAGAAGTTTAAGCCTTGATTTTCGAGAACGTTCTAGAGGGTGATGCTGTCATTTACACAAATGGGTCTATAATCTGCCATGTTAGAAGCTCATGGCCTTTCATGGCTCAGGTTGGAAGGAGAGTTGTGTAGGAAGATTCTAGAGCTTTAGCTGTAACTGCAAGTAGCCTCACTATGGAGGTCCTGGCTGAGACTAAAGCAGTAACATGGCTAGAGACACAGACTTTCACTGGGGCATGCTTTCTCAGTGACTCGATGAGTATGCTCAGGAAGATAGAGAAGGGCTGGGTCTGAAGGCAGTGGTTGGTGGCTCTACAGAATTCACGGCTGACAAGGATTAGTTTCATTTTCGTGCCAGGACATGTGGGAGTACAAGGAAACGAGCATGCTGATAGTCTTGCAGGTAAGGCTACTGTGAAAGCCGGACAAGCCATGGACCAGGCTGATTTACTGAATGCTTTAAAAGAGTTAAACGTGATCGGAGAACTGAGAACTGTGAATCTGCAACCATGGTCAGACTGCAAGAACAACATGTTAAACGGGGTGTTGCCAAACAAGAACACTACGCTGGTAGTCAAAGACGAAGAATAAACCAACACATAACTGGTGTTGTTAGCCGCTATACGCTGTGGGATTTACTGAGAAGGGGATCCAAGCACTTATGGACTGAGTGGTTCGACGTGCAATGAGGATAATTTGTCGACTAAGTAAACTTAACAAGCAGAAATTGTTCTGTTTACCTGGCAGTTCATAACCCAGTAACAGCATAAAATCCATATCATAGTTATCCTCATCATGATGTAGAAGATGCTCCCGTCATGACCTGATGGTGTGCCCCCCTGATAATCAGTAATAAGCAGGTTAGTTAGTCACAGTGCCTACTTAATGGTAAATGGGTCACTTTGTAATTGCTCAATTCTTGTGCCAGAAGAAACGGCACAGACTGCTTGATTTTATAGCTCATGGAAATACAGGAAATATGAATGGAGCTGAGAACCTAATTTCATCAGACTAACCTAGCAGTTACTAAATACACCTGATAGATATGTTTAATGTGTGCTGTCAAGTGTAACACTTGGTACACAGTAGCAGCATTATGTTATAGTCGGCATCTATCTGTGTGTCTTGGTGTATGTGAAAGTCTGCCTAACTGCATACTGCAGTTTTGAATCTGTCATCATTTTCAGACACCAGCAGTTTGGAGAAGACTGGACAGACATTGCTGACCACACTGTCCAGTTTGTCAGGTCAACCAGCTACAGGGCCTGCAGCCAGAGCAAAGGTGTGTGTTTGTGTGTGTGTGCACTCTTATATACGTGCATAAGTGTGTGTATGTGTTGTGTTTCTGTGTTTTTTGCTTCTGTCTGTGTTTTTTGCTTCTGTCTGTGTTTTTTGCTTCTGTCTGTGTTTTTTGCTTCTGTCTGTGTTTTTTGCTTCTGTCTGTGTTTTTTTTGCTTCTGTCTGTGTTTTTTGCTTCTGTCTGTGTTTTTTGCTTCTGTCTGTGTTTTTTTTGCTTCTGTCTGTGTTTTTTGCTTCTGTCTGTTTTTTTTGCTTCTGTCTGTGTTTTTTGCTTCTGTCTGTGTTTTTTGCTTCTGTCTGTGTTTTTTGCCTCTGTCTGTGTTTTTTGCTTCTGTCTGTGTTTTTTGCTTCTGTCTGTGTTTTTTGCTTCTGTCTGTGTTTTTTGCTTCTGTCCGTGTTTAAAAAAAAAAAATAAGGACCCTTTTCCATGCCTTTAGGGCTAAGGTCATTTAAAAAAAAAAAAGTCAGGCTCTGCCAGGGAGCAAACCCACGATCTTCCAGTCCGCAACAAGCATCTAGCCGCTCTGCCACGGCAACTCCCTTATTTCTATATGTGTTGTGTCTGTAATTGTGTGTATGTTGTGTGTGTTATCACTGCATGCGCCTCTGTATGTGTAAGTGTGTTTGTGTATGTGCTTTTGACTGTACATGTGCCTTGCGTATGTGTCTGCTTTGAGTGTGTCTGCTGACCGGGTGCATTTGCCGTCTATGCTTTTGTATTTTTACTTTACATTCATACTATGATTTGTTTTAAATATGAACGTTCTATGATTGATATTTAAAATATAGTTGCCGGATGAAAGACGAATGCTTGAACAAACCCAAATATAATATGGGCCTACGTGCCCTATTTGTAACCCTTTGGAAATTAAGTTTATCTATTGATTCATTCTTTAGCCCTCAGCTCAGTGATATTCAGTAGTCATTTTTATTTTTTATGTTGGTGTTACAGATAACAGTTCTTTTCTCCTCTGATGATATAGTTCAGTGACCAGTTACAAGGCACCTCTGTTTGAGCAGGTATATTACTGTGCCCACATTAGGAGACCTTGATTGGAATCCTCAGTATGGTGATGGGACTGTCTGTCAGAGGCAGAAATCAATGCCTAACCTGCACAGCTCCTGGTGACCATATGACCTTCAGTTGTGACTGTAAATACCCCCTTCACTGCCAAGCAAGGTGGTAAGGCAGTAAAACATGAGAAAAAAAATAGTAGCTGCTCCTGAAATCCACATAATGCATCCGTAATAACATGATGTATGTCTGCTGCATGTCAGATCTTGTTTAACTGAGTAGTACTAATGTTTATTAACTCTTTCAATTCCAAAAAGTGACATGGGCTATACCCAGCAAATCATACCCATACAGCAGTGTGTGCTCACTGTTTTTTTAAGTTTGGTTACAACATGCAGAAGAACTCTGGCATAACCAGGGGCTAATAATTTCACTGTGTATTTAGTCTCCTTAACAGCAGCACACTTATTATTTTCATACCAATGATGGGGCACGTGCAGTGAAAGTCTCTAGGTCTCAGAGAGTCAGTAGGAAACATTAATCTGTGGACAACATGGTGGTAACGATGTGTTGTTTGTCTGCAGCATCCCTCGGCCGACACAAACACGGATGAATCTGCTGGCTCCAGGGACACAACTCTCAGCCAGCCAGCATCCTCAGGAGCTACACAGGATTTACCGGGTCAGTAGTCTCACACGTTTGTGTGTGAAGGGGGGTTTGTGTCATCTTGTGTGGGTGTGTGTGGGCATCTATGTAATTGCTTGGGGACATTTGTGTCATGTGTGTGGACATATGTTGTGGGTATGTGGACATTTGTGTGTTGGTGTGGGTGTGTATGTGGTCATTTGTGTCTAGTAAAAGTTTAAACTGTTCTTACAAGAAACCGCAATCATTATTTTATAAATAATGTATTCTTTTTTTCAGAAGCCACCATTATGACATCCTCTTATGTCCCGCAGAATTTAAGTAGCTTGAGTTAATTTAACATCTCCATAAATGTATTTTCCTAATGCATTATAATTTAGACATGCAAAATGCCATCCTTATTGATTATATTTTAGACACTTTTGCAAAAACATTTGCTTTATTGCATTATAATTTAGACACTTCGACACAGTATTTAGATTTATTAACATTAACACCCCCCCCCCCCCCCCCCCCCCCCCCCCCGTTAATTTTACAACTGTATTTTTATAAATTAATTCCTTGTTTTTTTTTTTCTGGCAGGTGCACAGTGGGGTGCCAGATTTTCTCAACACCCTGAAGCATATTTAACTTCAGAGAACCAGAAATTGGCCACTCCAAGTCTAATCTCAGCAGTGGTGAAGTTATTGACAAATCTGGTTGGCCTGACTTCACAAAGCTGCCTGGCCAGCATGAGAGACCACTCACTTTTGTTGTCCTTGTTGAGGTGAGAGTTCCCCTGTTTGACAGCTCTTCTGTGCTGCAGACTTGGTAACTGGATAATATTGCCAGTTAACTCTTCAGTCTAGAGAGTAGGCTATAGCCTAGTTGAATTAAGTGATTTCACAGCACTCAGTACATTCCCATAAAAGCTCCATCCTAATCTTCAGCAGCCAGTGAAGGAAATCCAATTCTAATGGTACTAGTAGCAGTTTGATTAAATGTCTGCCTTGTCTTTCCTGTGACTGCTGAGCATCACCCACATCCCCCACATCCCCTGGTCACACTCCCCACTGCACCATTCTCTCTACACTGTATTGAATGATCTGTTCACACTCCCCACTGCACCATTCTCTCCACACTGTAATGAATGATCTGTTCACACTCCACACTGCACCATTCTCTCCACACTGTAATGAATGATCTGTTCACACCTCGCACTGCACCATTCTCTCCACACTGTAATGAATGATCTGTTCACACTGCACCATTCTCTCCACACTGTAATGAATGATCTGTTCACACTGCACCATTCTCTCCACACTGTAATGAATGATCTGTTCACACTACCCACTGCACCATTCTCTCCACACTGTAATGAATGATTTGTTCACACTCCCCACTGCACCATTCTCTCCACACTGTAATGAATGATCTGTTCACACTCCCCACTACACCATTCTCTCCACACTGTAATGAATGATCTGTTCACACTCCCCACTCTACCATTCTCTCCACACTGTAATGGATGATCTGTTCACACTCCCCACTGCACCATTCTCTCCACACTGTAATGAATGATCTGTTCACACTCCCCACTACGCCATTCTCTCCACACTGTAATGAATGATCTGTTCACACTCCCCACTGCACCATTCTCTCCACACTGTAATGAATGATCTGTTCACACTCCCCACTGCACCATTCTCTCCACACTGTAATGAATGATCTGTTCACACTCCCCACTGCACCATTCTCTCCACACTGTAATGAATGATCTGTTCACACTGCACCATTCTCTCCACACTGTAATGAATGATCTGTTCACACTGCACCATTCTCTCCACACTGTAATGAATGATCTGTTCACACTCCCCACTGCACTATTCTCTTCACACAGTAATGAATGATCTGTTCACACTGCACCATTCTCTCCACACTGTAATGAATGATCTGTTCACACTGCACCATTCTCTCCACACTGTAATGAATGATCTGTTCACACTCCCCACTGCACCATTCTCTCCACACTGTAATGAATGATTTGTTCACACTCCCCACTGCACCATTCTCTCCACACTGTAATGAATGATCTGTTCACACTCCCCACTACACCATTCTCTCCACACTGTAATGAATGATCTGTTCACACTGCACCATTCTCTCCACACTGTAATGAATGATCTGTTCACACTGCACCATTCTCTCCACACTGTAATGAATGATCTGTTCACACTCCCCACTACACCATTCTCTCCACACTGTAATGAATGATTTGTTCACACTCCCCACTGCACCATTCTCTCCACACTGTAATGAATGATCTGTTCACACTCCCCACTGCACCATTCTCTCCACACTGTAATGAATGATCTGTTCACACTGCACCATTCTCTCCACACTGTAATGAATGATCTGTTCACACGCCCCACTGCACCATTCTCTCCACACTGTAATGAATGATCTGTTCACACTCCCCACTGCACCATTCTCTCCACACTGTAATGAATGATCTGTTCACACTCCCCACTACACCATTCTCTCGACACTGTAATGAATGATCTGTTCACACTCCCCACTGCACCATTCTCTCCACACTGTAATGAATGATCTGTTCACACTCCCCACTGCACCATTCTCTCCACACTGTAATGAATGATCTGTTCACACTACACACTCCACCATTCTCTCCACACTGTAATGAATGATCTGTTCACACTCCACACTGCAACATTCTCTCCACACTGTAATGAATGATCTGTTCACACTCCACACTGCAACATTCTCTCCACACTGTAATGAATGATCTGTTCACACTCCCCACTGCACCATTCTCTCCACACTGTAATGAATGATCTGTTCACACTCCCCACTCCACCATTCTCTCCACACTGTAATGAATGATCTGTTCACACTCCACACTGAACCATTCTCTCCACACTGTAATGAATGATCTGTTCACACTTCCCACTACACCATTCTCTCCACACTGTAATGAATGATCTGTTCACACTCCCCACTACACCATTCTCTCCACACTGTAGTAATGAATGATCTGTTCACACTCCCCACTGCACCATTCTCTCCACACTGTAATGAATGATCTTTTCACAATCCCCACTACACCATTCTCTCCACACTGTAATGAATGATCTGTTCACACTCCACCATTCTCTCCACACTGTAATGAATGATCTGTTCACACTCCCCACTACACCATTCTCTCCACACTGTAATGAATGATCTGTTCACACTCCACCATTCTCTCCACACTGTAATGAATGATCTGTTCACACTCCCCACTGCACCATTCTCTCCACACTGTAATGAATGATCTGTTCACACTACACACTCCACCATTCTCTCCACACTGTAATGAATGATCTGTTCACACTCCCCACTCCACCATTCTCTCCACACTGTAATGAATGATCTGTTCACACTCCACACTGCACCATTCTCTCCACACTGTAATGAATGATCTGTTCACACTACACACTCCACCATTCTCTCCACACTGTAATGAATGATCTGTTCACACTCCCCACTACACCATTCTCTCCACACTGTAATGAATGATCTGTTCACACTACACACTCCACCATTCTCTCCACACTGTAATGAATGATCTGTTCACACTCCCCACTACACCATTCTCTCCACACTGTAGTAATGAATGATCTGTTCACACTCCCCACTGCACCATTCTCTCCACACTGTAATGAATGATCTGTTCACACTACACACTCCACCATTCTCTCCACACTGTAATGAATGATCTGTTCACACTCCCCACTCCACCATTCTCTCCACACTGTAATGAATGATCTGTTCACACTCCCCACTGCACCATTCTCTCCACACTGTAATGAATGATCTGTTCACACTCCCCACTGCACCATTCTCTCCACACTGTAATGAATGATCTGTTCACACTCCCCACTACACCATTCTCTCCACACTGTAATGAATGATCTGTTCACACTCCCCACTACACCATTCTCTCCATACTGTAATGAATGATCTGTTCACACTCCCCACTGCACCATTCTCTCCACACTGTAATGAATGATCTGTTCACACTCCCCACTACACCATTCTCTCCACACTGTAATGGATGATTTGTTCACACTCCCCACTACACCATTCTCTCCACACTGTAATGGATGATTTGTTCACACTCCACACTCCACCATTCTCTCTACACTGTAATGGATGATCTGTTCACACTCCCCACTGCACCATTCTCTCCACACTGTAATGAATGATTTGTTCACACTCCCCACTACACCATTCTCTCCACACTGTAATGGATGATCTGTTCACACTCCCCACTGCACCATTCTCTCCACACTGTAATGAATGATCTGTTCACACTCCACACTGCACCATTCTCTCCACACTGTAATGAATGATCTGTTCACACTCCCCACTACACCATTCTCTCCACACTGTAATGAATGATCTGTTCACACTCCCCACTGCACCATTCTCTCCACACTGTAATGAATGATCTGTTCACACTACACACTGCACCATTCTCTCCACACTGTAATGAATGATCTGTTCACACTCCACACTGCAACATTCTCTCCACACTGTAATGAATGATCTGTTCACACTCCCCACTGCACCATTCTCTCCACACTGTAATGAACGATCTGTTCACACTCCCCACTGCACCATTCTTTCCACACTGTAATGAATGATCTGTTCACACTCCCCACTGCGCTATTCTCTCCACACTGTAATGAATGATCTGTTCACACTCCCCACTACACCATTTTCTCCACACTGTAATGAATGATCTGTTCACACTCCCCACTGCACCATTCTCTCCACACTGTAATGAATAATCTATTCACACTCCACCATTCTCTCCACACTGTAATGAATGATCTGTTCACACTCCATGTGACGAGGTACTTGAAGTCAGGCTGTTGTACAGATGTCAACATTCCATTATTATTGCTGTGGAGTCTAGAGGCAAAAGAAACAGTAGTAGAAGGTCCTTATCTCTATATTCCTATATGTGCAGGGTCACTGAAGCTGCAAAACTAGAACTCAATTTCAACACATTGGGTGTGCCTTACCCAATCCCCAGAGTAGCTAAAATTGGGTAAGGCTCACCCAACCTCCAGTCTAACTAACATTGGGTGAGGCTTACCCAACCCCCAGTTTGGTTAACACTGGGTGAGGCTTACCCAACCCCCAGTCTAGCTAACATTGGGTGTGCCTTACCCAACCCCCAGTTTGGCTAACATTGGGTGAGGCTTACCCAACCTCCAGTCTAACTAACATTGGGTGAGGCTTACCCAACCTCCAGTCTAACTAACATTGGGTGAGCTTTACCCAACCCCCAGAGTAGCTAAAATTGGGTAAGGCTCACCCAACCTCCAGTCTAGCTAACATTGGGTGAGGCTTACCCAACCTCCAGTTTGCCTAACATTGGGTGAGGCTTACCCAACCCCCAGTTTGTCTAACACTGGGTGTGCCTTACCCAACCCCCAGTCTAGCTAACATTGGGTGAGGCTTACCCAACCCCCCCAGTTTGTCTAACATTGGGTGTGGCTTACCCAACCCCCAGTTTGTCTAACATTAGGTATGGCTTACCCAACCCCCAGTCTGACTAACATTGGGTATGGCTTACCCAACCCCCAGTCTGACTAACATTGGGTGTGGCTTACCCCACCCCCAGTCTGACTAACATTGGGTGTGGCTTACCCAACTCCCAGTCTGACTAACATTGGGTATGGCTTACCCAACCCCCAGTCTGACTAACATTGGGTATGGCTTACCCAACCCCCAGTCTGACTAACATTGGGTATGGCTTACCCAACCCCCAGTTTGACTAACATTGGGTATGGCTTACCCAACCCCCAGTCTGACTAACATTGGGTGTGGCTTACGCAACCCACAGTCTGACTAACATTGGGTGTGGCTTACTCCACCCCCAGTCTGACTAACATTGGGTGTGGCTTACCCCACCCCCAGTCTGACTAACATTGGGTGTGGCTTACCCCACCCCCAGTCTGACTAACATTGGGTGTGGCTTACCCAACCCCCAGTCTGACTAACATTGGGTGTGGCTTACCCCACCCCCAGTCTGACTAACATTGGGTGTGGCTTACCCCACCCCCAGTCTGACTAACATTGGGTGTGGCTTACCCCACCCCCAGTCTGACTAACATTGGGTGTGGCTTACCCAACTCCCAGTCTAGCTAACATTCCAAGGATGACAAAGCATCCTTACACATGTGAAGTTTCAGTACCAGTCTTGTACACTTAGCTGAAATCTGGAGGGGGGGGGGGGGGGAAAGAAAGGCTCTGTAACTGAATGTCATGGACCAGACCAAAGAGTTGAATTCACAGTTTTCCTGAGGTTTATAGACCAATCAGCCATCAGTAATTATGTCTTTAAAAAAAAAAAAAAAATAACATTCTGTTTGTGTGTGATAGTTACTGTTGTTAATTCTTGTGACCTGGTTTTCCTCTGTCTGCAGCCTGGTGAATCCTACCACCATCCAGGGCTTGTGTGAGAAGATCACTTCAGGTTGGATGGGGTCGGTGACTGCCCTGGCCCTCCGTGACCACCTGCTGCTGTGTGAGGCTGTGGTGGATTTGTACACTGTTTGTATTACCGTGGATACAGTTGCTAGGATGGAGTTGTTGGCCAACTCTGCTGGCTTGAGATCAGTGGCTGCCTTGTTGTTGTTACAGTGGCATGGTACGTATGTGTTTGTTGTTGTTAGAGTGCCATGGTACGTATGTGTTTGTTGTTACAGTGCCATGGTACGTATGTGTTTGTTGTTATTACAATGCTGTGGTACGTACCTGTTTGTTGTTGTTACAGTGGCATGGTAGGTATGTGTTTGTTGTTGTTACAGTGCCATGGTACGTATGTGTTTGTTGTTGTTACAATGCCTTGGTACGTACATGTTTGTTATTGTTTCATTGCCATGGTATGTACGTGTTTGTTGTTGTTACAGTGGTATGGTACGTATGTGTTTGTTGTTGTTACAATGCCATGGTACGTACATGTTTGTTGTTGTTTCATTGCCATGGTATGTACGTGTTTGTTGTTGTTACAGTGGTATGGTACGCATGTGTTTGTTGTTGTTACAATGCCCTGGTACGTACATGTTTGTTGTTGTTTCATTGCCATGGTATGTACATGTTTGTTGTTGTTACAGTGGTATGGTACGTTTGTGTTTGTTGTTGTTACAGTGCCATGGTACGTATGTGTCAGTGGCGTGATACTTCTATTTTGTAATGTTTTATGAAGCTTATATCGCAATTGATCAGTTTTAATTTGCAGGTGTGCTCGGGGTTATTGACAGGAGCCAAGTAAAATAGTGATTAGAAGCCTACCTGCCCACCCAAAGGTCTCAGGTTTAAATCTGCAGATTTGTAAAAATACAAAAATGCTGAAGTTACATGTCACAGACATGGTTGAGATGTTTGTTATTACCTTGTTTGTGACAATTCACAGACATGGTTGAGATGTTATTACCTTGTGACAATTCACAGACATGGTTGAGATGTTTGTTATTACCTTGTGACAATTCACAGACATGGTTGAGATGTTTGTTATTACCTTGTGACAATTCACAGACATGGTTGAGATGTTATTACCTTGTGACAATTCACAGACATGGTTGAAGCGTTTGTTATTACTTTGTGACATGTCACAGACATGGTTGAAATGTTTGTTATTACCTTGTGACATGTCACAGACATGGTTGAGATGTTTGTTATTGCCTTGTGACAAGTCACACACATGGTTGAGACATTTGTTATTGTGACAAGTCACACACATGGTTGAGATGTATTTATTACCTTGTGACTAGTTACACACATGGTTGAGGCATTTGTTATTACCTTGTGACAAGTCACACACATGGTTAAGATGTATTTATTACCTTGTGACAAGTCACACACATGGTTGAGACATTTGTTATTGCCATGTGACAAGTCACACACATGGTTGAGGCATTTGTTATTGCCTTGTGACTAGTTACACACATGGTTGAGGCATTTGTTATTGCCTTGTGACTAGTTACACACATGGTTGAGGCATTTGTTATTGCCTTGTGACTAGTTACACAAATGGTTGAGGCATTTGTTATTGCCATGTGACAAGTCACACACATGGTTGAGACATTTGTTATTGCCTTGTGACTAGTTACACACATGGTTGAGGCATTTGTTATTGCCATGTGACAAGTCACACACATGGTTGAGGCATTTGTTATTGCCTTGTGACAAGTCACACACATGGTTGAGGCATTTGTTATTGCCATGTGACAAGTCACACACATGGTTGAGGCATTTGTTATTGCCATGTGACAAGTCACACACATGGTTGAGACATATGTTATTGCCTTGTGACAAGTCACACACATGGTTGAGACATTTGTTATTGCCATGTGACTAGTTACACACATGGTTGAGGCATTTGTTATTGCCTTGTGACTAGTTACACACATGGTTGAGGTATTTGTTATTGCCATGTGACAAGTCACACACATGGTTGAGGCATTTGTTATTGCCATGTGACAAGTCACACACATGGTTGAGACATATGTTATTGCCTTGTGACAAGTCACACACATGGTTGAGACATTTGTTATTGCCATGTGACTAGTTACACACATGGTTGAGGTATTTGTTATTGCCTTGTGACTAGTTACACACATGGTTGAGGCATTTGTTATTGCCTTGTGACTAGTTACACACATGGTTGAGGCATTTGTTATTGCCTTGTGACTAGTTACACACATGGTTGAGGCATTTGTTATTGCCTTGTGACTAGTTACACACATGGTTGAGGCATTTGTTATTGCCATGTGACAAGTCACACACATGGTTGAGATGTATTTATTACCTTGTGACAAGCGCATGGTTGAGGCATTTGTTATTGCCTTGTGACTAGTTACACACATGGTTGAGGCATGTTGAAATACTTTATGAAAAGTGAGTTTTGATTGGACATATTGATATGCTTTGTGACAAGTCACATAAATGGTTAGGCCATATTTAACTACTATATATGAATGTATGAATCTGTATTAATTTTTTTTTGGGGGGTGCAATTTGTGTCATCAAAATGTTGCAGACGTGGATGACATTGGAAGTACATGTGCCAGTTTGGCTGTCAGCACTCTGAAATTGCTGTCTGGCCTGTTGCAGACTCAGGGACCGGTAGCTCTGAAATCATTAACAGAAGTTTTAGGACAGATTTGGTCGCCTTTTATAGGTAGGTTCTCCATGGACTTTGTAACTGCTTCTTTGAATGGTGAAAGATGTTGAGATTTGTGTAGTCTGCACATTTGGGTTCCAGGGCCCTAACGGCACCTTTGATGGGTGAAAGATGTTGAGATTTGTGTAGTCTGCACATTTGGGTTCCAGGGCCCTAACGGCACCTTTGATGGGTGACAGATGTTGAGATTTGTGTAGTCTGCACATTTGGGTTCCAGGGCCCTAACAGCACCTTTGATGGGTGAAAGATGTTGAGATTTATGTAGTCTGCACATGTGGGTTCCAGGGCCCTAACGGCACCTTTGATGGGTGAAAGATGTTGAGATTTATGTAGTCTGCACATGTGGGTTCCAGGGCCCTAACGGCACCTTGATGGGTGAAAGATGTTGAGATTTGAGTAGTCTGCACATTTGGGTTCCAGGGCCCTAACGGCACCTTTGATGGGTGAAAGATGTTGAGATTTGTGTAGTCTGCACATTTGGGTTCCAGGGCCCTAACGGCACCTTTGATGGGTGACAGATGTTGAGATTTGTGTAGTCTGCACATTTGGGTTCCAGGGCCCTAACAGCACCTTTGATGGGTGAAAGATGTTGAGATTTATGTAGTCTGCACATGTGGGTTCCAGGGCCCTAACGGCACCTTTGATGGGTGAAAGATGTTGAGATTTATGTAGTCTGCACATGTGGGTTCCAGGGCCCTAACGGCACCTTTGATGGGTGAAAGATGTTGAGATTTGTGTAGTCTGCACATTTGGGTTCCTGGGCCCTAACGGCACCTTGTTGGGTGAAAGATGTTGAGATTTGTGTAGTCTGCACATTTGGGTTCCTGGGCCCTAACGGCACCTTGTTGGGTGAAAGATGTTGAGATTTGTGTAGTCTGCACATTTGGGTTCCAGGGCCCTAACGGCACCTTGTTGGGTGAAAGATGTTGAGATTTGTGTAGTCTGCACATTTGGGTTCCAGGGCCCTAACGGCACCTTGTTGGGTGAAAGATGTTGAGATTTGTGTAGTCTGCACATTTGGGTTCCAGGGCCCTAACAGCACCTTTGATGGGTGACAGATGTTGAGATTTGTGTAGTCTGCACATTTGGGTTCCAGGGCCCTAATGGCACCTTGACAAGCTAGATGTAGATGGAGACTCATTGGGGTTTTGCTGACATCAGATTCCCCGTGAGGGTCCGGGGCCCTATTATAGGGAAAACAAGAACAGATCCACTGCCTACCCAAAAGCATGTCGTAAGAGTTGACTAATTGGGAGCTTCCTTTGAAATCGGAGTGCATCTGCCTGAGAGGCAAGGAACTAGCAGTCTGCTTACTAATGAGTCAGATCTGTCAAACGGATGCACATGCAACACTCGGGTTCTGAAATAGGACTGCAGTCTAAAAGTGGATGAAAAAACGAGAACTTTCCGCCAGAGTTTACAGCTGGTGAACATGAAGATGAAGAAGAAGAAGCTGACATCAGTTGTTTTCGGCCACCAAGTGGTCTTCTTCTTCTTCGTTCACCGGCTGTGAATTCCGGCGGAAGGTCAGGATTAATCGTCCGCTTGGACTTTTGGCTATAACCTGGACCTGATTTTTGCGTGTACAACCGTTTTGCTGTTCCCTGCCTCGCAGGCAGATGTACTCCGACTTCGAGGGAAGACGTCAGGCCTATTTCTAGGATGACTGTGGCCATTTTTTTGTGTAGGTCGAGACGTTGCCTGATTTGTGTGGTGTCCTCTATGTCTCCTTCTCCGCAGGTGTTGCCCCCAGAGTACCCCTTTGGGGCAGCCCCTTGTGGAACGGTTAGCCCTCAAGGGAAGGCAGGGGCAGATCATGGGCATTCCTCGCCATCTAAGGAGGCTTCCATGTATGCAGAGCCGGCACATGGCGCTCTGTTTCTGGGCTCACCCAAGGAATCGTCACGTCCTGCGCATGCCTGCTTAACCTCACAACCGTATAAGGCCTCCCACTCGACAAGGGCTGCGCCCTCCAGAGATCAGCAGGGAGCAGCCCGCGGGTTCTAGACTTTTGTGACCACATGAATAGGTACATTCTTTATCTTTGACGAGCCGTTAGTACGACAGAATTTAACATCCTGCGTCAGGCATATCGTTATCTGTTTGGTCCCAACACTCAGGCAAGTGAGGTCTTTTGGTGTGGACATTTGGACTTTTTCCATTTAATATGATTTGTGATGGTCGGATTTTGAGCTTACTCGTGTGCCGTAGGATCTAGTTTTGTCGGACATTTAGGCTTAGCCAGCCAATGGGCTGTTGCTGTTGTGGTGTACCTCAGCGCTGTGACGACGACACTGAGGGTTAACAGAGGATGTACATGGGTAGAATCTTGCTGCGAGACGATACCCCCAGGAGATGTTACTCGTCTGTGCTGCGGGTAAATCTCTAGGTCAAGGGTTGAGTCCCAGCAGAACAATGTTCTCTTCACTCCGCAATCTTTTAACCAAGGGTTGTAATTTTAGTTGTACATTTGGCAAGCACTTTACTCATGTTCCTGATGAGTTTTGATAACCTTTTTTTTTATCAATCTTGTCAGTTGAAAGTGTTCTTGTTATGAGTTATGATTTGAGTTATCTTTCTGGCACTCCTGACTTATCCATATGTGCTTAGATTCCCCCTTTAATATATACATCAGTGTCCAGAGGTTGATAGTCCCAGTCCTATGTTGGCTGACAAGACTTCTCTTGCATCCGGTGTGCTTTGTGTGCCAGTTCCTAGTTCTTGCACACTTAGCAAAGATGTGGATATGTTGCTCCCAAAATCCTCCGAACGTCCTACCTCTCTAATGGCGTTAACAATGTCAGCATGATCTGGCCGGCCCTCTGTAACTAAGGCAGTCGGCTAATCTGTCGGCTCTTTCATTGCCAACAACACCTGCATCCCTGGTAGTAAGTCCTTGTGTTCATATCTTCCCATAACAAGCCCAAAGCAACACTGTTTGTCTGTCTTCATCTTATGTCTCAAATCATCGTGTCTTGTTCATTTTTGTAAATATTTTTTGTAATATTTTATGAATATATAGTTGTTTTTCTTCTATTTAAATGAACCCCAGAATCAATGTCTGCCATGCTGAATGACCGAAGTGCCGATCGGCAGACTCTGTATGTTGTCTGCCTGGACTTCTTGTCTTTGCTGTTATGTGAAGAGAGCCGAAGTTTGTTGAAGAATCCAGACAGAGCCTCGGAAGTGGCTACAGTCTCTGAGTTGTTGGATGCTGCTCTGGCAGATGGTGGGTGTCTTCACATTTGTAGATGGCCTTTGGCCTTTCTTGTCTGAGCTCTTGGAACTTGCCTAATCAATTTGCTCACTCTCTAACTTGGTATTTCTTTCCCTGACCGTTTCTTTCACTCTTTTCCTCTTTTATTCTGTCTGAACCTACACTCTTTCCTTCCCTGCCTCTGCCCTCTCTTTCATTCTTTACCTTGTTCTCTCCGTCCCCCTTCTTTCCCTGCCTCTGCCCTCTTTTTCATTCTTCACCTTGTTCTCTCCGTCCCCTTTCCTTCTCTCTCACCCTCCCCTCCACCTCTTTCTTTCCTCTCTCTCTCACTTTCTCTCTCTCTCTCACTCTCTCTCTCTCTCTCTCTCTCTCTCTCTCTCTCTCTCTCTCTCTTTCTCTCTCTCTCTCTCTCTCTGCTTTATTAGTAAAATACAATTGCTGTGTGAAAGATGGTTGACTGGAAGGGCCGAATGTAAGACGGGCCTGCGTGCCCAATTTGTGACCCTTTGAAAATAAAGTTCGCTCGTTCGTTCGTTCTCTCTCTGTGTCTTTCTCTCCCCTCACAAATCTCCATCTGCATACTTCTTTTCTTTGATGGATGAATATAGGGGAAGTTATGTACTTTGAGATGACCTTGACATTGGTACTGTGACATTTTCAGATCCACGTGATCTGGCCAAAGTGAGGCAGACAACTGGCAGAGAACTGTGTCAAGTTTTGGTGAATATTTTTGACTCTGTCATTTCCCCTAACAAAGATGAGAAGAGATCTGGAGCTAGTGCTGGGAGGTTGAAGGTCACTGGAGCACTCAAGTCATTACTTGCTGTGTCTTCTTCTGCCAAAACATTGGCACTTGAGGGTGAGTGGAGTCTTACAACTATCAGTGTTGTTTGTGATGACTAGTCAGTCAGGGGCCGTCTCCACAGTGGAGGTTGGTTGCAATGGATCTCTAACACACTCAGTCCCTCGTTCTGGTTGGGCACTCTCTCAGACTGCTGCCCATCCATCTCTTGATGTTGTCCACCCTCTTGTATCGTTGCCCATCTCTAGCTCTCATACCTTTAACCTTTCCTTCCAGTATGGTTTTTAAAAGTGTTATTTCTTTTAATGTGGCCAAAGTATTTCAGTTGTCTCTTTTTTATTTATTGCAGTAATTTTCTTCCATTTGTAGCCTTTCCAGAACCTCTGTATTGGACTGTTTGTGTTTCCATGAAATACATTCTATTCTTCTGTGTACCCACTCTCCAGAGACTCAGTGTGACTAGAAGTGTGTGTGGGGATCTGGTAATGTGTGTGGGGATCTGGTAATGTGTGTGGGGATCTGGTAATGTGTGTGGGGATCTGGTAATGAGTGTGGGGATCTGGTAATGTGTGTGGGGATCTGGCAATGTGTGTGGGGATCTGGTAATGTGTGTGGGGATCTGGTAATGTGTGTGGGGATCTGGTGATGTGTGTGGGGATCTGGTGATGTGTGTGGGGATCTGGTGATGTGTGTGGGGATCTGGTGATGTGTGTGGGGATCTGGTAATGTGTGTGGGGATCTGGTAATGTGTGTGGGGATCTGGTAATGTGTGTGGGGATCTGGTAATGTGTGTGGGGATCTGGTGATGTGTGTGGGGATCTGGTGATGTGTGTGGGGATCTGGTGATGTGTGTGGGGATCTGGTGATGTGTGTGGGGATCTGGTGATGTGTGTGGGGATCTGGTGATGTGTGTGGGGATCTGGTAATGAGTGTGGGGATCTGGTAATGTGTGTGGGGATCTGGCAATGTGTGTGGGGA